TATGATTACACTGTAGCTACACTGTAATCAGGTATAAATATCTGGAACAGATGGAATTGGGGAATTGGGGGACATGCACATTACAAGACACTAAGGTCAGTTCAGTGAATAGACAGACATTGGGTCACTATAGTACAGACACATTGAATGAATAGAATATTGATGTCGGTCTTCACACTCTACTATACATTACAGAGGGATTACTTGCATCTGTGCAGCTAGACATGAAGAAAATAAAGCCTTTCTTTTATTACAGGAATTTTAACTTTAATTAAAGGAAAAGATTTACATTTACAGTGTGTACCCTTTTATAGGAACCGGTGAAACAAATTCACTTTGTAAGCAAAATACCACATCTCTGTGTGAAGCTCCATATTAGAAGACTAACACAGCTGTTGACCTAAACTCGAATTCCATCTGACCTCTTTGTGGGAAGCCACATACTATTTTATTCACAACAGGGCGCAGAGGTTACATAGTGGGCATTGGCAGGCTTAACCCCTTAAGGACCAAACTTCTGGAATAAAAGGGAATCATGACATGTCACACATGTCATGTGTCCTTAAGGGGTTAAAGGGACACTACAGATTGGAAGTAAAACCAATTTAGTTAATGTAATATTTAATGAATGCATCTAAAATATAATCTAAAAAATACTAAAAGAGTTACAGTAAAGGACACTAACCTTTCCTGCATTTGATGAGTTTCCAGCTTTTGCAATACACACTGCTCAGACCAGTAAGTGACTCAGGCAATCAGAAGGTGTGCAATTCTTTTTCAATGGAGTTCATACTTTTCCCATAAAACCCTTGCCCAGCAGGTGTGGGACTTGTAAATCATAAAATTGCAGCAATTCCATTCATCATCTAGGATGATAGGAATCAATAGCAGTTGCATCACTGCCAGACTATTAGGGTTTCATTTTATTTTACTTTATTTTAAGGTATTGACCAAGAAAATGTACCTTGACAATATTAACACTTTCATTTGGAATACTATGCTTTGCAAATCAATAAAAATTGAAGATTACCCCCCCTCCCTCATCCCTTCTTTTCTGTACACTATCCCCCCCCCCTACCATTATGACATGTTGAAACTCAATAAAACTTCAAATTTCAAAAAAAAATTGAAGATTATACTAGCTTTAGTGTACTAATAATCTTAATTTTAGTAATGACAGGAGGCAAATATTTTGCATAATCTCTCTTTACTAGCTCCACAGCAGCAATGTAACACATAGAAAAAAAAACAATCACAAGAGAGTAGGATGTACATGAGGTATGGTGACCTAAGCACGTCCTTTTTCAGACAGCGACATCAAGCAGAAGCAAACATATAACAAGCAATAACAATAACTCCTAAATCCAACATGCGAAGGACCAATCTTCGAGAGAATTCCACACGAACAACCAAAACATCTTCAGGGATGAATCAAACTGAAAAGAGAATGTGTGACAGGTTTACACACATAGTCATGAATGTGGAAATCCAAGTAACACACAGTATACATCATTCCACATATAAAACTACAATTCAAAGCCAATGGAAATAAAATCATCCGAAGAGGTCCCTAGCAGGCTATTATTATTATTATGATATTTATAGAGCGCCGTCAAATTCCGCAGCGCTTTACAATGGGTGGACGAACAGACATGCTATGATAGTCCGCCGATCTGCCAAGAACCCCAGAAAGAGTCCAGGCCACCAGTGTCAGCCTACCCTCCAGGAATAGAAGATGTGAGTTCCCCTTCAGGTCCGTACGAAGAGTTGGGTATAAATGTAGGAGGAGGAGATCCTCACTGGCAAGTCCTCGAAGGTCCGGGAAACAAGGTTGACTCAATCACAGCAGGATGGCAAAGGCAGTGTTACTTGCCGAACACAGAGGGGATAGAGAATCCATGCAATTCCCCCCCCCTGTAGGCAGAGCAGGCAGGAATGCGACCACCATTATGCACTCCGGATTCGGCAGCCAATTGTAGAACACTGAATTCCGGCGGTCCCTCTGAAGGTTGGAGAACTAATCCGTGTTGAGATGTATCTTCCCCGGGAAATAGTCCACCCTCGGGAGATTCTGTGAGGAAGGCAGAAATCGAAGATGCCTTTCATGATATCTGATAGTATTTTTTAGATTATATTTTAGATGCATTCATTAAATATTACATTAACTAAATTGGTTTTACTTCCAATCTGTAGTGTCCCTTTAAGCTGGCTCTGTCCAGGCAATTGATATACCTGACTGCCGAGGTTCTATCCATCCGGAGTGAGATGCAACAAATGAAGTACTGCTCTACCAGTCTGCAGATAGTGAAGGACCCCACTAAGAATTCCAGGTATTCAATGTGAAAGGAGAATTCCTGACTTGTGCACACGCTTTCCATGGGTGCGCACTTGCAGGTTGTCACCGCAGCCCCACAAGCTGGTATCCAACTCCAGAAAGAAATCCTGTTGGACGCAGGTGGGGTTTGCCTGAGGAAACCTTACCAGGAAGCGCTGCATGTCCCGGTAACGTAGCTGGTCTGAGAAGATAGCCTGGATAGGGCAGGGCAGTAGACCACAATCCGTGCGAGTGTGTGGAGGGTCACGGTGTTGCAGTGGAAGACCGTGCAAATTTCCTTGAGGATAGAGGAGACCTTTGAAGAGGAAAGTTTCAGGGTGCAACACAGAGTTGATTAAGAATCCTAAGAAGTGGACCATCCACTACGAAACACAATGATTCCAGTTGATTAAGAATCCTAAGAAGTGGACCATCCACTACGAAACACAATGATTCCAGTCGGACCACGGAGAATTGCAAATGTTGATGCAATCTTGAATTCTCTGAACCAAACAGAAGGATATCGTCCAGGTAAATAATGCAACGCACTCCCCATGCGTAATTGATCACTGGTTTCAGTCGTTTCATGAAGCCCCAAGGATCCGAGCTGAGGAGGCAGGTGAAGTGCCGAGGTTTATCGCGGCACAGGAAACATAGTTAATGTCGGCAAGAGGGGTGGAAAAGGACCGACAGGACATGTCTTCATATCCATTTTCGCAAGCCAGTCGTGGAGAAGATTCCTTTTTAAGTTTGAATACCTTCCACCTAGAAGCGATGGTATCTCATGTAGGCCTTGTAGAAAGTACAGTCGATGCTACCCTAGGGACGCTCACCTGAGGAAAACAGGATTTAGCGAATCTGCACATTCAGATGTCGATCATCTGGAGCACCAGAAGGTTGTCTCTCACCCACTTCGGGTAAGAGTTTGTGATAGCAAGTTACAGGGGTCAGTTGGCCCAAAGTGGTTGGCGACATGGCCCCAATGTCTACCAGTCCTGTAGAGCACCCCCTAGGGAGATACCATGTAACACCTTCCTCATGGAGGTTTGTGTCTTGATGTGGGAAGCAGGAACATAAACGTGTGTAATAAGCTCCCTCAGGAAAGAGCTTTTTACCCTTGAGATGGGGTCAATAGAGTCCAACAATTTGTCTTGCGCCAACACAGTTGTGTGTATCATGACCTGTAATTCCACAGGGTTAGCCCGGGAATCTTCCACAGTGGCAAATCGTGTGACATAATTGGGGCTCACCCAAAAAAGTACACAGGTAGATTTATCATGATAAGGGATACCCCTGTAGAAGGCACAAAATAGTAGGCAATTTCAGGATGCAGGACAAACAGATCAGACTATCATAGTAGCAGGCAATGCTCACAGAAACCCCTGCAGGGCTGTAATCTGAACAGTGGCCAAATAAAATAGACTGGGGCTCAGCCAGTAAACAGAGGCTGCAACACCATGCCTCCACTCAGCAGCATACATATAGTAGGGGCCTCACTCCAGGTGTACAGGGTATGAACCCTTAAGTGCTGGCCACAGCCCTGATAGAGAGCATCAATTAGTTCTCCTATAAGCAATTCACTGTCATGGAAGATATTCCTTTAAGCAGGAAGTGCTGAAAATCCTGTCCAGCAGTTAACAGAGGCTGTAGCAGCATGTCTCCACTCAGTAGCACAGTGTAGTAAAAAATTTAGTAGGGACCTCACCCCAGGTGCACAGGGTATGAACCCTAAAGTAGGGATGTGCATGGGCAAAAAATTAGGTTCGGTTTGGCACTTCCGAAATTCAGTTCGGCACTTCCAAAATTCGGGACTTCGGCAATTCCCTAACCCTAACCCTATATCTAACCCTACCCCTACCCCTCCTAGGGTTAGGATTAGAGGAAGGTTGCGGTAAGGGTTAGGGCTAGGGTTAGGAGTAGGGTTAGATTCCAGTCATCATTCCCTTCATTTTACCAATACAGTGTTTGTAAATAATAATGTTAGGCAAAAGAGTGGATGTACCCCCTCCCACCATTCCACATAGAGTTTTGCATACAATGGGGTTTATTTAGTTCCCGTGGCCGCCTCACAACTCTGGGATAGAACATACCGTTGATGTAACAAAAATTAAATGGCATCCCAAATTTTTTTTTTTAAGATTCTCATCATTATTAGAATAATTATCTAAATGATACTCAGTAGCACAAATGCCCTTGTCATGAAGAATGCAGTAGTACAGTGATGCAAAGTCGAGTGCAACCCACCAGTACTCCAAGCCTCCACTCATTGTCATATAGTGCTCTCAGTACATGCTTGGTGTCATGCATGTGTGAAGATAGACACAGCACCAAGGTTGCAAATGGATATCAAGGAAATAACTTAGGCATTCACTCAAAGATCCAATAACTGACACAATAGGTCTGCCAAAAGGCACAACCCCAGGTTTGTGAACCTTGAGCAGATGGTGAAAAATAGGAGCGATAGGGCACTGGACCTTTAAGAAAGCAGCATCAGGGGTGATGACGAAGTTACAAGCAGCTGTATCAATTAGTTGGTATAACTGCTTCTGATAATAAACTGAAGAGTCGAACCAAAGACAGGTAAGTGACTTCATATCTTAACTGATGGAAAGCTTCATTGAGATAGTCACATTTATCGACAACGGCAACAGAGCTGCCTTTCTCATCCTGCTGTATGAGTATGTGATCAGTATCAATAGTTTTGCCCTTTGACTAATCTGGATAGAAGACACTTTTAGTTTTTAAACCTGTTCAGGAGCACAGTTTTAACTTCCACAGCATCAATTATATGCAAAATGGAACTGTCATTTTCAGCTCAAGCCTCTAAAAACAAAAGATGATCATCACACATCTTAGTCACGTTTACAACAAAAGGGAATTTAAGGACGATTTTATTTAAACCCTCCTGATACAAGTGACCAGAAAGAGTTATCAATTAACATCAATTAAAGTATGGTATAGGTTAAAATTGTTTGATGGAGCAAAATTAAGACCTTTTTTCCAAAAAGTCTGATTTGAGTAACAGTCAAGGATTTGTTTGAGAGATTCAGTAGTCTGTGATTCTTTCCACTTGGTCGCAGCAGATACTTCTTTCCTTCTTTTATTTGATTGTGTTCCCAGTCTGGTATGTCTTCTGGGGCATGCTGTCTGGTTGGCCAGTCTTATTGTTCAGAATAAAAAGAATAATGGAGTCCACGTGTTTTTTAAGAGAAAATATATTTATTTTATATTATACATGATACAAAATATGTCAGTAAATATAAAATAATGTTTCTATATACAAGTTGGTTATTTGAGTAGTGTTAAGTGACATACCTTCTTAGCTTATGTCAGTGCTGTACACTTTGCATCAGACTTATTAAAAAAACAAAAAGACGTTTTTCATGCAGATATTGATTCAAATGCATTCAGCCAAGTGACTTGCATCATGAAAGTTTGTAGTGTGGCCGTATTACATGAGAGAGACAGGATTGCCACTGTCCATAACATGCAGAATTTATAATATGAGGCAGGCTGCTAGTGGGTGACAGAGATAACAAGCCTCAGACTCTACTATAAACACTGTAAGAGGAAAGGAGCAGTGACAGGGTGCACAAGATAGACACTGCACATCAATGAAATCACTTACGCATTCACTCAAAGATCCAATGACTGACACAATAGGTCTGCCAAAAGGCACAACCCCAGGAACGAGATATAGAATGGTTAAGAGAAAAGGGAAATCAGAAGTGGAAAGAAAAATGACTACATGAGGGTTCAGAGAGAATTAGGAGAAGAAAAGACAAATGCTATGGGAAGGGGAAATTAAATAAATGAGGGGAAAAAGAGATGTAATGATGAGGGGGGAAGAGAGATGAAAAAGGGTGACTGCAGAAGTTTGAAAGCAGTGCCTTGTGTCATTGGTGTCTAAAGGGTAACCCCTTTTCTCACTGTCATTTTTTCAGTTTTCCATTCCGTATACCCTCTGTATGTTAAAGATTATACTCCCACCCCCAGCCACTGCTTTTACTTATTTTTAGTATCTATTCTTTGCGTGTTGAATCTCAGACAGGTGCCGCTATTTTGTACTTCTCGATCATGATGTCTGCAGCTTGCTCTTGTAGGATTCTTTTAACTCATGGATTGTGGGTAAATTAACTTCACAAGTGAAAGGGAACCATTCAATTTTCACTTCTCATTTTTTGAAAGGTTATTACATTTAATGAAACTTAATGAGATTTTTTAAAAATAATATATATTTGTTTTTTTAAATCTGTGATTTCTCTGTGTGAAAAAGCAGGAGCAGAGAAGTTAGGTTGAGAAACAGTTCGTCAGAGAACAATACAATCTGACCCAACATAGCTACTCAGACAGCTAAAAAATAGATCTCTTAAAATAGATCAATATACTTAATTTAAAAAACAAAACACAAAACAAGAAGTGAAAATTTGATCACAGTTATTATCCTTTAACTTCTGCTCATTGCCAAAGACCACAGTCTATAGGGAAAAGTATTTCCTAGTTTTTCTTATGTGTATGCACATACACATGTATATAAAACTTCCGGTGAAGTTAGTAAAAATAAAAATATGGGTATAAACAGTAGGAAAAAAATATAACTGTTTGAATTAAAAATAAACTAAGGTTTTCGCTCCAGCTCCATTTGATCCAACTGGACATGTTTTTGAAATCTTCTATGATGGTCATACAGCTCACGATGTGATTTTTTTAATATTATAGTGAATCTCTTATTACATTTTTGACTAAAGCTAAATCTCCCCAGTTACAAGGAATACATCATACATCACAGAGATACATGATGCATTCAATGTAAAATTTTGAGATCCAGCATCGTCATGTCTTCGTCGTCAGCCTTGTGGGAGTAATGCTCTGCCTGGTCCAAGAAGGGCAAACCTCTTCTGTGACACCGACATGCTAGCTTTGTTGACATCATTCACTATGTTTCTATACTCCCTAGCTAGCGCAAGCAGCGTCAACTAGGGAGTTACCATAGAAACCACAGCACATGCCCTGCGTGGAGAGCAGGATGACTGCCTGGGGGAGGTCTCTTCTACTCTCCCTTAACAGTCAATTCTTCGGCATAGAGTCTATGCTGAAGAACTGACTGACAGGTGGAAGAAAGACCTATTTTTAAATAGTTTTTTTTCTCCCAATCTATACAATTGCTGGAAAATCTACTAGCAAAATTTATGGATAGAATTTAAAGCCATGGTGTTTATTCCAGCATATCCTTATAACTTAATTTGTTTAGTTCTTGTAGACACTAGTAAGGGGTTTGTTTAGTTTTCTTTCTCAATTATTCATTTCTCTCAGTTCTTGTCCCCTCAATTACTGCAGCAGTATGTATCTTCACAACATCAACTGTGTCACTCTTTTGGGTTTGTTCACTAAGCAATGCACTGTGGTGAACTGTAAACTGAATTCCAAAACCTATGTTACCATAGCTAACCTGAACTGAAGAAATTTTACAATCCCCCCACCCACCCCCGCAAATGTCACAATATTTTAACTTGTCTACAATTTGTATGCTGATTTTACTAGTCTGGAGTAGTGTAAATTAGGGGGAGGGGGGAGTAGGAGGGGGGGGGGGAAACACTCATGCAAATATTTGTTCTAAAAAGTCTATGTGACTTACTTGTCTGACTTGTGCATGATACAATATATCTATATTAGATTTAAGTTTGGTGATGTGGCTATAGGTGACATGGTTATTTAACTGGATCATACATGCTGGCTCCATTCACAATACCTGAATTTGACTGCTAATTTATTTTTTCCTTTAAAATTCACTCACAATATTTTTTCCCAGTACTTGCTAGAGCCCTGCGTATAATTAGTATGAACCTTGGAGATAACGCATAGTAATGAGTGTTTCTATGTGGTATCTAGGAAGCTCAATATCTCATGCAAAACAACTAGAAAGGCATGTATGTATAGTGAAAACTACATGTAAAATAGAATGGGGAAGACAATTCTGCTCTATGCAGGGACAGTGTGAAGCTACATTTTAAGTGGAATCTAACAGGAGAAAATAATTATATTTTTTGCACGTACAGTGAAAACTATACCTTAAGTGAAATGTAATAGGTAAAAAATAATTCTCAAAGCTGGAAAAATAATAATGTAAATAAAAGTAATTATCAAAATCATTCAAATACCTCTTCAGAATATCTACCTAAGTAATAATAAACCAAAAACCTCTAAATCGTGTTGTCAACCATAAAAGGTTATGCCTCCCTCTTGTTCTACTGTAATAAAAAAATATCCACGACTATTTGACTTTAATAGAACTCAATGGGTCACAGTCTATATTTTATGGTCCTGATAATGTAAAATTGTTAGCAGAAAAAAATCCTAATACTGGATATATATATCTATTGAAGCAGGCAAAAATAATCAATTGGTTCACTAATGAAATCTCAAACGTATATATATATAATGCTCCAAAAAAGGTCAATGCTAAGAGAAATGCTATTAAATAGCTAATGTATCCAGAGAATATCACAAAAACATCTCTATAATAGAGTATAACACTTTGTCTGTTAACAGTAAACCTTGTGAGTAGGATGTTATAGTTATAAAGTGTCCACTTATCTATTTGTTACTCCTACTAAGGATGTAGATAAAGTGAAAAGATCAGGACAGAAAGGGAGGTTTAGAAAATTATTAAAATATGTGCATAGCCATACTTAGAGTGTTGGCTGCCTGCACATGATAGTAGTGAAAGTGCCCCAATGTGACAGTGATAAAAAGTGAGAAGCGGAAAAGGGTTTTGATAATTACTTTTATTTACATTATTATTTTTCCAGCTTTAAGCCTATTTTGCTGGATTAGTTTTTCCAACATTTAAGCTTTTTTCTTATTCATTGAACTTTATAGGGGTTAAGCCCCAGGACATAACTGGAGTGTCCAAACAGGTTTTGTTGTGGGTCTCCAGGTACGTTTCTCCTTTAAGGATTGTATTCTTACTAGGAAAGCCCACAACTTTATTTCTATTTTTAAAAAATAATTCTCCCATGAGATTATTGTCTTAAATTCTATGCCAGCATTGAAAGGCAATATTTAAAGATATAGAACTCGTACTCTCATCATGCTTTACCAAAAATGAGTAATGCGCTATTTGGTGTATTTTAGTGTATGACTATTTATATAGACATTTTATACATGTGATTCTTTATACACTAACTTACAATAACACCCATTACTCTCACTGTAATCATATAGGATATGATAGATCTGAGGTTGGTGATGTGTGTCCTAGTAAAATGTAATGTCAATTTTGCGATTAGTAATCAATGACAAGTGGGGTTTATTTACTATACTAAGAGTAAAAGCAATTTGAAATCCAGTTGGAAAGATTGCAAACCAACAGGGCAGATCTTGAGAATAATTTTTAAAGTGGCTTAGTCCATCTATTAAATTTCAATTACTCTCTATGGGAGTTTGCTAAAAGCTGGGAGAGGTTCCCCTCCCCCCACTGATGTGAATGTGATATGCATGCAGTTAATTACCATATGTATATATATATATATATATATATATATATATATAAAAAATATATATATATATATAAAGCATTTCTCTGACAACGCTATTTTAAAACTGCAGTCTCTTGTAAATTTAGAGTGTTTGAAAGTTAAAAATAATAAACAACAAAAACTAAATCAGAATTGTTAAACTTTAAACAGTATATCTGGAGTGCAACACAGAGTAAAGTTAGTCTATCTGCTGGAAAAAAAGTCTGTCTGTTAGAGCCTTGTACTAAGTCCTGCAGAATTGGATTCCTCAAAATATCTGTCTGCAAGTGGACAGCCCAGTGCCACAATATCATCACATATAAATGTAGCAGCCCTGTGAAAAGAGTAGCAAAACACATCAAATAGTATGTTCCAGGTATTATTATTATTATAAATTTTAAAAACTTAATTGTTCCTGATAACATAAGCTTGAACACTTTATGATCAGGAAGGATTTTCAAGTCCTCCAAAGAACAGTCTGCAAACTGATTTCAGTTATGGGAACACTTGTTTATTTATATTACCTTAAAGAGAGAAACTTTATGATAAGTAATTGTTTTAGCTATCACAGTGTTTAGACTATTTATACACAGTTAAAAGGATACTGTAAGCACCAAAACAACTTTAGCTTAATTAAACAATTTTGGTGTATAGATCATTCTCCTGAAGTCTCACTGTTCGATGCTCTGCTATTTAGAAGTTAAATCACTTTGTTTTTGCAGCCCTAGCCGCACCTCCCCTGGCTGTGACTATCACGGCCTCCATGAAAAAAAAAAACATTTCACTTATACACCACAGTGTGTTTACTTTAGAAGCTTGTACCCCCTGTTCTGTTAATTGAACTTTAAAGGACCACTATAGTGCCAGGAAAACATACTCGTTTTCCTGGCACTATAGTGCCCTGAGGGTGCCCCCACCCTCAGAGACCCCCTCCCGCCCGGCTCTGGAAGGGGGAAAGGGGTTAAAACTTACCTTTTTCCAGCGCCGGGAGCTCTCCTCCTTCTCTCCTCCTCCGCTCTCCTTCCTGGCTGAATGCGCGCTGCAAGAGCTGCGCGATTCAGCCTGTCGATAGGAAAGCATTTACAATGCTTTTCTATGGACGCTAGATGCTCTCACTGTGAAAAATCACAGTGAGGAGACGCAAGCGCTTCTAGTGGCTGTCAATGAGACAGCCACTAGAGGAATTAGGGGGAAGGCTTAACCCATTCATAAACATAGCAGTTTCTCTGAAACTGCTATGTTTATAAAAAAATGGGTTAACCCTAGAAGGACCTGGCACCCAGACCACTTCATTAAGCTGAAGTGGTCTGGGTGCCTAGAGTGGTCCTTTAATCACATACAGGAGGCTGCTGTATGCTCTAGCTAACACCATGATCACAGCAATTTTTCTATTTCTGTGTTTATCACTGGTGAGGCCTTACAGTAATTGCCGAATGGAGATTTCACAAGGCATTGAGAGGTCACAAGGAGGTCATTGTTTTTTTGTTTGTTTTTTTTTTGCTTTTTAATATATTTGAAGCTATTACAACTAATTCTGTTATTTTTCACTAGGCTAAGTGGGGTAACATTTATTTTCACTTGCTACAAAAGGTACTTTCTGATGAATGCAGAATTTACTTCCTCAGCAGGTAAAACTAATTTTGTACAGTATGTAATAATTTAAAAATATTTACTGAATGCATTTACAATTATTCACTGTTACAAATGTTCTTTTACTTTAAAAAAAATGTACTTTTGTTAAGGTTTCAATAAGATGAACCTCCCATATCAATGTATATAAGTAAATGACATATCAAAAAATCTTACCACAATCTGTCAAGAAAATCCACTTGTATTTTCATTTCTGTTTAGTTTTTGCTGATGTGTTTCATGTGAAGTCTCTATTGTGGGCTATAATAAATGAAAAATGCTGATATATGGTGTTGGAAAAAATTACTTTTTTTTTTTCAATATCCTTGTTTAGTACTTGTTTACCTCAGAAATCCACACCACATGAAAACATGTTTATAGAAAATAACATAGAAAAAACAGTCCTATTTTTAAGCGGCGCTGTCACCTGTCAAAGAAATAAAATCTTTATAAAATACTCATATTGATTGTGTTGGAATTGCACTGAAAATCAAACACAATGGAGAGATTTACTAAGACATAGTAGGGACTTTTTTTTCTCAGTATATTTCCTACACCTGACACTTCTTGACACTGGGCGGAGCTACCACCGTCAAGACAAGTCAATACCCCAGCCTTCACCAGTGGCTGCAGGGAAATTGGTTATATCTATCCAAAGACCTCAATACTGTACTCTTGCGCGTGCGAGAAGCGCGAGGAGCAGACGAGAATCAGTCGGAAGAGGATGGAGGAGCCCAGGAGGGAAAGGTTCAGGTAAGTAAATCTCTGCTATGCTTGCAACCCTCTCTTCCCATGCCACCGGACCCCAGAGACAATGTCACCGTCAAAGGTCTTTATAAATGATGCAAAGTCCCTAAAGGATGACAGTTCTGCTAAAATAGGGAGTGTGAACCTGTTGTTATATTTTATCTGTCTAGGTGTCACTTGGGAAGAGAAATACATTGCTTTACTAAACAATGTACTTTCTTCTTGCCCATTGGTTAATAAAACTGATAGTGTAGATTTAGTCACTGTTACTGAGACATGGTATAATGAGAAAAATGACTGGGACATAGCAATACCAGGGTACTCTTTATATAGAAAAGATAGGGAAGGCAAGAAAGGGGAGGGGTGGCCCTGTATGTGAAGGATAGCATAAAATCTAGCCTAATAAAAGTTAGTGAGGCAAACATAGAGTCCGTTTGGGTTACGTTAGAATTTGGTAATCACACAGTAACTCGTGTAGGTGTGATTTATAGGCCCCCAGGACAAATTGAAGAGTTAGATAATCTACTAGTCGAGGAAATAGCTAAAATGACAACGAAGGGGGAAGTTATCATTATGGGTGACTTTAATCTTCCTGATGTAAATTGGAAAACAAAATTAGCTACTTGTGCCAGGAGCACACATATTCTAAACACCCTACTGGGATTGTCTCTAAATCAAGTTGTTGAGGAGCCAACTCGTAAAGAGGCCATACTAGATTTAGTGTTAACAAATGGAGATTTGGTTTCAGATATTACTGTAGTCGAAAGTTTAGGAGCCAGTGATCATCAGTCAGTGTGGTTTAATACAGGGAGTGCAGAATTATTAGGCAAGTTGTATTTTTGAGGATTAATTTTATTATTGAACAACAACCATGTTCTCAATGAACCCAAAAACTCATTAATATCAAAGCTGAATATTTTTGGAAGTAGTTTTTAGTTTGTTTTTAGTTTTAGCTATGTTAGGGGGATATCTGTGTGTGCAGGTGACTATTACTGTGCATAATTATTAGGCAACTTAACAAAAAACAAATATATACCCACTTCAATTATTTATTATTACCAGTGAAACCAATATAACATCTCAACATTCACAAATATACATTTCTGACATTCAAAAACAAAACAAAAACAAATCAGTGACCAATATAGCCACCTTTCTTTGCAAGGACACTCAAAAGCCTGCCATCCATGGATTCTGTCAGTGTTTTGATCTGTTCACCATCAACATTGCGTGCAGCAGCAACCACAGCCTCCCAGACACTGTTCAGAGAGGTGTACTGTTTTCCCTCCTTGTAAATCTCACATTTGATGATGGACCACAGGTTCTCAATGGGGTTCAGATCAGGTGAACAAGGAGGCCATGTCATTAGATTTTCTTCTTTTATACCCTTTCTTGCCAGCCACGCTGTGGAGTACTTGGACGCGTGTGATGGAGCATTGTCCTGCATGAAAATCATGTTTTTCTTGAAGGATGCAGACTTCTTCCTGTACCACTGCTTGAAGAAGGTGTCTTCCAGGAACTGGCAGTAGGACTGGGAGTTGAGCTTGACTCCATCCTCAACCCGAAAAGGCCCTCACAAGCTCATCTTTGATGATACCAGCCCAAACCAGTACTCCACCTCCACCTTGCTGGCGTCTGAGTCGGACTGGAGCTCTCTGCCCTTTACCAATCCAGCCACGGGCCCATCCATCTGGCCCATCAAGACTCACTCTCATTTCATCAGTCCATAAAACCTTAGAAAAATCAGTCTTGAGATATTTCTTGGCCCAGTCTTGACGTTTCAGCTTGTGTGTCTTGTTCAGTGGTGGTCGTCTTTCAGCCTTTCTTACCTTGGCCATGTCTCTGAGTATTGCACACCTTGTGCTTTTGGGCACTCCAGTGATGTTGCAGCTCTGAAATATGGCCAAACTGGTGGCAAGTGGCATCGTGGCAGCTGCACGCTTGACTTTTCTCAGTTCATGGGCAGTTATTTTGCGCCTTGGTTTTTCCACACGCTTCTTGCGACCCTGTTGACTATTTTGAATGAAACGCTTGATTGTTCGATGATCACGCTTCAGAAGCTTTGCAATTTTAAGAGTGCTGCATCCCTCTGCAAGATATCTCACTATTTTTGACTTTTCTGAGCCTGTCAAGTCCTTCTTTGACCCATTTTGCCAAAGGAAAGGAAGTTGCCTAATAATTATGCACACATGATATAGGGTGTTGATGTCATTAGACCACACCCCTTCTCATTACAGAGATGCACATCACCTAATATGCTTAATTGGTAGTAGGCTTTCGAGCCTATACAGCTTGGAGTAAGACAACATGCATAAAGAGGATGATGTGGTCAAAATACTCATTTGCCTAATAATTCTGCACTCCCTGTATAACAACAGTGACTGAGTCACACCACACGAAAACAAAAGTTTTAGACTTTAGAAAAACAGACTTTTCTAAAATTAGAATATGGGTAGAGGAGTCATTATCAGACTGGAGCAATTTAAATGGAGTCCAAGAGAAATGGGATTATTTAAAAGTTGCACTATTGAAGGCAACAGAAAATTGCATTAGGCTTGTCAGTAAAAGCAAAAAAATCAAGAAACCACTGTGGTACTCCGCAGATGTGGCCAAAATAGTTAAAAACAAAAAGTTAGCATTTAGGAATTATAAAAAAAACCAGAGTGAGGAAGACAAAATGATCTATAAGATTAGGCAGAAAGAGGCTAAGCAAGTTATAAGAGCTTCCAAATCACACACAGAAGAGAAAATAGCACAGTCAGTAAAAAAGGGGGACAAAACATTTTTTAGATACATAAATGAGAAAAGAAAAGTAAAACAAGGATTAGTTAGATTAAAAACAAAAGAAGGAAGGTATGTAGAAGAGGATAAAGGTCTAACTGACTGCCTCAATTAATATTTTTGTTCTGTATTTACAGATGAAAATGAAGGAAAAGGACCTCAGTTGAGAAAAAGGATAAATGAGTCATTTATTACACATGAGTTTACAGAGGAAGAGGTTCTATTTCAACTGTCAAAAGTAAAGACAAATAAGTCAATGGGACCTGATGGAATACACCCAAAGCTATTGAAAGAGCTTAGTGGTGTACTAGCAAAACAATTAACAGATTTATTTAACCAATCATTGTTAACAGGAGTAGTCCCAGAAGATTGGAAGTTAGCGAATCTTGTGCCCATTTACAAGAAAGGTAATAGGGAGGAGTCGGGCAGCTATAGGCCAGTAAGCCTTACTTCAGTAGTGGGGAAAGTGATGGAAACCATGTTAAAGGATAGGATTGTTGAACATCTAAAAACACATGGATTTCAAGATCAGAGACAACATGGGTTTACTTCAGGGAGATCATGCCAAACTAATCTTATTGATTTTTTTGATTGGGTATCTAAAATTATAGATCAGGGTGGTGCAGTAGACATTGCTTACCTAGATTTCAGTAAGGCTTTTGACACTGTTGCACATAGAAGACTTATCAATAAACTGCAATCTTTAAGTTTGGATTCCAATATTGTTGAATGGGTAAGGAAGTGGCTGAGTGACAGGCAACAGACGGTTGTAGTTAATGGAATATATTCGAAGCTTGGACTTGTCACCAGTGGGGTACCTCAGGGATCTGTACTTGGACCCATTCTCTTTAATATTTTCATTAGTGATATTGCAGAAGGTCTTGATGGTAAGGTATGTCTTTTTGCTGATGATACTAAGATATGTAACAGGGTTGATGTTCCAGGAGGGATAAGCCAAATGCCAAATGATTTAGGTAAACTAGAAAAATGGTCAGAATTGTGGCAACTGACATTTAATGTGGATAAGTGCAAGATAATGCATCTTGGACGTAAAAACCCAAGGGCAGAGTACAGAATATTTGATAGAGTCCTAACCTCAACATATGAGGAAAGGGATTTAGGGGTGAATATTTCTGATGACTTAAAGGTAGGCAGACAATGTAATAGAGCAGCAGGAAATGCTAGCAGAATGCTTGGTTGTATAGGGAGAGGTATTAGCAGTAGAAAGAGGGAAGTGCTCATGCCATTGTACAGAACACTGGTGAGACCTCACTTGGAGTATTGTACACAGTACTGGAGACCGTATCTTCAGAAGGATATTGATACCTTAGAGAGGGTTCAGAGAAGGGCTACTAAACTGGTTCATGGATTGCGGGATAAAACTTACCAGGAAAGGTTAAAGGATCTTAACATGTACAGCTTGGAGGAAAGACGAGACAGGGGGGATATGATAGAAACATTTAAATATATAAAGGGAATCAACACAGTAAAGGAGGAGACTATATTTAAAAGAAGAAAAACTACCACAACAAGAGGACATAGTCTTAAATTAGAGGGACAAAGGTTTAAAAATAATATCAGGAAGTATTACTTTACTGAGAGGGTAGTGGATGCATGGAATAGCCTTCCAGCTGAAGTGGTAGAGGTTAACACAGTAAAGGAGTTTAAGCATGCGTGGGATAGGCATAAGGCTATCCTAACTATAAGATAAGGCTAGGGACTAATGAAAGTATTTAGAAAATTGGGCAGACTAGATGGGCCGAATGGTTCTTATCTGCCGTCACATTCTATGTTTCTATAAAAACACATAGGGTCATTGCAATGTAGTCCTATTACATTTACTCCCTACTGTTGTATAAAAAAATAAATATGTGAACCACAAAATGAGAACAGTAACTGTAAAATACAGTGACTAAATGTAGCTGGTAAAAAATAGAAGAAAAGCCTGCATTTTGGATGAGAATCTCAAACACGAATGCATAAACAGTGATGTGAAACATATTTAGGTCATTTGGACATATGCATAATTGAATTGATAAAAATTTGAAAAACTTGCGTCTATATTTGTGACTCTGCCTTAAATTTAAAACAATAACAACCCACTGTGTTTTTTTATGTAATGTGTTACCTACCTGGACCTGCTCATTGTGATTTCTGGGGCTGTTATAAGGGGCTGGCAGCACCATGCTAAGCTCAAGATCAGCAACCATCTGACGAGATTCTGCTAGTAAACGGTGTAGTGTCGGGGAAGAGGATTTCTGCAACGGACAAGAAACAAAGAGTGTGATATAGCCAATCAAACCACTGCAAAACAAAGCTTCATTCTCAGTTTACCTACTATAAAACCAAACGCACTCATAATGCTAAAGGGAAAATAAAAAAAAAACAGCTGCAGGGAGTACATGTAAAATTAATTACAAGCAATTTTTTAGCATTTACATTCATGAATGTGCAATGTATTAAAATTACAATAAATTTATTTTTTTTTAGCTGTGTGACAGTCAATCTATAGGTATAACAAAATTAACTGAATTATTTATTTCTTATCATTTTTCCTTATAACCTGGTGTAACAATCCAATACCACACAATATTATCAATACAAAATGTATTAAAGGGACACTATAGTCATTAGAACAACTACAGCTTACTGCATTTGTTCTGGTGAGTAGAATCATACCCTTCAGGCTTTTTGCTGTAAACACCGTCTACATTACAGCCTAGTGATAACTTCACTGGCCACGCCTCAGATGGCTGTTAGAGATCCTTCCTGGGTCATGGCTGCCTAAAATGCATCCAAACATTCAGTGTATCCTCCCTCTGCATGCAGATACTGAACTTTCCTCATAGAGATTCAATGATTCAATTAATCTCTATGATGCCGATTGGCCAGGGCTGTGTTTGACTTGTGCTGGCTCTGCCCCTGATATGCCTCCTTCACAGTCTCAGCCAATCCTATTGGGAAGCATTGTGATTGGCTCAGAACAACACTTCTGATGATGTCGGCAGACAGCTTGCTATTGTAAGGCAGACGGGCAGAGCCAGCAGCTTTAGGCTTGAATACAAGTAAGATTTTACTATATGTAGGGAGGCAAGAGAGGGCCAGGGGGCTAGATGGTGGTTTTAACAATATAGGGTCAGAAATATATGTTTGTATTCCTGACCCTATAGTGCTCCTTTAAGTAAGTGAGAAAAGCAAGACTGCTGCATGGACTAACGTAAAGAAATCCAATGTGTCAATTCTGTATTACAGCTTAAAGCACCTTATAACCTAATGTCGTATTTGCTGAACCTACTACATTGAAATTCCAGTCAATGATAATTTATTAAGGAATGTTTAATATAGAATGATCATATCTAAGAAAGAAAAAAAAAAAGTTTACAGATATGGAGATTACATTTATTAATACTGAAAAAAAGATATAAACAATGCATCTCTATTTCAGTGGAGATGAACATTAATTGGAAAATGGAAGGACCACTGCTTGAGCACATTATGTTAAATATTTGCATCAATATAGCAGTATCCTTATCTGACATACACACAGATTGTATAGAGCAGCATTTCCCAATTGGTATTCTGCGGAACCCGAAGGTAACATTCAAGATGGCCGCCGCTCCCTGCTATTCCCGGAAGGTCGTAAACACCAGAGATTGCGCAACCGCGATCTTATTAAGAGATCGCAAGACTGCCGTTATGCACACCTGCTGTCAGCCCGCCCTCCGTCAGCCATTTCACATCCACTCAGTGATAGAGAGTGGAAGCATTCAAGCAGACGCTCACCTCACAATATTGGCCACAGGAGAAATGATTTCTTTTTAGATTCTTTATTTTTGTTAATGCAGTGTTATTCATAGAAGCTGTTTTAAACATAACAGTAAGGATTTGAGTGACAGTGAAAATCAGTAGTAGATGTCAGAAACACTGCACTTAAATCAGGCAAAAATAACATGTAAAATAGTATTTTACTGCCTTTATGGATAACTGCCCTTTAGAGTAGTGCCCATTGTGGCATATGGGGGTAGGTTTATTTATTTTTATTTTTTTGAAGAGATTGTGCTAAAAGTTTGCAACTGAAAACAAGTTACTGGGTTAGGCTTCTCATGTTTTTGTTGGTTAAACTTATTTGCATATACTATTTTCTGCTTACTATCTGTAGAAATCAGTGCTATACCAAAAAAATAATTTCTTTCTAAGAGCAGTTAAAACAGCATACTTTGCAGTCTAGTAGTGAAATCTGTACTAAAGTGTTTTTTACACTCCAAGAATGACTCAAAATCCTGCTTATGGTTAAGTTCTAAGTGCCTTCTAAAACATCCTTTTCAGTCCGGTAGTGAGATCTGTTTTTAAGTGTGCAAATCTTTTTGTTCCAAGACTGACTAAAAATCCTGCTTACATTAAGTTCTTTGTAAGAGCTTTATAAGAAACAGCATCCGTTGCAGCCAGTAAGTGAAATCTGAATTTTTCTAAAGGTTAGAGAAGTGTTTTTATATTACCAACAACCATGAATTTGGACATCTGGTTAAAACAAGGAACTATCAATGGAAAAATTACTACTTCCAACTGTTCGTCACTTATAGAAACTGAGAAAAAAGATACAACAAGAAATCAAGAAAACAGATCCCAAATAGTTCAATCTATTTTTCCTCAAATAGCAGAGACAAGAGACAAGTCAAAGTTAAAAAGAAAAGCACACAATGCTAGCCAATCTTCTTCTCAAACAAATAAAATAAAATATGATGATAGCAACTTATCATTTGGATTCACAAGTGCCAGAAATAAAAAAAATTCTCAAGCACAATGCGTACTTTGCAAGAAAATGTTGCCAAACAGTTCATTAGCACCTGCTCAATTACATCGTCATTTTGAGCAAAAGCACCCAGAGTACAAAGATAAAGACATTGCCTTTTTTTAAGCGAAAGCTTCAGGAGTATCATAAGACTAAACAGTTTTTGAGCAAAATGTTTAAAAATGATAATAGAAAAGCCACTTATTAAAAGGTTTGTGCTACGGCACCAAATTTTTTTCTGTGACAAAGGGTTCCGCGGGAAAAAGTTATTGGGAACCCCTGGTATAGAGTAAGACAGTGGTTCCCAAACTTTTTAGGTTCAAGGCGCCCTTAATATTTCAACATTTTCCCAAGGCAACCCAAGTCAAAATGTATAGGTTTTAGATCTGTACAGCACTGCGGCATTTACTGGCGCTATAATGTAACGTACTGTGTTGGTGTTTGAAGTGTTTCTTATATATAGTTTTAGTATTATAATATAGGGGTGTGTTTGTATGTAATGTTTGTGTTTGATTGCAGGGGTGTGTTTTGAATTTAATGTTCACTTTTAAATGTGGGTGTGCATTTGTATGAAATATTTGCGTTTGAATGAAAGGGTATGTTTGTATATCCTTTTGGAGTTTGAATGCATGTGTGTGTTTGTATGTAATATTTGTGTTAGATTGCAGGAGTGTATTTGTATGTTGTGCTGGTGTATGACTGCTTGGATGTATGTACATACACTACCACATACATACTTACTTACATAGATATACATACAGACAAATTCATATAAACATCAACACATACACACATAGATACACACCGACACATACACATACCTTAACACACACACGCACCATGACACACACAGACATTTATATATTCATATATTTCTCCACAGCATTTGTTTTTAGTTAAGAATACTGACTTATCAAAATGAAGTTTTTTATCCTGAATACTTGGCATAAAGATCCATTTCTAAAATTAAGGCTTTCAGTGAAGATTCAGGTTCTTCCAGAGTCAATATATTGTCCGCTTATAAGTTATATTTACTTTGACTATTGTCTGTATGAAAACCTCTAATATGGGTTTGTTCTTATTCTAATTGCTAGTGGTTCTGGGGCAAGGATAAATAAAAGTGGTGAAAGCTGGCAGCCCTGACATGTACCATATTTTATCTGTAAGCTCTGAGAGAAAATTAGGTCCTTTTACCCTGGCTGATGGATTTACATATAAGGCCCGGATTGCATTCATCATTCCTTTCCCAAATCCATAGTTTTCTAATGCTTTAAACATAAAATCCCATCCTATCAAATGCCTTTTTGGAACCAACAACGATATCTATACTTCTCATATGATTTATTGCAGATCTTCCTGGTATGAAGCCAACTTGCTCTTCATCAATGACATAGTGTACAATAGATTTTTATTATTTCTGCTAAAATTGTTGAATACATTTTGATATCTGAATTAAATAATGAGATTGGTCTGAAATTAGTTATTAGTTGTTTGTCTTTATTCTGTTTGGGAATAGGAATGATGTTTGCCTTCAATGGTTCATCTGGTGCATTAGCTTTCTGTTTGATCTCATTGAAAGTTTTTGGCAATTCACTACTAATGTTCTCTTTTAGCAGTTTAAAAAATAAATTCGAGAAGCCATCTGGTCCTGGAGATTTCTTTTATTTCAATTTATCTATTGCTTTTACCACCTCCTCCACTTCTATTGGGGAATCTAACTTTTCTTTTTGGGCCTCAGAGATCTTAGGCAAACTGCATTTTTAAAATATCCATATACTGCTGGACTGAAGTATTCCCTGGTAAATTATATAAACTTCGATAATATTTAGCAAATGCCTCCCCAATATTGTCTGGGATTTGTATTACTTCTCCTTTTTTGTGTATTTTTGTTATTGCTCTTTCTGGCTTTTAATTTTTCAGTATTTTTATGGTAAGTTAATTTACCTTATTGCTTTTATAATACCATTTACATTTCAGTTTTTCTAATGCTCTACTTGCTTTTAACCCCATAAGGACGGTGGGCGGAATATGCCGTCCTTGGCGACCCGGCTCTAAACGCCGATGGGCGGGCGGCATAGCATGTTCCCGCCGTCCTATTCACTTAGCGGCATATACCAGGCAGTCCCCCTGCATCTAATCCGACCCTCCTGGGCCATGTGATCACGAGGTCCTTGCGAGGACCTCACTGTTATGATTCAATAATATTTAGACTGAGAATTGTGGAACACAACTGCAGAATTACTTGATGGTACTATACCTTTAACCCCTTAAGGACACATGACATGTGTGACATGTCATGATTCCCTTTAATTCCAGAAGTTTGGTCCTTAAGGGGTTAAGAAAAAACAAAGACAACTTCCAATACAATTTCTTGAGAGTTTTTATTTTCTCTTATTGAATCAAGTTAAAGACAATTTGTCTAATACTTCCAGTTTTGGCATTAAGGAAAAAAGAAAGCTTTATGCAATTCTCTTGTTTGCATTAAAAAGGAAAAAGTAATAAAGAATGTCCTCATTTATACAAATAGGTTTCTTGAATCAATTTGTAATTAAACTGAATGCATGGCACATGAGAATTGTTTTTTCTTAAATGCAGGCTGCAGCAATGATTAACTTGATAAGTGGCACAATGAATATGATTCTCCTTATATACAGATTAAAGCAATATAAAAACTTGATAAGTGACACATAGAATTTGATAATCCTTATATCAAGGTTGCAGCAATATATGAACTTGATAAATGGCACAATGAAGTTGATTCTCCTTATATGCTGGTTGCAGTAATATATATACTTAATAAGTGGCACAATGAATCTGATTCTCCTTATATGCAGGTTGAAGCAATATATATACTGAATAAGTGAAACATAGAATTTAGTAATCCTTATTTGCAGGTTGTAGTATTATTGAGATTAAGTTGAAATGATACTTAAGGTTTCTCCAGAGCGTCCTGTATTTGTAGCAGAGATGGTAAGATCTGCAATTGGTTAAATGTATTAGCAGTAGATACAGGAGTCCTTGTAGATTACGGCTACTGAAGAGGGCGAGATGTACGAGGTTGCAGCAGCGAAACAAGAAGTCTCAGTGTGGAGACCGAGGTTTGTTTCAAAATAACTCAGCAATGGGAGTTTGGCCCAGCTTCCTTATAAAGCAGGTGAGTGAAGTGTCATCAGAATGGGAGGAGCTTACTTCTGAACGAGGAAGTAACTTCGGGGGAGCAGAGTCACGGTAATTATATGATACTCACGATCACATGGACGGAATAGCTGTCCATAGCAGTGCCAGCTGGGGGAGTGCCTGGAATGACAGACTGTCCCCCTGCTGCATGAAATAAAGTTAAATAAAGTTTAAACATAGTTTAAAATTAAAAAATGTGTAATATATACATACTTACACATACACGGTCTAAGTGTATTTTAATAGTAAAGGATCACTATAGGGTCAGGAACACAAACATGTATTCCTGATCCTATAGTGTTAACACCACCATCTAGCCCCCCTGGGCCCCTCATGCCTCCATAAATATAGCAAAATCTTACTGTATTCAAGCCTGAAGCTGTAACTCTGCATGCTGTAAGACTCAGAAAAACAAGCAGTCTGCTGACATCATCAGAAGTGGTGGCCTGATCCAATCACAGTGCGTCCCCATAGGATTGGCTGAGACTGACAAAGAGGCAGATCAGGGGCAGAGCCAGCATGATTCAAACACAGCCCTGGCCAATCAGCATCTCCTCATAGAGCTGAATTGAATCAATGACTCTCTATGAGGAAAGTTCAGTGTCCGCATGCAGAGGGAGGAGATACTGAATGTTTGGATGCATTTTAGGCAGCCATGACCCAGGAAGGATCTCTGACAGCCATCTGAGGAGTGGCAAGTGAAGTTATCACTAGGCTGTGATGTAAACACTGCATTTTCTCTGAAAAGACAGTGTTTACAGCAAAAAGCCTGAAGGTAATGATTTTACTCACCAGAACAAATTCCAGACTAATTCAATATAACTAATTTATATTGAATCTATAAGTCTACATTAGAGGTGAGTGTCCCTGGCATCATTTCTATATATTACAATGTTACAATGTATGTCTGTGTATTTAGTTTATTACGTGCTTCCATTACTTATTCCTAAACGTAATGTGCAATTTCCAGTTTCTATTTATATGTAGGTTCCTAACCCTCTCTATCCTGTATTTTCAGATTAATATAATTTACATTATACAAAAATTAAAAAAACTAAGCTCATAAAATTAAAGGAAATAAACATTTCAAGCAGGTAAATTAGCATTTCCTTTTCCCTCTTAGCCTTCCCATCATAGGTATTTCTATTTTACCCTTAAATCTTTCATACATAAAAGTAAGCACTACCCTATCCCTTTCTGTGAACAATTGTGTGAAATTTGTGTATTTGGTATATTGTGCTTCCCTTTCTTATTTCTGTACATATTGTGTAAATCCTGGTTAATATTTATATGCGGTCGGGGAAGAGGCCCTACTCCCTTATATTCAGGGGATGGTAGCCTCACTTCTAGCCAGAAACGATGTCAAAGACCTCATACTCACGGCCTTTAGAATCCGCAAAGCCGCAACTGCCCCGCAAGGAGCACCAAGAGATGTCATCGCCGCCACCACCAGAAACATTGCAGTGAGAACTGGCATTATGTCCAGATCCAGAACCCTCGGCACGGTCACCTACGAGGGCGGCACAGTGTCAATATATGGTGATCTACCATTCAGAGTATTAGCAGCGAAGAGGCACCTCACCCCCACCGCCAAGCAACTCAGAGAAGCAGCAATCTGCTACTGCTGGGGAGACAACAGATCAATAATAGTGCCAAGGGGACAAGAGACCTTTATTCTGACCCTGACAGAGGACCCAAAGGCGTTTATGCAGAGACTGCATGATGGGGCTACCAACCTAGAGGAGCCGGGATCCATCCAGAGGGCAAAGCCCACAGGGACATGACTATCCCCAAACCCCTGAGCAGTCAACCCAGACGGTCAGGTTTCACGCCACACTAAACTACCCAGCGAACACAGCAAGGCCCAGAGATGGGTGCCGGCAAGCCCACACACATGACATAAAGCAGACCACACAAGATGTAGCAGACCACTCACCTACATAACAAAGACAGGTACCATGATTAGGGGGCCCAGACACTGAGACGGATAGCAGCAGCACTACCGTGATGGCACATACCGCATAGCTACACGAGCGTAGCCCGAGCCGACACAGCCCAACTCATTCAGACAACCGGCATCACCAAACCCTATACCGTAGACACAGACCGTAACCTTCCTCTCCCACTTACAAATATACCACTAGACCACAATGTGGGTTTAGTAACTGCCATACAACGAAACAGAGCAAGATGTTACTTTGTCAATTTAATAATTACTATACTATGAATCAGTTGTATTTTGTGTGAATATTTCTAATAAAATACAAATTAATTTGTTTATCCTATTAGACACACAGGAATGAGAAAAAAAAATAATAATAATAAATTCATCTTGCTGCAGTAAAAGACCAGTCCTTATTAGGGGTAACCCTTAAAGATTATGTTCTTGAATCCACTGTTTTAACTTTGTGGGAGTATTAAAATTCTATCTTTTTCCTTCTCTGTTGCATTGTAGTCTAGTGGGAAACCCCTATGAATATTTTATATCATTGTCTCTTTTTGTCAGTGGAGCAAATTCTCTTCTTTGTTGCCTAGTTTGGTATGAAATGTCTGAAAAGACTTTAATTGATTCGTATGCTGTGTCCTTTGTTCAATTTTTTTATTAGAGCTGAGGTGATTTGTTGTTTTGTTCTGTACGAATGACAGCAGACTAGAACATTTCTTGGGAAATGTGTTGGTGTACTTGCGGGTTTCTGCAATCTGTGCATTCTCTCGATAGAAGAAATTCTTGTATATATTGGTTCAATTTCGATTCTGAGATCCCTATTATTCTGAGATTAGATCTTCTGGATCTATATTCCAAATCTTGTACTTTTTGTTCAATGTTCTTGAGTTTGTCTTCTAATGATGTATTTATATCTTTTTGATCAGATGTCGGTTCTTCAGCCATTCTATTTTTTCTTCTATTTGTTTTAGTTTAGTGCCCAAATTCAGAATCTAAGATCTTAGATATTCCGTGCTTGTCTCAATTTCCTTTTTCATTTTTTCCCCCCAAAACAATTTTTATTGTGAATGCATGATACAAGAATATGGCACGAATGACATTAACAGCTTAAAAGCAGTTCCTTTTTCATTTTGATAAAATGCAAATAAAAACATTCTTGAAGGTGTTCAGCAGTGATATTTTTTTGATCAATGCTAGTTTTTGTATTATGAGTATCTAGATCAAAGTTGTCTCCATACTGTGCTTGTGTACTATTGTCTTTCAGTAAGGATATATCTCTGTCCATCTTGGGCTCCACCGCCGTAAAGAGGTTAGAAAGTCTTTTTTCAGGTTTTTTATCCTTCCTTTGGTTTGTTTGTTTCGTGTCAACTTTTCCTGTTAGACATTTTGCAGTATGAGACACACTGAGTTAATAAGGTGGCTGGATAATCTTTTCTGTTTAGTAACTATATTAGACAGCAATTCCTAAGTAGGAGACAGATTGTGTGTATTTCTTCTATCTCTATAGGAGCCACCTTTCTTATTTAAAGATTATTGAGCTGATTAACCTGTTGGATTAAGGGCATCACTTTTCATGTGAATCACTACTGAAATTTTTATTTCCTTTTCCCCAACTTATTGATGTTTGAAGAATTTACAGGTGCTCCATAATTCTGATATATATCATTACACAAATTCACAGGCCTTATGTTACAGCTTTGTTAAGTTCTTTTTCCCAATTACTTTATTTTATTCCTTGGGTTTATTTCCCATATGTCTCTTGTTCTAAATAGGAGACAGGTATTGTGTATAATTTTCAAACTCTCAAGGAGTCAAACTATTTATTGAGGTTTATTGTGCAGATGGAATTACATACCTAAACTTTAGGGCATCATTTTTATGTATAACACACCAGATTCTTTTTTCTTTTCTTTTCCCAAATTAAAAGTTTATTTCTCAAATGCACAGATAGTTGGGATTATTCCTCCTGTTCATTTCTTAAAACTGTGCAGACTGTTTAATGGAAGATATACCAATGTGATTTCTAAATCTCCCCTTGAATGAAAAATATATACCACAAATCTACTATATAAATGAGTATAGTGAGATTACATATGTCCCAGTTTATTGTGTACAGGCATCTATTGTGAGTTGCAGTCCTGCACCTTTTTTTTTTTTTTTTTTGGCAATCTTCGTTTTTATTGAAGCACAGTATGTATACAGACAGAGAATAAACAATTGTAAGCTTACAGACGTCAGGCATGTTGTCGCACATACGGCAATGCTCCCTCCCTGTTTCCCGCCTGTATTTCCCTACCCAGCCTCTGTGAGTAACTGAACAACCGAGCGCAACTGCGCGAACTGAACTTTAGAACGTGTTCCGTATATCTCTACGGGGGAAGATAGGGTAAGGGAATCGAGTATTCCTCTTGTTTTCCTCCCTTTCATTTTTCCCCCCCCTTTTCCGCTTTGTCAGTGTAAGGTCAGTCATACGTGGTATGGGAGAGGGGAAGTGGAGGAGCAGAGAGAGAGAGAAAAGAAAAAAAAAAAGAAAAAAAAAGGGGGGGGGAGGGTAGGTGAGGAAGGGAAGGGGGATGTCGGCCAAGGCGGGGGGAAGGGAGGGGGTGAATCCGCCAGCCCCCCCACACCCCAACCCCTCGCGTACCGGCGCTCACCCCGCTATTCGACCCCCCGCTCCGGCCGTCCTGCAGGCCCCCGAGCCATGTACTCGATCCAGGGAGCCCAGAGACGGGTACATTTCTCCCCTGTACCTCTCAATTCCGCCGTGAGGCTCTCCATGCTGTATATTTCCTCTACCTTCTCCATCCAGTTCGCAACCATTGGGACGGTAGTTGACTTCCAGCGAGCCGGGATCAGGCTCTTGGCGGCATTCAAGAAGTGTCTCGTCAGCGATCTCTTGTATGCCCCCATGGGCATCGTAGTGTGGTGGAGGAGCATCGGTAGAGGCTGCATCGGGAGTCCAGTAGCTCTCGTAATTTCGTGTGTATTTGTTGCCAGAAGGGTACGATGAGACGGCAGGACCGCCAAATGTGCAGGTCCGTGCCGTCTTCGGACTCACATCTCCAACATCTGGCCGTTGGCGACAGGCCCATCCGAAAGAGTTGTGAGGGCGTCCGATACCACCCTGTCATGAGCTTATAGTTCATCTCTTGCAGTTTCGCACTGGTCGTACCTTGGTGCGTGAGGGTGTGTATCTTCTCCCAGTCTGAGTCCGCGAGAGTGACACCCGTGGCTCGTTCCCAGTTAGATTGGTATGGTGCCGGGGGGCTCCGAGCTGCATTCAGCAGCATGGAGTACAGTGTGGAGACCCCCTTAGGTATGCGCCTCCCCTCCGCGCAGAGGGATTCGAAGCCGGTCAGCTCCCTATGTACCAGCTGTTTGCCCGGTAGAGATTGGTAAAAATGCCGAACTTGTTGGTATCTGAATCGAGTCAGCCCAGGTAAGGGCATCATGGGGGCCAGGGCTTCCAGGGGTTTCAGCTGTCCCTCCGCGCACCAGTCCCCTAAGTATGGTTTGTCCGGGCTTCCTATGCCTGTGATGTCTCTCGGCGCCAGCCCTCCAGCAATCTCGGGGTTGTAAATCACCGGGAGTAGCGGGGATGGACTAGTCGTTAGGCCCAACCTGTAGCGGATAGTAGCCCACACTTGCAGAGTTGCCCCTATGAGCGGGTGCCTCCGGATGTCCCTCGTCTGTATGGGCCGTAGTAGCCACGTGACCCAAGGTATGCGCTCTCTGACTTGTGCGCGTTCTAGGTGGACCCATTGCTTATCGGTGTCGGGTACGTCCCAAACCAGGACACACAAGTCGCGCCCCATCTCTTCATGTCCATCCCAAGTGTCGCCAAGAGGGGCAGGAAGTTGTCGGGGAACAATCTGGTCAAGTCCGTCATCAGCCAGATGTCAAGGTATTTAATGCGCTGTGGGCACCATCTGAAGGGGAAATTCGCCCTCAGTTGGGACGTCAGGTCTGGGGGTAGACAAAGCGGCATCGCCTCGGACTTGTCCGTGTTCAGTTTGAAGTTGGAGAGCGCCCCATAGACCCGGAAGGCCCGAAGTAGATTTGGCAGTGTCACCAACGGGTTTGCAATAAAAAATAGCAGGTCATCTGCGTATGCAGCTACCCTATGCTCAACGCCTCCCACAGTGAACCCCGTGATACCCCCGTCCCGTCTGACCGCCGCCAAAATGGTTCGAGCGTGAGGGCAAACAGGAGGGGGGACAGGAGGCATCCCTGCCGCGTCCCATTGGCAATTGAAAAAACTGGGGACAGGGCGCCGTTTATCCGCAGGCGGGCACTTGGGGTCGCATATAGGGCAGCTATCCAGGTCTGAATGTTGGGGCCGAAGCCCATTACCCGTAGGGTCTCCCTCAGGAACTGCCAGTGTACTCTATCAAAAGCATTCTCGGCATCCGTGGAGAGCAGGAGGCCCCCGCCTGCTGTTCCCTTGGTGGCATGTATGAGGTTGAGGGCCCTGATGGTATTATCCTTTGCCTCACGCCCCGGGATGAACCCGGTCTGATCTGGGTGAACCAGGTCTGGAGCCACCACCCCCACTCTGCGGGCTAGAATCTTCGTGAATAGCTTGAGATCCGCATTGAGTAGAGAGATAGGTCTGTAACCGGCACACGAGGTAGGGTCTTTCCCGTCTTTCGGCACCATTGCCACTGTAGCCATGAGGGTATCCTCAGGGAACCTCCCACCCTCCAAAATGGAGTTGAGGCACTCCAGCAGCTCCGGCAGGAGAATCTCCCCGAAGGTGCGTATGTATCGCACGGGAAAGCCGTCCGGTCCTGGGGCTTTATGCATCTTCGCGGCCTTGAGGGCTCCTGAGAGCTCTTCCAAGGTGATGGGGGCATCGAGGTTTTCGGCCTGAGCCTGCGTGAGCTTCCGGGTCACGTGCTGTTCCAGATATTCCCGAATCCCATCTAGGCGCTGTCGGGAAGCCCCCTCCCCAGAGTCCCCCGGCAGGTTGTATAGTTTGGTGTAGAACTCCTGAAATTCCGCCATTATGCCATCCGGCCTGCGTACAGGGGGCGCATTCGCCTTTTGCAGGGTGGTTATTTGGGACATTCGGCGCTTCTTTTATAGCATTCTAGAGAGCAGGCGCCCACATTTGTTGGAATATTCATAAAAGAATCTGCGGGATTTACGGAGCATATACGAGAGGGTCCTGGATAGCAGGCTCTTCAGTTCTTTCCTCGCCTCCAGTAAAGATCGGTAATTGTCCTCCGTCGGGTCTGACCTGTGCGTCTGGTCTAACTGCGAAGCTCGGGCATAGAGGTCTTTCAATCTAGCGTTTTGTTCCCTTTTGCGTCGCGAGCAGAGCTTTATGAAATGACCCCGCAGAACGCATTTGTGGGCCTCCCATCTTATCTGGGGCGAGGTGTCCTGAGCATGGTTGTCCGCGAAGTATTGAGAGAGAACCGCTCTCGTTTCCGCTTGAAGTAGGGGGTCCTCAAGGACTTGTTCATTCAGCCTCCATTGTCTACAACTGGGTTTAAACAGAGGTGAGCGGATCGTAGTCAGGACTGGGGCGTGGTCTGACCAGACCGCTGTTTGGATGTCACAAGACTGGAGAAGGTGTAGATATTCCTGAGCAATCAAGATATAGTCTAAGCGGCTGTGGCCGTGTTGCACTTGCGAGTAGAAGGAGAAGTCCCTGTCTTCCGGGTGGAGAACTCTCCAGGTATCGGCCAATCCCGTGGCACGCAGCGCCTTGCCCACCATTCGGATACATAGGCCCGAGTGTGAGCTGTGTCCCCTTGAGGTGTCCATGCGTGGGTCCAGAGGGACATTGATGTCACCTGCTACAATAAGGACCCCCTCCCTGAACTGGTCTAGTAGCCGGAGGTTCCTGGAGAGAAAGCGGTGCTGGCCCGTGTTCGGGGCGTATATGGACGCCAGTGTGTATGTCCTATCAGCTATCGTGCCTTTTAGGAATAGATAGCGGCCATTCGGGTCCGCCTTGGTCTCCACACAGCTGAACGGCACGTGCTGCGCAATGAGTATCGCCACCCCTGCCTTCTTTGCCAGCTGATGGTTCGCGAAGTATCCAGTCGGAAACCTCTGGTCTCGAAGAAGGGGTCCCGCCCCACCCCTGAAGTGGGTCTCCTGGAGGAATGCTATGGAGGCTCGAGCGGCCCAGGGGGGTCCTGCACCTTTTATGGTGTTACAAAAATGCCAGTTATTCTGAAATATAATAATGAGGAAATTTAGTGGTTACTCACACTTTTTTTTTTAAGACTCTTAATTTGTCCAAGTATGTTGTTGCAGCTCCACTAGCCACTGCAGGTTTCTCCTTTTTGAGGTGCCCGTTGCCGGTTTCTTTATTCTGTCTCCATTCGATACCTTTCCGTATTATTATAATTGCCATCTATATAGCGCCAACAGATTCCGTAGTGCTTTACAATATTATGAGAGGGGGATTTAACTATAAATGGGACAATTACAAAAAATTAAATAAAACTAGGTTGAAGAGGACCCTTCTCAATCGAGCTTACATTCTATAGGAGGTGGGGTGTAAAACACATTAGGACAGGACAGATTGCAGCAGGAGATTACATCCCCGTTCACCTATGTCGATCTTGGGTTTTTAGTCTGTTAGGCTTCCCCTGCCATTTAGCATTTCTCGCCATACACGCAGCGTGGATATGGCGTGTTGCAGCTCGGGGCTCCAAGCCTCCAGCCCTCTTCCATGACGTGCAGCTACACACCGTGTGTACATACTCACACATATACACACACACACACACTCACACAAGTGATCTTTTTAATATCTCCAGCCACCCTCCTGTTAGCTTACCTTGTGTGTCCAGGAGGGTGGCTTGGAGTCCGGCTGCTGGTTGGTGGGAGTGAGGGGTCTGAAGCTCTTCGTGCTCCTCTCCCCTCCTGCTGTGGCTGCCTTGTCTCCCTCCCGCGCTCTCTCCCTGCATGACTCTGGGAGGAATTGACAGGCTGTCACTTCCTCCCAGCCGGCCGACATTACAGTTGCCCGGTCACAGTCTTAAAGGACCGCGGCACCCGACCGGGCCCCTGTTTAGTAGTAATGTTTACCCGGTGCTAGAAATAATAGGATCAGGGAAACATTTTGTGGCACCCCAGGGTGCCACGGCACACACTTTGGGAACTGCTGGAGTAAGGAACATAGGTGGAGGCCTGCGCCCACATTTAAAAAAATAAATAAATTATCAACAGGCTCCACGAGATCAAAATGTTTTGAGTTGCTGTAAACAACATCCATTGTAGAACTTGCTGTAAATCATGTTTGACAAAATAGTCCTCCTAACTCATTAAGTGGATTGTGTTAAATTATGGACAAGATTTCTTGATGAAACAGAAATATGTAATGCCAACTTAGGACTGATTTTAGGTAAGATTCTAATGCTCACTATGCCATTGTGAAAATTAGTTCAAGGATAGAAAATCATTCACTCATTTGGCTGTGTAATATTCAGTGTAAGCTGATCAATGAAATTTTCAAGGAGAAGCTCAAAAAAAAGAAAAAGGTATTGCTTTAAAGCAAGTGGGTAGAAATAGCAGAGATTGCCAAGGAAGAGGTCAGAACATTAATTACATATTATAGTGAACATTTTAGAGAACAAAAATAAAAGGCTGGAGACCAAGAGGAGAGTGGTGTATTTGCAATCTGTGTGTCTGTAAAGAGGAACATTAGAAGGAGATGTGGGGTTCGAGGTCTAGCCCGCACTTCTAACCAGATGAATAATAAATTGATTAGATTTCATATATCTAAAACATGTAACTTTTTTTTTATCTAAAACAACACAAATCTTACAAATCTTTCTAATTTTCATAAACTTGTTACATAACCACTGTTAATAGAAACAATCCTACAAATTAGAATCGCTATTGGATGACGTTTTGATAATGTTAATTAGAAATCTCTCTACCTTAAAGGGACGCTATATTCACCACAACAACTACAGCTTAATGTATAGTATAATCATTGCCTTCAGGAATTTTCATGCAAATACTGCCTTTTCGGAGAAAAGACAGTGTTTACATTGCTCCTAGGGACACCTCCAAGTTGCCACTCCTCAGATGGCCACTGGACATGCTTCCTGGGGCAGTGCTGCACAGTAAGCAGCACTGCTGGTCAGCGTCTCCACGCTCTGCAAGGTGGATGCTGAATTTTACTCATAGAGATGCATTGATTCAATGCATCTCTATGAAGAAGTGCTGACTATGGGAAAGCATTGGATTGGCTAAAAATCTGCAATTCTGATGATGTCATCAAGGAGCCGGGGCGGGGGTGGGGCCAGTGCCGGCGGACCCGTGTGGCGCTGGAAATAAGGTGAGTTTTAATTCCTTTGAAGGGGCCTGAGGGGGGGCAGGCCACCTAAATGGTGGGTTTAACACTATAGGGTCAGGAATACATGTTTGTGTTCCTGACCCTATAGTGTTCCTTTAAAACAAAATCTAATGGTAAATTCACAAATGTCCAGGGCTATTTACAAAGCAGTTGATATGAACACACAAAGAATCATGTGCAAGACGTGTATGCAAAAGAAACCCATAAGTAAATATTTGATTATGCGTTTACTTACTTGGCTTCTGTGAAATACTGAGTCTTTGAGTGTTGATTGCATTAATGGAAGCTTCAGTTCGGGAAGAAGATTGTCGTGAAGGTTCTGAGCATTTAATAGGTTCCCATCTACCTCAGGAGTACTCAGAGACAAGGAATTAAGATCTAATGAACCATCACTAGAACAATAAGGCAAAGAAAAGTATCTATTAGGTTCACTGTTGAAAAAAGTGCTATCAAGGATCTATATTATCTTAAGTAAATATGGTCATTATGAATTTCTCCTGTGGTAGATTTCCACCTTTGCTCTCTTTAAAAAAAAAAAAAGTGGAAGGTAGATTATGTAGAGCTAATTGGAGGGAAAGTACAATGGACACTGTTGACCCATCCCTCACTGAAAGCCAGGGGGAGCTTCCTTTTTTCCACTGCACAAGAGCTCCTGTAAAATGGCTTTTAATCCGGTGGCGTTTCCCCAAATCCTTATGGATCCAAATGCTCTTTTGAAGGAATGGGCCCTTGGACCAGACCTTTTACAATGGTGTATGACTTGTGGGTTGTTGGGGGTTGTTTTGTCAATGTATCCAGGAGATAAATATTTTATCAAGAGTTCACTAAATAATCTCCCATACACAGAGACACCAGGGAGGGACTAGCTATGTTAACAATGGAAACCCTCTGTCTGTGTATAAAAGATCTCCTTGTGCCAAAAAAGATTGTCATTGTCCCAACATCAGGTGTCGTCTGATGTGTGGGGAAAACACTTATCAGCTCTTTCTTCCAGCTTGAGGGATACTCCAGCAGAGATACCCAGCCAGGGTATAGTAGCTCCGCTACACTTCTGATCCTTAAATTGTTATCTCTGTCTAGTCATTTATATCCTCTTTATATTTTTGGAAATAATAAATTTGAAAGGAGAGTTCGGCAGTGATTATAATGCTGCTATTTGCATATAAGTTTGTTCCCTGTATTCCTTCGAAGTCTTGTACACAGGCACCAATATGGTGGATGCCTGTGCCGAGATCCGCAAAATTTGCCTGAAAGGAAACAGCTAATTAAGTCAACACGATCTCTAGATCTGATGCAGTTCTCTGACAATGGTGGAGCAGAATGAAGGAAAAGGATTTGCTGATGAAGCTGCATTCAAGTAGGCAGCTGGCAAAATCCATCCAGCAATTAGTTGTTGAGAGTTGTTGATTATGGTCTGGAATAGTTTTTTGGGTTCTTTTTTTCTGTTAGCCATTTGCATGTGAAATCTCGGAAAGTGTAAGGATACATACCCTTGCTCTACAGCACTCACCTGGTGCCCTTACCTCCCCAAGCAGGTACCACATCAGTTTAAGACCATCAGATACCTTTTCCAGCATATGTGAAGCCAGTCGCAGTATTTCCGCCCATTTTGTGTAATTAAGCCCGGCTCACTTCATGACATCATCATCACGTCTGTCTACACTCACATTTTGAGGGCGTGGCTATCAAAGACACACCCCCAGGCTTATAAATACTTGAGCTTTACATCTGTTCAGTGCCCTGTTTTGATTTCTAGTTTGGTTATCCCTGACTGCATGTGTTCTGTACTCTGATTCCTAACTATTGATCTTGGCTTGTTTCGACCACCTTGTGCTCTGTATCCCTGAACTTGGCTTGTCTATCGATTTAGTCTCCTGTTATTTGACATTTCTACCCCTTGTTAAGCTTGTCCACTCCTAGGTCTGGTAACAAATACTGCTAAATACTATTTTTCCTGTACTTGTGTGATCTTATTCTGTGTGTTGAGTTACCTATCCTGAAAGATAGTTAAAGTGGCACAGTCATGGCCGAATATCGTTTTTTTTGTTGTTTTTTTTTAAAACCCCCTCCCGACTCCACTACATCTAATTGTCCTCCTAGTCACCCCCAAATGCCCCTAAGCCCCCCATCTTAACTATCTTTGCATCTTTATTTCGTGCCCGTACCTAGGTCCTGGGCACCGCCATCTTTGTGTGAGTAGATGAAGTCCCTGTGGGACACGTCATCTGCCCACACCAGATAGCACTGTGAAATTACAGAGCATGCCCAGTTAAATACCTGGGCATGCGAACGGGAATTTAATCTATTCATTAATACACCTAAAATGGGGAGAGGGGACCTACTGTGTCCCCCACCCGGCCCCACCCATAAGCGGCGGATGGGGCCCTAAATGAAAATGGGGGGACACGACCTATTGTCCTACCAACCGGCACCCACCCATCAAATTGAAAGCAACCAATCACAGTGTTATGAGTCAAATTACACAGCATGGGAAAATGTCAAAGAACTTTCCCACGCTGTGTAAAATGACACAGAGCACTCTGATTGGTTGGATTTCAAGCCAACCAATCAGAGTGCTGTGACTGGTAAATGTAGAGACTTACCTGTCAGTCTCTTTATTTACCTGTCAGAGCACTCTGATTGGTTGGCTTGGAATCAACCAATCAGAGTGCTCCAAGTCACGCAGGGCGTGGGTAGGCTTTATAAGCCTTTTCTGCCCTGTGGAGCTCAGTCTGTGCAGAGCCCTCGCTGGGTGAAAATGGATTACTTTTCTAGCGTCAGGTTTTTTGTTTGTTTTTATTGAAACAGTTGCGACGGGAATTATGGATATTTATTTGGCCTTTTTTGAGTCTGTAAAAAGAAGATTTTAGAAAAAAGACATCAAATGGTAAGTTATTTTTTATTTACATGTATTTAGTTTTCTTGTCCCCCCATTACTATTTTTAGGTTGAGGGGGGTAGGTAGATCTTTATTAAAAAGAAATTGGGATGGGAGAGGTGACTAGGGGCTTGGGGACCCCTAGTCACCTGGGGGGATTACATTTAGCCCCCACTCGTCGCCCATGGGTGGGGCCGGGTGGGGGAGGACAATAGGTACCTCCCCATAGTCATTAATGAAATTCCGATCCAAACAAAGTCCCGAATTGCATCCTAACACGAATGGAGAAACTGTTCTCATTCTGTTAGGATGAAATTTGGTAGTTTCGCTGGCATTCTGTCTAGGGATCGACCGATTATCGGTTTTACCGATATAATCGGCCGATATTCGGTATTTTCGGCAATATCGGTATCGGCCAATAGAGATACCGATATTGCCGATAATACCTCCTAGGACCGCCAGGCTCATTACAAGCCCGGCGGTCCTGGGGGGGGCAACAGGTAGCGTTTACTTACCTCCCCTGCAGCTCCTCCAGCTCCCAGTGTAAGTCTCGCGAGACCCGCGGCCGTCAGAGCGTTGCCACGGGTTACCATGGCAACGCTCTGCGCGGCACTAAGGGCCGCGAGATTTACACTGGGAGCTGGAGGAGCTGCAGGGGAGGTAAGTAAACGCTACCTGCGGCCCCCCCCAGCTCAGCCAATGCCACTGGACCACCAGGGACTGTCATATCCCCCCTCCCTGACCAGGTAACAAGCAGGGAGGGGGGACAACAAAAATAATAAAACATAAATGTTAAAAATAAGCATAAAAATCTAAACATAAATATTAAAAATTAAAATAAACAAATATTAAAAATTCAAATAAACATAAATATTAAAAAAAATAAAACAAACATTAAAAATTAAAATAAAAAATTGCCTTCCCCCCCATTTTACACAAATCACATCCCTTCAGGAAAACACACACACACACTGCATTATATACACACACACTACACACTCTGTATATAACGCAGAGTGTGTATATAGTGTAGTGTGTCTATATAATTTAGTGTGTGTGTGTATATAATGCAGTGTGTCTATATAATGTAGTGTGTGTGTGTGTTTAATGCGCACACACACTGCATTATATACACACACACATTACATTATATACACTACACACACTGCATTATATACACACACACACTACAAACACTGCATTATATACACACACATACTACAAACACTGCATTATATATACACACACTACAAACACTGCATTATATATATACACAGACACACTACAAACACTACATTATATACACACACACTACACACTGTATTCATTATATACACACACTATACAAACACACTGCATTCACTATACACACACTGCGTTCGCTATACACACTAAACACTGCATTCACTTTACACACACTACACACACACACTGCATTCCCTTTATACACCACACACTACACAAACACACACTCTGCATTCATTATATACACACCACACAGTCACAGTCACACCACACAGTCACATTAACTATACACACTACACAAACACACCCTGCATTCATTATATATACACTACACAAATATACACAGCTCCACTGTCTAAACACACTGCATCCAGTGCATGTGGCTCTAATATTTTGTGCGTTTACCTTTTAGAAATAGTTTATTTTTTCAAAATGGTAAATGTACAGAATATCGGCAAGTTATCGGCTATCGGCCTGAAAGTTAACAGATTATCGGTATCGGCAATGGCTCTAAAAAATCAATATCGGTCGATCTCTAATTCTGTCTAAATGACAGGACATTCGGGAATAATGACAGGAGGCATCACGAGATCACGGAGGAAAGGTAAGGATTTTGAGAAAATTTCTGTGACCATAGGAAACGGAGCACACTTTGCTCCTTCGCTGGTCATTGATGGTCAGGCGTAGGAAACCTCCATAAGACAAATAGCCCCTACAGGAAGAAATGAACAGATTCTGACAGAGAGAGAGAAGAGGAATCGATTGACAGTGCTGCTTTAATTCTTTTGCTTGCCAAAGGAGTTTCATAATCATATCTTCTTCTGATGTATGCTTTATTTTGCTCTCTATCTTACTATTATGTATATTTTTGACTGTGACGGTAGTCACCATCACTGGGAGCATAAGATGGACACTTCAATTAGATTCCTGGATGATTCCTATGTTTAAGTCATCCTGTGCCTTTTGTATGTGCAGGGTGTGTGTAAGATAATTGTTTAGTGTTAAATGTTTGTGTGCCCTCCTCTCTTGTTAATGATTGGAATTAACTAGGTGGATTTGGCTGTGGAGGCTGTAATGAACATATGGGCCAGTTCCGATTTAAAAGTATTGCATGTTAGTTCCATTTGGAACTGGGTGTCCTGTGTGGATATTTAAGGATTCCAGTGACAGAGTCTTCCGACCTCAAGCTTCGGCGACTGGGGCAGAAACGTTCCAGGGTCACTGCAAGCGGCTAGGAAGCGGACTGGGCAGAGGTACTCAGTCGGAGTATAGGAGCTCTGTCACAAAGACGTTCACTTACTCATCAGTCAGAAGGACTACATCTGATAACTACCCACGATAACTACAACTTATTGTAAGAAATTCAAAGTGAATGAAAAAAAGAGGACAACTGTTGCCAAAGATGACTTTTGAAAAAAATGGTAAAAATATTTATCCTTAAAAAAATATTTCCAAGTTTCAGATCTGACCAGTCACTTGACAGCACACAATGCAAGACTGTTAGACTGTCTAATTGATGCCAACCAGAAACATTTATTAAAGGAATTATAATAATAAAAATTATAATAAAACCATCTGCAAACATATGAAAGATGTATGTTACAGATTTATTACATACGTTTCACATTTGACTATGCTGTTACATCTTTAAATAATGTACAATAAAGATATAAACACCAGAAAATATATTATCTGTGAATGAAAGCTGAAAAGAATGAAATAGTGAATAACTGTATATTAAGAAATCTTCAGAAAGTAATTACCTTGTATCAGCTTTCTGTCCTTGATTCTGCATTAAATTCTGGGAGCTCTCCAAACTCAGGTGGAGAAACTGTAGGTCATTGTGCTGTTTCATATAAACCTGAAGAACGAGCATAAGACACATTATGTCAGACAAAAATAGCAAACTATAAAGGTTACACTCAAATTAATCTGTAAGCTTATAAGAAGGGTTAATATGTTGGCAAAATAAAACTTTATTTAAAAGTGGTACCAACCACTAATATTATAATGTTTGCTTCTTTAACAGAAGGAAATAAGACCCAAAACAGGTAGTAACCACTATTTTTAATGTGTCATATAGCTAATGCATAAACGCAATGAAAAAAAAAGTACAACAAAAACGTTGGTTAAGCAGCTGCTCTTTCACAGGCAAGCGGCAGAAGCAGACAGCTCCCTTCCAGAATAGGAAGATCACTAACCACCTAATCTGGTCTATGGGGTCTGACCTTATATATTGTAAAATCCCTTTCCAGCAAATATCGGTAGTTATAAGCCACCGTGTGCAAGGACCTCATTGTATCATTACCTATACCATGAGGTAGGTTGCTATGGTGTTTAGAGTGTGAAAAGTTAAGCTGTTAGTTCTCTGCCAGTGATGTTTATTCTTTTTATTCCCAGAATAAACTCTACTGAAGAAATGAGTGGAGTGGAGGTAAGTACATAATACACTACAGACTTACCTCCTCAACACTTCCATGTGCTGGTGCTGCCATCTTCCCAAGATCCCTAGCGTGCATGCATCTTTTTCTAAAATGCTATACATGCATGCATGGGCAGTTGTTTCATGGTAACATATTTGTGCATTCACCCGTACAGGCCAGCAGACATGACATCATGGGGGTCGCAGTGATTTATATCATGTGCCAAGTTATGCATGGAAAGCCACTTATATCATGTAGTTTAAGAAATCCCTGCCATTATTCCTTCTTTCTTTCCTCCCTCTCCTTTCTTTTCTTCTCTTGTTCCTTCTCCGTCTTCTAACATGTCTCTTCTATTTTTGAGGTGTGGTTCTTATGTTCATACCTCCTGGACATGAATATCTGAGCTGAAATATGCTCTGTTTCAAATAGTTTTATGGCACATATGTAAATGTGACTAATTACTTTTTTTTTTCTTGCTGTATTAAAAACTATTCAATAAATACTTTAATTACAAATAAATCATTGCACTTCAAGCATCATATATTCAAAGTGGTCCCTGTCAAGAAAGATTAGCTTTCATTCACAGATAATATATTTTCTGGTGTTAATATCTTTATTGTACATTATTTAAAGGGACACTGTAATCACCAAAACAACTTTAGCTTAATTAAGCACTTTTGGTGTATAGATCATACCCCTGCAGTCCCACTATTCAATTCTCTGCAATTTAGGAGTTAAAGCACTTTGTTTATGCAGCTTTAGGCACACCTCCCTGCATGTGACGTACACTGCTTTCCTAAACACTTCATGTAAAGAAACATTTAATGTTTAAATTTCCTTTATTGCAAATTCTGGTTTCTTATTCTTAGGTCCTGCTATGTTAATAGCTTGCTAGACCCTGCAGGAACCTCCTGTATGTAATTAAAGTTCAATTTAAATAGCAGGAAATAAAACCTTTTGAAGTGAGTTACATCTGATTGAAAACCTATTTTGTTTTCATGCAGGCTGTGTCAGTTATGGCCAGGGGAGGTGTGGCTAAGGCTTCATAAACAGAAACAAAAGCGATTTAACTCCTAAAGGGCAGAGAATTGAGCAGTGGAACTTCAGAGGCATGATCTATACACAAACATTGCTTCATTAAGCTAAAGTTGTTTTGGTGACTATTGTGTCCCTTTAAGAATCTCTGGTATTCCCACGCTTTTAAAAAAATTACTCCATGCTCCAAGGAACCTAAATACGACTATACAAATTAATGTTGTCTGATAAATCTGAACTAAAACCTGCTATAAAATCTCTAAACCAACCACCAACAAGGACTGGATATTGGGAGAAGCTTTTGGAGCAAATTCAATATTAGTCTGTGGATGCTTGAGCTTTTCAGTTTGGCTCATAATACTGGCCTAGATGTTTGAGGGCACATGTGTCATGTTTTTGTTTTGTGGTTAATTTTGCAGCTGTAATGATACACTTATAGACATGACGTTTAGAAGCAATAAGTGGCAAACTCTGTTCTTTCTAGGGCAAATACATATTCCAGCATACTCTACATTGCCATGATATCTACATTAGTGATCAAAGTTACCTTATTATGGCTACATGAGTAATCATGGTACTATATTGTAAGATCTCTAAATGGTCTTCCAGTAAACTTTCACATGGAATTCAAACAATATGAAGTGCACAGACGTGGCCCAGTGGCATTGATGATGCTGTTAACTAAGGCCTGTTCTCAAACATGGTGTTTCTGAATGAATTGCACCTAAGCTGCATGCTACCAGAATGGTTTCAAACAGTAAAGTTCTCTTATTAACATACTTACAAATCATAGTGAATAAGGTAACAAGAAGGCCTCCCCTTGTGAGCGAAAAATGTATTTGTACAACATTAAAAAAAAAAAGCTTGAACATTGCTTATCATGATTAGTATATATTTGCACCAAAGTTATCTCTCACTGTATCCTGGGAACTTTATGTGTTTTCACAGGTGTATAAACAATCCTACCTGTCGCAGGTTTTGAAGTTCAGCATCTGATCTATCTTGTTTTGATTTTGCCAACAGAATTAGTTGATCTTTCCGCTTCTCCCTCTCAGCTATAGCAAACACACAAGCAAAACATAAACTAAGATAGATATTAAAATATTATTCAAAGGTAAATAGACATATCTAATTTTCCATCACACGATGTGCTAATATGCAGATTACATATTGTAATGTCCCACGTACCAACCAAAGAGTTTTCAGTGCTAGAGTAACATAGGCAGTTCTATTCCAGAATTTTACCAAGATTATGTATTTACTAGTTAATCTTTACTGGTGTTAACACAAACTTCTTCACAGACCAGTCTGTAGTTACTATGAAATATATAATGTCTGGCTATGATCCCTGGAGTCAGGTTGCTATGCCAACACAGAAATGGAACCTACCTCACAAAATGTGTCTCTCTACTAATGGTTTGGAAGATCTACCTGTATTGCTCTATGTGCTCTGGTGCCTCTCACTCCCATGCTGCATCCTGAAACAATGCTAAGAGGCAGTGATTTGATGAGGCATCTTATAGTCTATTGCCTGAATACAGAACTCAGAGAGCAAGGGCTAAAGCTGTCTCTGCCACCACAGCATACAGAGGCGTCCTGCTCTCCCATTGGACACCACATACAGTGCTCAATACCTCTCATTCTCTAAAATAAATCTCAATAGCAAAACTGAATCTGAAAATAACGGATTTGGAAAAACTCTCATAGAATTACTTTACTCACCTGTAAAAGCCTGCTCAGCTTGCCAGTAGGTGATCTCCTGCTTAAGTCGAATGATTTCCTCCCTCTGTTCATTATTCTCTACAGTCTTTTGGTTCAGAATATCTTAAAAAACACAAATTATATAAGGAAAACTATTAAATGTACAGTTTTAAAGCAACAATATAGTCTGCAGTGCTGTGAAAATAAATAGTTGGTAGAATACATTTAGTGACACAGGAACTGCCTTTAAGAAGGATGGCAATCAATACATTTAAGAAACAATTAAAATGACTGGCATACTCCCAGGTTCCAGCAACTGGGGCTAGATGTCTGTAGGTTTCCCCCGTGCTGTTTTTAAATAAATCTGAACAGAAGAAAAGTTAATTATTGTATCAAACACTTTGTAATTGCAAACATTAACCAATGAAATACTGTATATTTCATAATATAATTTGTAACTTTTCATGCTAATAATATAATTGAATAAAACATGCATGGTCATTTGGGAAAATAAGCAATTGTTTGTGTGCACCTAGAATAGTAGATGTTCATATATGTCCAGTGCATGTAGTTGCATTATATATAGCAAAATGCAAAAATAGCTATGCAGAATTCCTTACCTTTATACTTTGTATGAAACATTGCAAACCTTTCCCCATATTCATAATATGGAGGAGTTTAAACCGATTTTAATCAAGAGGATCAAAGGGCAGTAGCGTATTACCGGACCTTAAAGTGGCAGAGCTTTACGCAATGCCTTGAGCAGGTGAAATATCAGCGTCAAGGAAAACAACTGTGAATGGTGGGCAGAACAAACTGACCCTGGGGAGTGGAGACAGATGGGTAGAAATAGAGATGGTGAACAAGCAGGATCTCTACTGGTAAAAGAAAGCCCCCATAAAAGCTAGAAAGGAAATAAATAAATAATAGTAGAGAAATAAAACCTACGCGTACCAGGAAATAGTAGAGAAATAAAACCTACGCGTACCAGGAAAGAGGTTTTATTTCTCTACTATTATTTAGTCAAGGAAAACAAGCAGAGGACAGGGATTCCAGAAAACACAGTATCGATAAGCCAAGCCAGGTCAAAAAGTACCAGAAATCAGAGTAGTCAGACAAGCCAAGATAGATAACCAGGAAATCAGATACTCAGGAAAACTATTGAAATCATAAGAAAACCACAACAGGGCACTGAACAGATGAAAAGCCCAAGTATTTATAGGCATGAGGGCATGTCCTTGAAAACCACGCCCCAAAAGGGGAGTGGCATTAGCAATGACATGATGATGACATGCAGTGGGTGTGGCTTCATGTCACAAAAGGGTGCTACCACATCTGATGCCAGAAACACTGGTGTAATTCTCTGAGGGTGAGTAGCTGCTGGGAGGCTCACTTGGGTAGGCAGTGGCACCAGTTGAGTGGTGTAATGCAAAGGTATGTATCTTTACAATGTCAAAAGCTCAAAAATGGTTTTACATTTTGGGGATGAAAGTCCTACCCTTCAGTTTGTCAATTTCTCTCTTCAGTCCTTTCAACCTAGGCTTTAGCTCTTCAGCTTCCTTGATAGCAGATGCTTCCCCATTCCTGGTCTCTCGCAATGATGCTTCCAAATCTTTAAACCGTGATGTAAACTCTTTAATGTGATTGGTAGCTTCATTAATGTCCTTATCCTAAAGGAAATATGATTTACTTAAAATGCATTAAACCCTGACAAAACTGAAATCCTTTAAAGGATTGTACCCACCTATACCAATTTCAGTCTCTTCAGTGTCAGCCTCTTTGGTCAGTAAATTTAATATTTACTGACCAAAGATTTAATATTTACTTAAATACCTTCATCACTGAACATATGTAACCAGATAACTTGGCACAAATCATTACCAGAGAAGCACAACTTGACAAAACACAGACTATACAAATAATAATGTTAAATATTTACACATTACAACTTAGTAAAAGCCAATAACACTATTAATAACACATAATCTAGTTGGATATGAAAGTATTAGCATCATAGAACTAATAGCACCTTATGGATATTATTTTTCTAGATTAAAAATACATATTTTGTCCAATTTGTCCTCATAGCATATCATTTCTAATGCTTAAAATGAACCTGTCATGGGTACAGTTAGTTGTGCTCTACTGAAAGAGCGTAGAAAACGTGCTTAAATGGGGTTAACAAAAATGCTAGCAAATACATAGAGTTTGAGATATTTCTATTTAAGAATATAGTTGCTCTTCTAGCTAATAATCATTTCAATTCTATGCTGAAGACTAAGTGATAAGGAAATAGAAGAACTCTCTAAGAGGTTGTTCAGCTGCTTATTCTCAAAATATTTCCCCACCAGTAGTGAAAAACTCCAATAATGTCAGCACTCAAACTAGAAAAATGTTGTATTCCTAGCCTATATAGAGCCCCCTTCACTCACGTCCCTCCCCACCTCCAGCGCCCCCGCCTTTTGTCACTTACCTGAATCCACCTTTGCCCCCCCAATGTCAGAGCCTAATGCACAGGTGCAACGAGCCCTGCGATCGCATTAGGACAACCCCCGGAACACACTGAATCCATGCTTTCCTATTGGGTTTTAGTGGATGCTGCATGTCCTCATGCATAGCGCGAGGACGTACAGCGTCAATTAGGCAAATGAAAGTCGCCTAATGACCGGGAAGAGCCTCTAGTGGCTGTCTGGTGCGGCATGATAAAATTCATTACAAATCATTTCTGATAAGTCAAATATATGACCCCGCCCCCGCACCGATTTTAGCCAATCCAATGCTTCAACCCATTTTGATGATGTCGGACCCGCGCGGTGCTGGAAATAAGGTAAGTTTTAAACTTTTATAGGAGGGCTAAGGAGGTGGGAGGGAAGACACCTATATGGTGAGTTTAGCACCATAGGGTCAGCTCAGGTCCCATTTATTCTGTAAAACACTTTTGATAAAGCCTATCCAAGGAGAAACGCATAAAGTGTATTGTTTATAACTTTTTTATCACTATTTTATTATATATTGTATTTCTTTTATTATATTTTTTTTACATTAAAGTACTTTTTTAATTGGACCTAACTTTGCTGCTGTCAGATTGTTTGGAGCTATATCCCTAGTGGGGATCATACCACCCAAGCGCTTTGGATTGAGCAAACCGGAACTTGCTCATTAGCATGTGAGTAGGCTTAAATTATTTATTTCTGCTTACACTCCTTTTTTACGGTGTACACTATTGTGGTTCTGTTTGTTTATCTCCACATATACACAGAGGGAAGAATTTGCATTTACACCTGTATCCTTGAGTGGGGATCATACCACTTCAAGCGCTATCAGAGGAGCCAGGTTTTACGGCTCCATTACACGTGAGTGCACATTTTATAGTTTTTACCTACCCTTGCTTCATAGCTCTACATACTTCACCATATACGATTTTTATTTGTTTGTTTTTTATGAGGATACCCCCTACCACACCTATAACTTGTAGAATTGCCTCTGCACTTGATCCATAGGCGGGGATTATTCTGCCCAGGCGCATACACTGGAGCTGTATTGAAGCTCCAGGAAAGTGTGAGTGCACATCTTTTATTTTACTTATCACCCCTACAGTTTTAAATACTACACTATTATTCCTTCTCTGGTTCTCTTCACATATACCTTGTCAAGGATTAATGAAGCGCTGCACCTACCCCCCTGTTTTTTTATCAGGAATACATGTTTGTGTTCCTGACCCTATAGTGATCCTTTAATTAACCAGAACAAAAATAAAATAAAAAACAGTTTGTGTGTACCTAACTAGATATAAAAAATAAACCTTTATTAGTATTAAAAGCTGAGTCTAGATAAAGATATAAGTATAGTATAAAAACAAGAGACATACTAAATAACTGCCCTTGTGATAATAGATGGCAATGTAAAGTAGAAACAATGTATCAAGCTCACAACTATTGGTGTGACAAAATAACAATTATGTATTTAAAGCTGTTAAAGGAACACTGTAGGCACCTACACCACTTAAGCCCATTGAAGTGGTATGGGTGCCAACTCCCATCACCCTTAACCCTGCAAGTGTAATTATTGCAGTTTTTATACACCTTACAGGGTTAAGTCCTGCTCTAGTGGCTGTCTACCAGACAGCCACTAGAGGGACTTCTGGCTTCTTAGATGACTTTTGGTCATGTTAACGACACTGGACGTCCTCAAGCTATGCATGAACACCTCCAGTGTCGCCAGAATCCCCATAGGAAAGCATTTAATAATGATTTCCGATGAGGAGGGACATCAGCACTGGATTCAGGTAAGTGTCTGAAGGGGTTTTAACCCCTTCAGCGACGTGGGATGGGGGCACCAAGATTCTACAGTGCCAGGAAAATGGGTTTGTTTTCCTGGCACTTGAGAATCCCTTTAAGGTAGGCTACTGGTGTGTAGAAATCGGTGGTAAAGGGGGAGATTTCCTATGATTTCTCCTTTGATAAGGTAGATAAAGGGAAAACAGTAGAACAGTACTAAACCTAATGTGCCTTCGAGGGAACCCCTTAAAAAGGCTAAATCTAAAAAACCCAATATACACACACAGCATATCAGTCAAATGGTAACAATGAAGAATAAAGGTGCTCTAGGAGTAAGCATTAGGATGAAGAGAGAGGGGAATAGGTAAATTGCACTGCACATGTCAAAGTAGGTCAGCCAACCGATCAATAGGATGACTTTAAGAATAATCTATCCACGGGTTACAAATGTTGCAAAAGTTTTCAAAAACATCTAGATTTTACGTTATAGACGAAGAAATAAAGGATTTTTGTTTTTTTGTTTGTTCTCACACAATGCACATTACCTTGAGTTTTAGCAGAGTAGTTAGCTCCTCTTCTCTGGCCTGTAATCGTCCAATGCGAGATGAAAGTTCCACAACTGAATCATTCAGACACTGATTTTTTTCCTACGAGAAACATAGAAAAAACAACTACATTAACAGGATTATTTTAAGGTCCAAATAGCGAAACTGGAAAAATTCTCTAAGTCAGATATACTTTCTGTTTGGCTATTCTAGAGTTAAATTTGAAATTCACTTTGAATTCTCCCTTTAGTAAATAACCTGGTTAGTGAAAAAAATCATTAGTATGCAAATCAATCAACAGATCAATCCAAAAGATCACGTGAGCAATATTAATGTTTCACCGCATACAGCATTGACACTTTTTGCAAGTTCCACTTCTACATAACAAATCACTTATCTTACATTTTGATTTGGTTGCTGTGTCAGCAAAATAAAGAACTTCGGAAATTATGTTTTCTGCTCCTTACCATAAAACATCTCAGAAAACTTGCCTCACAACAGGAGATGTACTGCACCAGATTGAAGAAGCCATTCTGGCTAAACGTGTCTCTGGGACTATTTATATTACTATTTGATATTTTAATTGTAAGTTCTAATAAAGTATATACTTTTTAAAGTTTATACTTTTTATTTATTTTATATATATATATATATATATATATATATTTTTTGTTTTGTTTTTTTGTTGTGCAGGTAAGTACATTGTTAAATCAAGCGCCACAACAGCGCGCACGAGGGTTACAGGGTGAGCACTGGCATGAGCATATGCACAATATTTTAATATTTTGTAATGCATAAGTGAGCTTAATGTAACATAGGAACATGTATAAGAACTTGGATTGTGTGGTCTGCGTGTGGAATAACTGATAATATGGAAGCTATGCGTTGCGAGAACCAAGTCTGGCTGTGTGCTGATTGAAAACGGGTGGTAACTAAGATTAGCCCTAGGCTGGAGCTCAGGCATCGAGAAAGCCTCTTGCTTGCTACGCTTGTAGCATTGTATAAGTGCTGTATGTGATGTGCGGGCTGAGGGCTCCGTCTTGCCGCAGGCAAGGTAGGTGTGCCTGTGTGTCAGTACTCGCGGGGGTGGTTCCCGAGTCTTAGCCCAGGACAGGGTACCTAGATTGGTGCCTTCCGAGAAAGCTTTTAAAGATAAATGAAAATAAGAAAGAAAAAAATAAATAATAATAAAAAAAAAAGTGTACCGATTGTGATTTCGGGTTCGCTATCTTTGATCGCTATAGCCGGTTTGTGGGTTAGTGTACAGGGTCCCCGTGAGGATTGCTGTGGGTTGTTGCCGTGTGTCCCTGGGGGGTTTCCCGTGGAGATAAGGGCTCTATTCCCAGGGTGACTTGGCTCGGTGTATGGTTGGAAGGCTCCGAGTTCCGAAGTGCTATCATTAGAAAGTGCTAGTGCTGGGGACGTGGTGAGGGTGAGACCTGGTGGTCTGGTGGCTTGTCATGTAGTGCCCCACTATGTGTGGTGTGGTGGGGAGAGTGGTGACGTGCGAGTGGTGGAGGATCTAAATGTGGTAGGTAACATCAACATAAGAGAAAAACGGTAACGTAAAGTTTAGTGAGATCCAATAGAGTTAACTGAAAACACAACTCCAGTGGTGAGGCAAGTTCAGGCCTATCTCTGCAGGCTATCTGGAGCCGCTCAGGTAGTGACAACTGCCCGTTCTTCTTGTCGCGCTCCTCGTGGTATGAAGGGACGTGTTGTTGAAGGATTCCAGGTGTGAGGCAGGGATGCCGCCGTGCTCGATCGCACTGTGTCCAGGGCGTTTGTTGGTAGTGCCAGCTTAGGTAGCACGTCGGCTGCCTCCTTGAGGTCACTGACAGAGTGTGTGTCGGTGCCGTGTAGTATCTCCAGTGCGCGTTGCAGTCGCCATCGGTAAGTGAAGCCGTTGGTTCGGAGTAACGCAGTGAAAAGCTTAAGTGACCTCCTCCACGCCATGGTGCTTCCGGACAGATCTGCATAGAACGTCAGTTGCATTCCTTCGAAGGGGTATGGTGAGTTGTTTCGGACTGCGTTCATGAGAGCTGTTTTGTCTTTGTCGCTGTGGAACTTTACCAAGACATCTCTCGGCGCTGACGTTGGTGCTGTCGTTGGTTTGCGAAGTCGGAATAGCCCCTCCACTCCCACCTGTTTGGCCTGCTTATGGGTTAGCAGTTGTGACAGATTCATCTGCATTGTTGGTTCGTCTGTTTCCCTTTGTTCGCGGAATTGCCTGTTCATATACCCCCGTTCGTATAATTTGCAAAATGCCGATTGAAACTACCGAACGAACGACCACCCAGGAGAGGAGTGTGCTGCTGGTTAACCTCTTGGCCCCAATTAGAACGTTGTGGTTAACCGCAGACACCTCTCCATTCCATTCGTACGGGTGGTCGTCGTTCGCATGTCGACCACGAGGCAGCGGCCATTTTGGGACATACGAACACAGAGCGGTGTTCGGTACAAACTGTATGGAACTAAAAACGGACACTTAAACTACCGAACACCGCTGAAAAGCTGCTGCCTACCTTCCTTTTCGACAAGGCATGCGAACGTCGGTCGTTCGGGAGTTTTATTCATTCGTATGGACTTTTACCCCGACAGCCATCCCATGGAGTCATTCGTATACCGAAGGACTGGTGAAAGACTTTGAATCCATGGCGATTCGACTAGATACATCGGATCGGAGCGCTGTTCGGTGAAAACATGCCCTCAGATCCAGGCTGTCTGGGGATACGTTACACGAACCATATGCATTCGGTATTTCTGTCGTTATGTATTTTAATGTATTTTTGTTATTGTATTTCAAGATGGCGATTGTCTCTACCTTGAGAGATAATTGGGTTTCTTCCCAATTATCTCCGAGGTAGAGAAGACGGAATTATGGGCCAGATGGGAAGGGCTATTATTGAAGCCACTGCGATTGGCTACTGTCCAATATGTTTTACAGTCTTCCACAAGGTCCCCTCGGGGAGTGTCCACCTTGTGGAGACCTGCATAAATACCGGGCAGGTAGCCCCCATTAAACAGAACTTCATTTGACCCTCAAGACGGAGCTTGGTCTCGTTTGTGGGGGAATTATTACTGGGACAGCGCTTTCGTTATTTCTAGCTGTGGAAGGCGTTCGACTGTTTGGCTGATCGGGAGTTGCCGTGTTCGTGGACTTCGTTCGGGAGTTTGGCGATCGGCTGGATTTAAACTGCATTTCTGGAGAAGGGGATTATTGCCTAAACGGCGGCTTCATCTACCCGACGGTACGTGTCGTAACAGCAGTCCTGTGAGAAATCGACGTAGGAAGTGTGGTAGCTCCTTCTCCGGGATCTCCTCCGAGATGCCCCTTAACTTGAGGTTCGGTGTGCGCCTCCGGTCCTCCAGCTCTGCACTTTTTATCCATTTTGCTTTGTTGGGTTTGTAGCTCTTGTATGGCTGTGTAAAGACGGGTTGTGTATTGGGCCTGTTTCTGGGTGTCGCTCTCTATAGCACCCATGCGGGTCATGAGGCCTTGTAAGTCCCCTCGGAGCTGGGCCATGTCGGCCTGGATCGTGTGTTGGAGCTCCGCTAAGAGGCCCTTTGTGATTGCCGTCGTCACCGGTGCCGAGTCTAGGTGAAGGGTTGTGGGTTTACTGGTTCTCTGCTCAGGCGTCTGACCTTCTGGTGTTCCAAGTGAGAAGTCCTCAGAGATCTCTGAGTCGCCTGAGAGGTCGGCCATGTTGGGCTCTGCTCCCCTCTGGGCTTGGCGCCATAGATCGCCGATGTTCATGCCCATATTTGGTTTCTCGGCCCTTGGCTTCTTGGTCTTTCTCCCCATAACATGAGGGTGTGCTGTGGGCTCCGTTAGCTTGGTTTTGGGGTGTGAAAGACCCCTTCAATCGCTTGGTAATTTGTTTGGTGGCCTGGAGTTCAGTGAACATGCGGCCATTCAACTCCGTTGCTTGGCTCTGCCCCTTCTATTTTATATTTTTTAACCATTAATGTTCTTGCATTCTACAACTAAGGGTGGTATGGTCCCTAACCATACTCTGCTGTTCAACTGAGCCAATTACTAGGCTCCAGGCTTGTGAGTATTTTACCTATTTATATGAAAATATTTGTTACAAACGGTATCACATACTATTGCTGAATACACAAGAAAACTCCTAAACTACTCTCCATAAAGAAAAAGGGGCAGGTCGCCTAAACGGAACTACAGGCAAATAACTCCCAGAGCAAGGTTATAGCTCTGGAATATGTGAGTGTTTCAATTTATGTGTATATCACACTTGTGTACATAAGGGTACTGCACTATTTCTGCGTTTTTGTTTTTTTCTTAAAGGTATACACAACATTGGATGTTCAAGGATATGTAAAAATACGGTATATATAGATATATATATTCCTTGTTTGCACTAGGTGTACTATTGTATGCACATATTTAAGTGCTCCATTGAATCTGGTACAAAAAATTCTGTCTTTGATATGATTTTTGGAGAATTGCACATTACAGTGTGGTAGCAGCTAAGATATAAAAAATTTTAGCACAGTCAATCGATATAACACTTGCACTTTAATAAGCGCTCATATACATCAACTGTGTTTTCACAACATGAGATGTTTTCAACTAAACAGATTTCTTAGGAAATTGACATTTTGATCTGTCCAGCCTGCTTTTTCTTTATTTGGTTATGCAATGCTCTGTGACGTTTCTTTTATGCTCTGTGTTTGATCTTTATAAGAAACTTACTAAATATTTTGTTCTGACTCAACATGCTTTTGTTTGGCTTAGGAGACTTAGATCATCATTACTGATCATCTCAGTCAACCCATTGCTTCCATGTAGGATAGCATTGGACGGCTAGTGAGCAAACGTGGCAATCGCTGTGCTGCACCTATCAGCATCTCCGCATAGAGATACATTGACTTAATGCATCTTTATGGGGAGCATTCAGCATCTCCATGCAGAATGTGGAGCCACTAAACGTCACTCTAATCTAGTGGAAATCCAAGTGACAGCGACAAATGGTGGCTTTAGGCAACACTGAAATCACTGCATTCTCACAAAAAAGGCAGCAGTTACACTGGTCAGCATGCAGGTACAGTCTCTTTGCCTCAGAACCCCTACATTAATCTGAAGTTTTTCTGGTGCGTATACTGTCCCTTTAACCCCTTAAGGACACATGACATGTGTGACATGTCATGATTCCCTTTTATTCCAGAAGTTTGGTCCTTAAGGGATTAAACAAAAAATAAAAACTTGGATGTGTTTAAAGGAACGCTAAAGGCACCAGAACAACTACAGCTTATTATTCTGGTGAGTAGAATCATTCCCTTCAGGCATTTTGCAGTAAACACTGTTTTTTTCAGAGAAAATGCAGTGTTTACATCACAGCCTAGGGACACCTCCATTGGCCACTTCTCAGATGGCTACTAGAGGTGCTTCCTGGGCAAATGCTGCACAGTGTGCTTGTGGAGACTGAACTTACCTCACAGAGATGCATTTATTGAATGCATCTCTAGGAGATGCTGATTGGCCAGGGCTGTGTTTGACTTGTGCTGACTGTGACCTTGATCTGCCTCCTTGACAGTCTCAGACAATCCTACGGTAAAGCATTGTGACTGGCTCAGAGAATCACTTCTGATGATGTCAGCCAAGGAGGTGGATTAGGGGCAGAGCTAGCAGCTGCAGACTTGAATATAAGTAAGATTTTACTATATTTAGGGAGGCAATATGGTTTTAACACCGTTGGGTCAGGAATACATGTTTAGGTTTCTGACCCTATAGTGTTCCTTTAACTTTTTACAAACAATCTGCTACTATCGTGGTACAAAAATGTAAAAAAAGGGGGCATTCTTGCAACTGTTTTTTTATTATAAATCAGGAGCAACATATTTGCAAACTGAAAATAAAAAAAAGAACCAAAATGGAAAAGAAAATTAACCCCTTAAGGACACATGACGTGTGACATGTCATGATTCCCTTTTATTTCAGAAGTTTGGTCCTTAAGGGGTTAAGGTCACTAGCAGAAGAAAATTACTAAGTCACACCTGATGTCCACTCCTTGTCTTGTGTTTTTTAAACTTAATTTCAGACTTATGATCATAAGGCTCATACAAAAATAATGTCAATAAAATTCACAGAGAAAGAGTAAAAAAGAGATTTATTCACCAAACATAAAACTGTAATTATTTGAAAACCAAATCGCAAAATTTAGGATAAAGATCTTCTGTAGCTTACTAAGATATTTTTTTCCAAATCAACTAATTTCTGCAATTCGGTTTTCAATCCAATGGAACTAAAAAAAGTAAATAGTCGGGTTACAAAATTAGAAAGAGGAAAGGAGTTTTCACCTATGGCAAAGAAAAGTCAACAGAATAAAGATGTCGAATACCCTGTCTAAAGAGGTTGCTTCTGTACATATTTTTAACAGTCTAGATTTTCTTTTGCAAAAACAGATTTTTAGGGACTAGTTAATATATGGGGTGACCTTTTATGGATCCATGGAGAAATGTGACTGCCTTTTTAAGTAAAGGCGGCTTTTTTTCCCCCCCAATATGTGGTAAATTTGTTTTTTTATCCCTCTTGTGGATCAACAGCAGCAAAACGTGTGTGTAAGTGAGTGTGTGTGTGAATGTCTGAACATATTGGAGTTCAGTACTAATTAATGAGTGTGAACTAAATTTGGAAGAATATATAATTTTTGTGATATGTGAGAACAATTAAGGGAAAGCTGGCATTTAATTAGTGCTATAATGTAAAGGTTTAATATTAATGTAAATGTAATGTTTCCAATTATTTACAGTGAGAGAAAAAAGTATTTGATCCCCTGCTGATTTTGAATGTTTGCCCACTGCCAAAGATTTCATGAGTCTATAATTTTAATGGTAGGTGTATTTTAACAGTGAGAGACAGAATAACCCCCCAAAAATCCAGAAAAATGGATGTCAAAAAAGTTATAAATTGATTTGCATGTCAATGAGTGAAATAAGTATTTGATCCCCTATCAATCAGCAAGATTTCTGTCTCCTAGGTGTCTTTTATACAGGGAGTGCTCCAAATCTCAGCTCGTTACCGGTATAAAAGACACCTGTCCACAGAAGCAATCAATCAGATTCCAAAATCTCCACCATGGACAAGACCAAAGAGCTGTCTAAGGATGTCAGGGACAAGATTGTAGACATACACAAGGCTGGAATGGGAAGCAGCTTGGTAAGAAGGTGACAACAGTTGGTGCGATTATTTGCAAATAAGAAACACAAAATAACTGTCAGCCTCCCTTGGTCTGGTGCTCCATGCAAGATCTCACCTCGTGGAGTTTCATTGATCATGAGAATGGTGAGAAATCAGCCCAGAACTACACAGGAGGATTTTGTCAATGATCTCAAGGCAGCTGGGACCATAGTCACCAAGAAAACAATTGTAACACACTACACCGTGAAGGACTGAAATCCTGCAGCGCCCGCAAGGTCCCCCTGCTCAAGAAAGCACATGTACAGGCATGTCTGAGGAATGCCAGTGAACATCTGAATGATTCAGAGGAGAACTGGGTGAAAGTGTTGTGGTCAGATGAGACCAAAGTCGGGCTCTTTGGCATCAACTCAACTCGCCATGTTTGGAGGAGGAGGAATGCTGCCTATGACCCCAAGAATACCATCCCCATTGTCAAACATGGAGGTGGAAAAATTATGCTTTGGGGGTGTTTCTCTGCTAAGGGGACAGGACAACTGCACCGCATCAAAGGGATGATGGACGAGGCCATGTAACGTCAAACCTTGGGTGAGAACCTCCTTCCCACAGCCAGGGCACTGAAAATGGGTCGTGGATGGGTACTCCAGCATGACAATGACCCAAAACACATAGCCAAGGCAACAAAGGAGTGGCTCAAGAAGAAGCACATTAAGGTCCTGGAGTGGCCTAGCCAGTCTCCAGACCTAAATCCCATAGAAAATCTGTAGAGGGAGCTGAAGGTTTGAGTTGTCAAACACCAGCCTTGAAACCTTAATGACTTGGAGAGGATCTGCAAAGAGGAGTGGGACAAAATCCCTCCTGAGATGTGTGCAAACATCTGACCTCTATGATTGCCATCAAGGGTTTTGCCACCAAGTACTAAGTCGAAAGGGTCAAATATTTATTTTACTCATTGACATGCAAATCAATTTATAACTCACTATACACTATATTAATTTTATTTATTTCCTTTTTTCCCCCCCAATGAGTTGTATTGGTAAAGCTCATTTAAGGTAAGCTTGTTTAAATATATTTCATCCCTCTGTTGGGTGTGTATTTAAATGAAAGAAACACTTGAATGTTCAAAATAAATATAATAACTATACTTAATTTTTGTCAGTCCATTTTTATTGAGGCATTGATACATCACAGGTCAAATGTGTGAAAGAATCATTGTGTGAGAAAAATATGGAGGCAGAATGTTTTCATGGTCAAGTGCAAATAAAATTAAAGATACATGATAATGCATAACAACAAAACATAAATGTGATCTAAAAGAGAAATTCCTGGTGGCCATATTCTATTTCCATATTTCGACATTTACATTTCAGAAAAGATACTTAATAATTCAGCTGACGATGGCCACAAAATCATTAATATCAAGACACTGGCTACAGCAAGGGGTCCCCATATGGACCCAGGTCTTAAACCAGCCTAATTATCAATATAATATGGAAAGGGGCATTTCATTTTCGTATGGAAATAATGTTCATTACGAAAACATATGGCTGCCTTGGAAAGGATCACTTAAGTAACCAGTATAAAATATGGATGAACATTATTGATATTTTCTATTATGGTATGATCATGATTTAATTTAATATTTCTCTATATGTGATTACACTATAGTCAAGTTGATTACACTCTTTGGCACATCTTAATAATGAATCTCCAGTTGGCCTCTCACAGCAAACCCCCATCATTATTGTTGTTGTTGTTGTTTTTGTAATGTCTAATTTTCTTTCTTTCTTTTTATTTTGCTTTTCTACTATTTTCTCCCCCCCCCCTTCTTTCTTGATAATTAGACAATATATTATGTTCTCAAGAAAAATGTATGTTTTTATTATATGAAAATTTATATTAAATTTTAAAAAAATTACAAAAAAAACATAGATGCAGTATGGTATTTCATGCTCAGTCATACATGGAGCAATTAACCTCATTTTAAAAGTACAGTAAAGAAGTCAAGAATGCACTCGTATAACACGTATAAGACATCAATTTGCAATCTAGTATAGTAGGAGCTAAATTACAGTGACATGTGTGGTGACATTCTGTCATCAAACTAATATGGTGACCAGGGATCATGTGACCAAGCTCTTACAGTGGGATAAGCTTTACCCTTTTGAAATGTTAATTGGTAATTCAATACCTTTACTAGTCAGGAAAGAGATAACCACTTCCCCCTATCTCCATTCCTCTCTGTTCCTTCTTGGCTGTGCTACTGAGCAGTCCTTTAAGCAGACATGGCCTAATTTCCATCATGGTGAACTGTGAGTGGGATTTTATAAGATGTAGTTGTTATTGTTAGTTAGGTTGTTGTTGCTGTTGTTGGTGGTATAGTTAGTTAGATTGTGTGTCATTATTTGTATGTTGTTGTTGTTTTGTCTCTGAATAAATATTTGTTAAAGTAGACGGAACAGAGTTTATATGTGTATGCGTACATAATAATTTATAGAGTTTGGTAATACACCACATTTGGCGACCACGAATTTTAGACTTCTACAACAAATGTTTGTGAGGCGCAATAACTACCATATTGATACATAATCTAAGAGAAAGAGACTTTATAGCATAGGATTCATTTTGTTGAAACAAATATACATATTTGTTTTGTTGACTGTTTTGAATTTGTGTATTGTGACTGACAGACCATATTTTGATGCAAATTGTAGCATTTATAGGTTTAACTTTGTTTCTGTACAGTTTTAAAGTATTGGTGATAAAAGGGGAAAATTGAATTGCATTGGAACCTTTGATGTTTTGGACATTTTTAATTGCCATGTGCTGTATTGTCTCTCTTGTTGCAACTAACTAGAATGAAACTTAATCTATTTTGATTGTCTTCTTAGGTGTTAAATTGTGGGGCTTCACTGCATTCTAAGTTTAAATAGCAAACGTTTTTTGTTGTTATCTTTTGTCTGTTTGAATCATTGAATTCAGGATAGGAGCATAATGTTTGTGCATTATGACTGACAGAACGTATTTTGTTGCAAATTGTAGCATTTATAGTTTAATTTTGTTTATACACAGTTTTAAAGTATTGGTGATTAAAGGGGAAGATTGAATAGTTGCACTGCATTGGTACTATTGATATTTCGGCCATTTTTAATAGCCCATGTGCTGTATTGTCTCTCTCCTGTTGCATCTAACTAGAACTAAACTGAATATATTGTAATTGTTTTTAGATGTTACATTTTGTACATTTTGTGGCTTCCCTGCATTCTAAGTTTAAATAGCAAACTGGTTTTTTTTGGTGGGTTATCTTTTGTCTGTTTGAACCATTGAATTCTGGGTAGGAGCATTGTGTTTACATGATAAAGGTATTGGGGCTAATACAGTGTGGTGGCTATTGTTTAGCCAGGCTAAAATTTAAATTTTTACACTGTGTGTTTAATAGAGAATGAACAGTTTGTATTTGAGGTAAAGGTGCCTATGTTAGATTGTTATATGGTTGGGAATTATCATTGTGCTGAAGTTACAGTCAGGTATTTTTCAGTTCCCATACCTTCCTTTAAATCATTCTGTTTATTTGTAAACCACCCACACTGCACTTAAACAAAGGCAAAAGGGTGGTTTTGTGTTTTGCTGCCTGTGGGCATTTGTTGTATTGAGACTGTGAAGTTTTTTTTTCTTAAAAGATAAGAGTTTGTTTGAATAGGTTAATGTAATTAAGTTTCTCAAATGGTTCAATCTCTTTGGAGCCAGTTTCAGTTTTTTTAAATTAATCCCATTGTTAAAAGCGTGTTTTTTTTTTCCTTAGTCTGCTGGTCTATTTTGATTAAAGACCTAGGGAGAGCTCAGTTTTAAAATGTCATATCTAGGTACTAAGTATTTTTCTGCAGAAGTACTAGAGTACTTTAAGAATGACATTGACAAACATGATGGACCATATGAGCTTCCAGAACCAGCAGGCCCCTATTGTGGAAAATATGAAGGTTTCATGGATGTTTTGACACAGATTGTTACTAATAAAAAATGCCATATTAAGAAAAGGAAAAGCTTGGTGGCACAAGCGGTTGTTGCTGCAATAGGGGGTTTGGCAAGCATGGTACTTGAATTGCAGCAAGCTAATTTAGTAACCACTAATAAAATGGAAGATGCTCTTGATGAAAGAGATTGTTTTAAAATAGCTGCCCTAAGAACAAACAAAATGACCGAGGGGTTGGAGAAGGAATTAAAGGAAATAGAACAACAGAGAGATGCATATAGTGCTACGATCACTAAACTCCAAAACTTAGTTATGGAATATAAAATGAAAACTAAAGAAAACATAAATAAATGGGATAAGGAGATTCCTAAAGTATGCCCAGGCCAGTCTCATTTTATATCTAAAGGTATAGAACCAGTGCTCGGAACCAAACACAAGGGAAATGCGCCAGTTGTTAACTGTGTCCCACAAGCCCCTTTAATAATAACTGAACACTTTAATGCAAGAGAAATGCCTACTAGTTTCTCTAGACAGACAAGCACTATGTCAATCACAGACAAAGAAAATTTCCAGAAATGGTGGGGAAGTATGCCAAATAACAACTTTAATACTTTTACACACTGGTTTATGAGGGGAGCAAATAGAGCTAAAAAAGGAGGTTTTAACTTAGAGGAATGGACAGAACTTTTAGAATATGCTATGGGTCCTTTGGCTAGTAGACTATTGGGATTCAATAACAGTGTGTCTGATCAGGCAGGAAGAATTGCTGAAACTAATTTCTATATACTCAGCATAGAGAAAGAAATAGCGAATAGATGGTCCTAGAGAGGTAGCCAGCAGATGGTCCTAGAGAGGTAGCTCAAAGGATATTGTTCTGGTATACACTACGCCAACCTCAACAGCCCCTGGTGTTGGGCTCACCAGAACACATTGCTAAAGTAATGGAAGCCCTTCCCTGGGAGTGTCAAGAATTTGTCAGGCTTTTTGATCCAACACCAGTAGACTTAGAAATGCTACTAACTAGAGCTGATAATTGGTGGCTTAAGCATCCTTCCTCAGAACAGGCCTTATCTGTTTCAGCCATAAGAACATTCAAGGTTGACTCTGGTAGAGATTTAGATGGCAAATGGAGAAGCCAAAGGTGGGATGTACCTCAGAACAAGAGGGATAATGAGAACTGGAGACCAAAACAGGACTTTGACAAAAGATGGAGAGATCCACAGAGGGACCATAGGAATAGGGACAGTTCTAAAGGAAGTAATGTAATGGGAGATAATTGGAAAAATAGATGGGAGGAGCCTAAGGTAATCAATAATAATTGGAATAATAATAATAACACCTGGGAGAAGCTAAAAAGGAGAGATAACTGGGAAAATCACAGATGGCAAGAAAAACAGAGAAACAACAGGAACAGTTATTGGGAGAATAATTGGAAAAGGAACCATAGATGGGATGATCAGACCAATAGACGGAATTGGGATAATTGGAGGAATAAAGAAGGGAATAGAGACTACTGGGACCTAAAGAGACAGACTGAGAGATTGGAGGCAGATGTGAAAGCGCTTAGGGAACAGATGAGAGAGGGAAATACTGATCAATTGGGGGTCCCCAGCAATGAATAACTCCCATAATTTTTGTTGTCCTCTACATCTGTATGTATGTTTGTTTTTTCTTTTGTTTCTATATTTTATCTGTCTCACCATTATCTTGTAACACTCCAGTTTAAAGAGGACCTTAGTAATGTATTGTTATATATATATATATATATATTATTTTTTTTAGTCGTACTAAGGATAAGCCTCTAAATTCATTCATTACAGTCAGGTGGGCCAAATTCCAAATAATTTTTGTTTTTATTAGTTTAGCACGCCTGCACTGCCAGCTATGTTTTATTTTTTGATGCTGGATTAATAATGATAAATTCATAGATTAAGTGAATTGTTGCCAACGTGAGGCTTATATTTGATCACACTGGAGAGATGTGATAGTGTAACTTTCTGTTGGTTTACAACAGTAAAAACTTTAAAAGCATTTTTTTTTTTAATTTGGTTCCCAACAAATATAACCTCAAGTTGATTTTTGATTTTGATTTTTGAATAGCAACAGACAGTTTTCTATAGATTGCACGCTGCCAAACTGTGTAATGGTAGCATTCAATCTACTTTTTTTTTCTTCTCTCTCCATCTTTGATGCTTTGTTTTTTTTTGTCATTAAGAATATAGGGAAATTAGATTGCTTTGAGTGAAGATGGCATAAATAATAAAGTGAAAATGTATGCTATTTGTTCTATTTGGCTATCCGCAGGGGGTTAAATAGTTATGGGTATGAGAATGTGCACCTACGTTCAATTGCGAATACATTTTTCACCCTTACATCTTTCCCACTCACGTTCATGTATAATAATGTTCGGTTTAAACTATGTACATTTTGTGATTATTGCATGTATTCATCAGTAAATTATAAAATAACTAATATGGTTTTGTGTTCAACTCACCATCAGGTGTGGAGTAAATGTCTAAATTAATCAAAATTTCAGGAGACATTTGTGGGTCTTTTAAATACCTCTAAAATGTAAACATAGCTTTAAGACACCACAACCAAATAGATTTTATTAGACAAAACTAGTTAAGCCTTTGACACAAGACAATATGCTGATTACTGTTGTACATATTTCATTGTCTGTGTTTGATTCAAAGAACATTTTAATTGGAAGGCCCAGAGAGGCGAAGGTAACTGACATGTCCTGTCACAGTTTACTATACAGATGAAGAAGTGTTGGGATTACCAAGACAAACTATTATCCTGAAAATGATTACTATTCAGATGAAGAGGTGCTGGGATTACACGTCAAACTATTATCCTGAAAATGGATACTATACAGATGAAGAAGTGCTGAGATTACCAAGTCAAACTATTAACACAGCCCAGAATAAGGGTAAAGTAACAGCAAGAAGCAGGAATTTGTGTCATTTCAAGGTGGTCACAGAATGAGTTTACCCTACACTCATGAACTTGCATGTGTCATTAAACCTACAAACCTCAAGCTTTGTAATGGATTGGCAAAGACAATATTCAAGGAGAGTTCATTCTAAAATCACAGCTATCAAGCACACAGATCAGTCACAGTCTTCAGATTCCAGTCCCAGGCGAAATTAAACATCATATTGTGTCATAAACTAGTGATAATTACTGTATGGGGTTGATTGCGTCTAGATATTACTACTTCACATGAACACATTACCATATAATATTAATGAACAACTACCAGGGTTCTTACCAACCCACTTGGGCAGTTGTTAATTTAAAAACGGAACAACTGAAAACAATTGAAATTGGGGGAATGTGGGGTGATGCAACCCCTGTTTGACTATATTCTCTCACTTTTAAATGTGCTCAACATAAGAGAAAAAAAAGTGAGGGAATGTGGTGACATTCTGTCATCAAACCAATATGGTGACCAGGGATCATGTGACCAAGCTCTTACAGTGGGATAAGCTTTACCCTTTTGAAATGTTAATTGGTAATTCAATACCTTTACTAGTCAGGAAAGAGATAACCACTTCCCCCTATCTCCATTCCTCTCTGTTCCTTCTTGGCTGTGCTACTGAGCAGTCCTTTAAGCAGACATGGCCTAATTTCTATCATGGTGTACTGTGAGTGGGATCTGGTGATTTTATAAGATGTAGTTGTTATTGTTAGTTATGTTGTTGTTGCTGTTGTTGTTGGTATAGTTAGTTAGATTGTGTGTCATTATTTGTATGTTGTTGTTGTTTTGTCTCTGAATAAATATTTGTTAAAGTAGACGGACCAGAGTTTATATGTGTATGCGTACATAATAATTTATAGAGTTTGGTAATACACCACAACATGTACTCTTTGTTTGAAGAAAAACCAGGTAAGGTAAAAGGCCTAAGTTGGGTAACAAGGGAGCTCCTAGATAAGACATTAAATATACTTATATTTAATGCTTAAGTGTTTCTTTAATTTTTATAGTACTGCTTCTTTCACCTTTTTTAAAACATGCAAAACGCATGTAAAATTCCTCCTAAGGGGTGATCTTGGACCCATCCAATACTTTTCCTTGAGAAGCGTAGGAGCCCTACTGCAGCACTGAATCCAATTCTCTATGAGAAGCACACAAACCATTCTATATAAGGAAGTACCTCTAGTGGCTGCTATTACTTACAAACGGAAACAGTGTTGTTACTCGCAAGCGGCAATGTTAATATTGGCAGCACTGTAGGGATAGGGGCCTCACACCATAACCACTACATTAAGATGTAGTGATTTTGCTGTGTAGAGTGCGCTCAAAGAAGCTTATTCTAAACCTCTCGGGTATATTGCGTGGTTTGTACCATCCTGGGCATCTTTACCTCTAAATCCTGGCACTCACTGGCAGCTTTGAAAGACAGTTCCTGGAGTTGCTGTTGAGTATTCTCCAGATTCGTCTTTCGGTCCTGCTGTTGATTTTCCATCAGCTTTATCCGTTTGGTGAGGGATCTGATAATTTCATTCCTTTTCTTTAGCTCATCTAATGAAAATATATCAGTCAACGTTAAGACCTGACACTTTCAGATTCTTATATATTTTGTTACAATTGATTTATTAAATTTTTTCAGAACATGAGAATATTTTTTATAGTTCATACAACAATACACATAAAGTAAAGAAAATGTAAATTAGCATAAAGCACACATAACTATATAATTAAGCAATGTAACTAAAACTGCATTGATTGAACAGTCACAGATGAGAGAGACTGGGAAATGTGCAAGGGAATGGGCCTATAGCAGCTCTGTTACCCAATCCCCAACTTAATATAAACAAACAAATAAATAAAAAGCATTTCATAGAGAGAAAATATTTAGGAGTTTTGGCTAAAATGTGGTTATTGGGCCTAAACTTTAAAGGACCACTATAGTGCCAGGAAAACATACTCGTTTTCCTGGCACTATAGTGCCCTGAGGGTGCCCCCACCCTCAGGAACCCCCTCCCGCCCGGCTCTGGAAAGGGGAAAAGGGGTAAAACTTACCTTTTTCCAGCGCTGGGCGGGGAGCTCTCCTCCTTCTCTCCTCCTCCGATCCGCCCCGTCGGCTGAATGCGCACGCGCGGCAAGAGCTGCGCGCGCATTCAGCCGGTCACATAGGAAAGCATTCATAATGCTTTCCTATGGACGCTAGCGTGCTCTCACTGTGAAAATCACAGTGAGAAGCACGCAAGCGCCTCTAGTGGCTGTCAATGAGACAGCCACTAGAGGAAATAGGGGAAGGCTTAACCCATTCATAAACATAGCAGTTTCTTTGAAACTGCTATGTTTATGAAAAAATGGGTTAACCCTAGAAGGACCTGGCACCCAGACCACTTCATTAAGCTGAAGTGGCCTGGGTGCCTAGAGTGGTCCTTTAAAATTCTCAAATTTCCACGATTCCTGGATTAATGAGTAACCCTCTTAGAAATGTAATTATTTACATTCCAGGCTTGATTAAACATGATCCCAAATAGAACAGTCAGGGGAGTCAATTTTCACAGTACTACAATGGAAGTAGCAAATAAAATGAAGAATTTAAAGTTACATTCCAACCACCATAACCACTACCCTCTACAGCCTGTTTTTTGGTTATGGTGCCAAGAGTGCCTTGGTGCCATCCCAGAGTTAGTCGTTAAATTGTTTTTGAGAATGGTTTCACAACTTACCTAGGGTAAGCTAGGTACCCACCACCTTCTCTGGTGATCAAGTCCTTTGCACTGAGCTTCTTACAAGCGCTTCTGGGTGCATAATGAGGAATCAAACAGTGCCCAGTGGACCCTGAGTAAGTTGTCAAACTAGCTTAATACACTTGGGTGGCACCAGGGCATTCCTGACCACATAAGCACTACAGCTTTCTTTAGTGATTATGATGTGTTTCTTTAATAATTATTGTAACATATATTGGCAGAAAATCACGGTAAATAAATTGGTAGAGAGAAATGAAAAACATTAAATGAGAGAGAAAAATTGGATGGACTGAGAAAAAAAAAAAAAATAATGACTGGGGATGAAAAATAAGCGGAACGGGCTTTGTATAGAAAGAGAAAAATGAAAAGCAGGGCACAAACATGAAATGAGGACCGGTGAAGGAATGAAAATGTTTGGTGGAAAATAAATATTGTCCCCAGAGCTAGAGTACAGAAAACTTTAGGAAAAGATACAATTGTTCACTGACTCGCCTGATGGCCATGTGACTCTTTATTTTTGCATACAAATAATTTTCAAGTTTACTTGCCATCCACAGAGTTCCCAAAACAAAAATACAGTCTAAGAAACGTGGAAGAACTGTGGTCCCCAAGTTAGTCATTTTCTCTGTACATACAGTGTGACATTTGCACTTTGTAGTAATCTTACTTTCAAGCCTGCTACACTTTTGTTCCAATTTGAGAATCTTCTGACGGTCATTTTCCCAATTAAGTAGCTGACTCCGATGCACTGATACCAGATCATTGAGCTCTTTGTCTCTGTCCTTTAGCTCTGCAATTAATAACTGCAATTCGCTCCTTTGCTTCTGAATTGTGGAGTTTTCCAGGTCTGTACAGAGAAACTGTAACAATCCATCATAAGTGAATGATCACTTTACTTGAAGAGGCTGTGCCATGTTTTTGTGCTTCGTAAAATAAAATTCATTATTCAACTATGTCTATATTTTTGTTTATTCTGTTAAATGTGTGTAAACAATTTGAAAGCACAAAATAAAAATATAATTTGCATAATTACCATACAGGACTTTGTATTGCTTGTCAACACAGTCAAAGTTATTCACTAAACTAGGGCTATGTGGGGAATAGCAACACAATCATAATTTTATGCCAAACATATGAATTAGACACATTATCCAACTCTGCAATTCTCCAATTTGCAAATTTCTACAATTGCACAGTTTATTAAACAGCCCTGCTGTTATTAAATGAGTAGGTCATTTCGTTATGGAATAAGCCACTTAAAGAACAGATTTTTGTGATGGCATTGATTATCACTTCTTACTGCTTGTAATGCATGATTCTCACATGCCTCATATGAAAAATGATTGACAAAAACAACAAACAATATCTGATCTAAGTATAAATGAATAAAGATCGAGGCCTTTTGACTCATAATTTTGTCAAAATCTGGCATAAGGCATTAAAGAGTATTTTTATTAAAGGAGTTCTTCAAGCACCATAGACACTACAACATGTTGTGGAGGTTATGGCACCAGGAGTGCCCTTGCGCCTTCCCAGGGTATGCAGACAAATTGTTTGCAAACAGTTTGACACGTTACCTGGGATTCATAGGGTACCGGTCCATAGCCTACAGGAGAGTTGGAAGCCCCTGTACAGAGCTTCCATTAGCTCATCTAAGCTAAATCTTGCAAAAAAGAGGGGTTTCCTGGAGCCGGTAAACAGCACCGAGGGATGGGAGTGGGGCACATTTACATTTACTCTGCAAGGTCACCAGGGCACATCCAGCACAAAACCATTGCAGCCTGCACCAGTGCCCATTGGAAGCTAAGTAAGTTGTCAAATCATCCTAAGTACGGTGAGACAGCACCAGGGCACTCCTGGCACCATAACCACTACAGTGGGTAATGGTTATATTGTTTGGACTGTTCCTTTAAGAGCAGACTGCACTACATATGTAACACAATCCATACTGCAATGAGGGTTTTCGTGATCAACCTGTGATGTTTGCAGCAACAACAACAAAAAATGCCTTTGGTTATTAAATTAAGTTTGGATAAAACTAATAATACTTTGGAATGAAAACAGATGCACAAAATTTACATGAAATATATTTTCGTACCTTTGGCGAAGATGAATTCATAGGTAATCTAGAATTTAGCTCTGTCAGCAGATAATTGGAACCTGTGGACAGAACATGTATTTTATATATTAGTGCTGTATAAAGTAGATGTCTAAAATGAGACTATACAAGTAAATGTTACAACCCAAATGTAACCTGGTAAAAGGATATAATTAACATGCGTCTTTGAAAACACTCTATAAACAGCCTGCCACCTCAGTGCTGATTGGGATGAAGACACAAGCCACAACCTATCAGCAATTGCAGTCAGCATGATGGCTATCTTGCTACTCAAATGACAGGAGTTTGGTTTTGGCAAAATTTATATACTGGATAGTGTTCTATTTCAAATATTTCATATAAAAACAGATCGCTGGCAACTAAAGTAGCATGCATAATACATACATACAAAAGTTCACTGGCTCTGCTCGGTGCTATATAGGTGATGGAGACTTGATTAAATTCCACTTGCTCCTATTATATTATACGCACACTAACCTTCTAGACTGGAAGCTCTAATAAAAGAAAGGATTCAGCATTCTATTTTCTTTTTGTGTACATAGATGAGCTGTAACAAGCATATATTTACAGCTAGGTGGCAGCACTACTGCACGGACTACATTAAAATCACATTTGAGATGGAACATTGAAGCTATAACAGATAATATAAATTGTTACTACAGCAAATATCAGATAATATGTTATTAAAGAGTAGCCACCTTCAGGGGTCTTTCAGGGCACATTTTGCATAGACCCTCGAAACTGACATATCCAAAGTGGGTCCCGGTGGCTGCAGAGTTCCCAGAAGCTGAGTTTTACTTAACTCAAGTTGCCCCTTGCAGTTGCCACCATCTTCTTTCTGCCTACTATGGAGGATCCCACAAGATCTTCCATAGACAGAGCCTGAATCCCACAGTTGTCATTTGTGACGGCTGCCAGGACTGATTAAAAGTTGAAGGCGGACCTCTGTCTTTTGCCAACCTTGGGCTTTACCATAAGACATAGTTGTAGGAGAGTAGGGGATGCTTTCCAGCACTTGTGTTGAGTGGAGAAGGCCGCTCAAACAACCCAAACCAAAGTCTGACTTTTCCGGTCACAAATGGGAGGAGGGAGTAATGCCTTGAAAATTCCTCAGGTGTAGGTAAATGTGCAATGTAACAAGTAGACAATAAAACCGGTATATAGTGTAGTATCCTAAGTGTTGGCTGAAGATTAAAAAAATAAATAAAAAAAAGATATATACTTTCAGTGGTCCGGGAATATTGGAAAATTCACTAATTGTATTAGAAATCACTTGCACATAAAAAAAACATAAAAAACAGATTAAACTGAGTAAATATAACACTAAGGCAGGGCTTGACAAATTTGCTTTGAATCTAGGAGGCAGCTAAAAAAGTTAAAAGCCAGGATTTTTTTAAATCTTACAAAGCTTTATTTTTAACGACAAAATACAATTCTAAAAAGGATACTATAGTCCAGGATTCCAACACATTAATGTAGTAGTTCTGGTGTCTATAGCCTGCAGCGCATGCTTAATAGCTTCCCAATACTTTTTTATGGGAAAGCATTGGATTGGCTGAGATAATCAAGCATGATGATCTCAGCCACATTGGTGGGGCTAGCCTAGGGGAGACCTGCACAGCGTGGATAGAAAAGAGTTACAGGTTCCTGGGCACAAACCGTTTAAATTAGTGAATTTTCCAAGATACCAAGACCATCCTGATATTTCCTGAAGTTTAGACACCATTTTCCTTGGTGGGGGAATGTACTACCTGTGTCCTGATTGAGCAAACCTATTATTTTGCTCTACACTAGATACCATTGTAAGAACTTCTACCATGAACATATCTAAGAGTGTGGATTATATCACTTTACTCTATCAATTAGAAGCCACTAGGGGGCTCCTAAAAATGAGGGTGTAATCCCATACACATACTACACTATATTGGGGTCTATTCTGTTTATTTTACATACCTTCCGGGCTATATCTCACTGGACCCAGAGATACACTGCATAATCTTAGGAGGGACTTATACCACCCAGACACACAGAAGTAGAGCTGTCAGATAGATCTGTGCACTGTAAATGTATCTCTTCTTTTTAATCCTCAACCAACACCTGGTATTCTACACTATATACCTGTTTTATGGTCTCCTTGTCTCGCTGCATACTTACCCACACCAGAGGACTTTTCAATGCGCTACTCCCTTTGCCACTTGTGAACTTCCTATATGACAAAGTTATACTACTTTGTCTCATGGTATCTTTGGATTGCACTGGAAGCAGTCTTGATCAGAATTATATTGAGAATATATATTTATAAAATACTGAAAAGCGACAGATGCACTTTTAGCGGACAAATGTTGCAATTCAGTCTGGAATTCAATACAATTTGGTGTTTAGAGTATAAACCCTTATTTTAGTTACCCAAGGCACTTAACCAACGGTAAATTGTTAACAATGCAATAGGGATTTGCAAATGCTAGGCCAAAATAGACTAGCTGGAAATATAAACCTATTTACACAGATTGTTTTCTAAACACTTTTATTTAAAGACACGTTATTGTGAGTATTATTGCTGTTGAGTTCGGTCATACACTCAGTCACACCAGCAATATGAATCTTCTAGAAAAGATGGACATCACCATAGAAAAGAGGCCCAAACGTAGGGACTGTCCCTTCTAAATAGGGACACTTGGGAGGTATGCCCCTGCTCACCCACAGCAATTTTACCTCCCTCTCATAAAATAATAAAAGAACAGAGAGTCACTAATTGACAAAACTTCATAAGCTGTACTATCTGAAAAGGACAATACATTATAAAAAATATATTTTAAATCTCTACATCAGATTTAGGGGTAATGCATAATAAAGGTGAATTCTACTTCTTCATTGTTGATTTTGCTGAAACACAAATAAAATGCTGGGGTACTGAGCAGGCTGTAAGATCAGACCAGGCATTTTCTAATATGTACAAAGCAAAAAGCATAGAATTATTGAAAAACAGAACAAGTGTCAGGAGGCTGGATCCCCTCTTGGTCCTGGTGTTTATAAAAGACACTATTAGCCATCACTGTGTGTGTCACTAGATAGCTGGCTGTAGTTGGTATATAAATGGAGGTGGTGGTGATGGTTAGATATACAAGGTGCTCAGATCTATAGGTCACTAGTACAGCTGCCGGGTCTCTATGCTGCCTGCCTGCATAGGGGAGAGATGGTACGAGGGCAGTTTAATGAACCCGCACACAGCAGCACTCACCGCGCTAAGTTTGACTCTCGGCCCGACCCGTATCCTATTCAAATAACGCCACTTAACGGCCAAATCCCGCGAGATCACCGCAGCCTGCAGCTCGCGAGATTTCCCCAGCGGCCGCCCCGCTGCATGCTGGGTGCAGGTAGTGGGTGACATGTCTGCTTGCTGTGATAGGGATGCATGTTATAACTCCAGGACTTGATAGAGTGGATTTAGAGTTAGCTACCAGGCAGCAAACAGAAGGGGCCATTTTTCATCGATACCAGCCTTAAAGGGCCACTACAGTCACCAGAACAACCTCACATCTAAATGAAGTTGTTATGGTGTAAGGAAACCCCAGGCGCTGCTTACCATCAGGGTTTAAACCCCAAGTTGCCTCCAGTGCCAATCTCAGCTCCCCCTATAGTGGCATCTGGTTTCCCAAATTTCAGATACTCTGCCAGTAAATAAAAGTGGTAAGCTGTCACCTGGCGGCACTACACGCTTCCTGAAACAGAAATTTCAGAATCCAAATGCTGAAGGGGAGCTGAGCTTGGCACTGGAGGCAACTTCACAATGAAACCATTTGAGAACGGCACAAAAACATCCTTATTTAGATAAAGAGGTAATGGTGCCTTATAATGCTTTTTAAGTTTGTATTCCTGACACTGTAGTGTTCCTTTCAGGAAGCAGAACATTGCCTAACCCTAGAAGGTTATTCCCTAAAGTGTGAATTTTATTAAAGGACACAGAGGCTCATATTTTGATTTATCTCTTTCTTTACCCGCCTTTCTGGTGCGACCTATACCACGACTGGGGCCGCTTGCGCAGTTTGCAGCTGCGCATCGCGTCGGTCATATTGGGTTTGGCAAAGAGTTTGTCGCGCTTTTTTTCCGGCTTGCGCTGCTCGTTTAGTGGTGGGCATGAGCTGATTGGCTGCTTAACGTGTGGGACTGCCTGACAGTGCTTCCCTAAGGCTATTCCTGAGGTAACACTGTAAGCTGCCAGTATTTTGTATTGTGCTTTGTCCTGTGACGAATAGTTCATTTTCACTGCAGTCTCCTTGTTAGTGTGGTATACCTTATTGCTTATTATGCAGACCCCTAAGGAGTTCGAGGGTACTGTCCCTACCATTGCTAAGAGTGCCAGTAGGCATCAGCTGGCCCCTGCTCCTAGACCCCCTACCCATCAGGGGGAGGAGGTAGCTTCACTGGAGCAAGTGAATTCAGGGGAGTTCCACTCGCTCCAGGCCATTTATTCTGCAATGGGAGCGATGTCGGACAACTTGTCCCACTCTATTACCAACACCATTATGGATTCTAGTCCCAACACATCCCAAGGCCTCTGAGGATAAGCCGGTGGTCCCTAGGGGCTGTAAGGCTACGAAGAAGACCCACAATGTGGGCGAGCATACCTCCAAAACTCCAGAAAGGACAGACAGGTTGCGTCCTGTTACCACTGAGGACGTGGGGCCCCCACGTAAAAGAGCCACCTGCCGGGCAAAAGTGGTGTGGACATGGAAGAGGGCAAAAGCCATAACAAATTCTTCCGACTCTGGTCCGGATTTTGAGGAGGTTTCGAACGAGTCCGATGAGATCAGCTCTATTGACTCGGAGTCTTCATCTCCGGACCGCAGTTTGGCTATAAAAATGGCCATTTGTGCTAAAGAGATCACAGATGCTTCCACCATTCTCGACCCACAGGGTGTACCCCTGTTTGACCCCGAAGCCTTACAGAACCCTAAGTCGACCGAATGGTACCCGACCGATCACTTGGCCCAGTATATCGCTGCTAGAATTAGAAAACCTCCGGATATGGCTACCTTGAATAAACTTAGGGCAGAGTGCCCGCGCCCTACCACATCGGAAGTAGATCCTAAAGTCGCCCAATTCCTGGGGAAATCAGGCTGGTGTAAAGATCTTACCTTGAGTGGTAGTCAACACGCAGAGTTTAAAGCACCCTTTGCAATTTTATACAAGCCAAGGGGACTCAAGGCCGAAATCCCCAAGGCGGTGAAACAGTGCACTGGGGCTGATAATAACCAGTGCTTCTAGGAACGAGGTACAGGCAAGGAATATCCAAAGGCGTAGTCAGGGACGTAATCAATGGTCAGGACAGGCGGCAATCAGACATAAACGAAGGACGAGCACAGGATCAAGAACCAGGAGTCAGATTAACAACTGACAACGAGACACCAACCAGGCAGGGTTTAAATAGGGAAACATCAGCCACTTATCAGGAACAAGTGTGCAGGGTCTAGATGGGGAGACACAGACAACAGGATACCAGGAACCATCAAAAAATAACCAAAGAAGTGTGGAGCCCAAGGTAAGGCTACTGACTGGGAAGTAGGAGACTCAGGTTCAAACCCAGCCAGGCACAAAGAATGTGGAAGGCATGATGACAATTGTGACATCATCCTTCTCTCAAAAACGCCATAGGCGAGCAGAGGAGTGCACCTCACAGTCCAGACTGTTTCTTTTTGGATTTCTTGGATCCGAAGTTACCAACAGGAGCGGAGTTCATAGCAAGCAGTGCTCTTTCAAAGGTTTGTAAATCCTCTATACATACTAGAGTCCCATTAGAAGCATATATGCAACCAGGTGGAGGGTCTTCCTTGACAAGACAAATAGTAGTTGTGGTAGCTTCCTTTTTAGAAGCTGAATCTTCCATAGGTATAGGCTTCTCAGGTGTCACCGTAACAGGTTCTTGTAGGACTTCAGGAGCAACAGCCGTAGGAGGGTGAGGAGTGGTCATACACGGGCAGGTAACATGTTAGCATACAGGCCCCATAGGATGTGTACGAGTAGTACCCAGACAGAGAACCTGAGGCCTAGATGGGCGAATAGGACAGAAAGTAATGAAATGTCTCCTCTCCCCACAGTAATATCACAGTCCTTTAGCCCTTTTTCTTGCCCTTTCCTGGGGTGGTTGTCTGAATGTGGTCATACCAATCTCCATGGGTTCCACGACATCCAAAGTAGGTTAATATGAAATCTCAGAGGTTTCGGGTAACTTGGAAACGGTTGGGCTTTGTAAGGCATCAGTCCATGTGTAAGGGGATTCAAGGCAGAAATCCCCAAGGTAGTGAAACAGTGCACTGGGGCTGATAACGAGGTACAGGCAAGGGATATCCAAAGACGTAGTCAGGGACGGAATCAATGGTCAGGACAGGCGGCAATCAGGCATGTGGCAAACCTAGCCACTTTTAGATTACATGGCTGTATCTGCAATGGTTGTTTGTATAAGCCATTGTTGCAATCGGTAGTTAATTGCGTTCCTAGGTGGCCGTTGTTCGACTACCGACCACGCGGCTGGCGGCCATTTTGGATCCTTTGTTCATCCAGCGGTGTTTGGTCGTCGAGCGCGTGGAACTAAAATCGGCTACTCGACAGCGCGAACACCGCTGGGCTTCCAGGCCATTTGGGAGCTCCGGTCTTTCACTATTGTGGTTCCCTATTGGTGTTCGGTACTTTCAGGCGAACATAATGTTAAAGTGTATTTCGTGCGGTGTTCGGTTATTTATGCTGGCATCTGAGCGGTATTCTCACGAAAGGTGCGCTCAGACCCCAGCTATCTACCGAACGTCCATTCGTTTAAATAACGTGAATGATGGAAAAGTTATATATTTTAATGTGAAATGTTGGTTTTGCTGCACGGAGGGATAATCCACTTAACGGTTTATTCCAGTGGGAGTATCCCTCTCGTCCAGCAGTGCCTGATGGGAGAAATGTCCAGATTGTTAAGTCCCCCATGTAGTCCCCTACTGTATAACCCCTGCAATGTCAGTATGGAAACCCCTTGCATGGGGACTTGCATAAATACTGTGACTTGTGAATAAAAGTTCAGTTGACTCCCAGAACTGTGTTTCGTCCGGTTACTGGGGGATTTGGGATATTGCCTTACTTTTCAGCGCTTTACTTTGGATTACCTTCTGTACCAGCGGAGATCGTGGAATTTAATATTGCAGCTCCGCTACAAGGCATAAACAAAGGACGAGCAGAGGATCAAGAACCAGGAGTCAGATTAACAGCAGAAACACCCAACAGGAACAAAATGATCTGACAACGAGACACCAACCAGGCAGGGTTTAAATAGGGAAACATCAGCCACTTATCAGGAACAGGTGTGCAGGGTCCAGGCAGGGAGACACAAACAACAGGATACCAGGAACCATAAGAAAATAACCAAAAAAGTGTGGAGCCCAAAGTAAGGCTACTGACTGGGAAGTAGGAGACTCAGGTGACAGGAGTGCTGCCGGACCGGGGAGGCTGCCACCCGGCTCCATCGTGGAATGTGGCCGCCGGCTGTGTGTGCCTGGTCATATGTGGGGGGCAGACTGCTCCATTTTGTCGAGGCCTAGCACAGACTAACATCAGATGTTTGGGTCCTCAATACCATTATGGGTTATCGTATATAGTTTGTGCAACCCCCAGTTCAAACCTCAGTGCCGCACCGGATTGTGTTTTCCCAACAGGACAGGGACCTGGTAGTGGAAGAAATCCACGTACTACAAGGGAAAGGCGCGATCTACCAAGTTCTTCCTTGCTCTCCCGGGTTTCTGAGCAACCTTTTTTTTGGTGCCCAAAAAGGGTGGTGGGGTGAGGCCAGTTATCAACCTGCGCCCGTTCAACATATTTGTGCGGTACCACCACTTCAAAATGGAGGGAATCCACTGCCTTTGAGACCTCCTCAGGTTGGGGGAATTGGATGGTCAAACTCGACCTACAGGACGCCTATCTCACTATTCCAATTGCCGAGGAGTGTCAACACCTCCTTCAATTTCAATGGGACGAGATAATGTGGAGATTCCGGTCTCTCCCCTTTGGGCTGTCGACGGCTCCATGGTGCTTCACAAAGCTGCTGAAACCTGTGGTCGCCCTCCTGTGCATCAGTGTTGTCCGTATGATCATATACTTAGACGATATGCTGATCATGGCGCACAATGCTCACCAGCTCCGTCAACATCTCTCTTGGGAGTTGTCCCTCCTACAAAAGTAAGGATTCCTGATCAACTGGGAAAAGTCAGTACTAACCCCTTCCCAGTCCATGGAATTCTTCGGATTCAACATAGACACGGTATAGTCCAGTGTATAGTCCACCTTACGAGAACTGGCCAGGATAATAGGATAATCGGTCTCCTCTCAGCCTCCATCCAGGCAATTTTCCAGGGGCCTCTTCATTACAGGGCTCTTCAAAGACTAAATGCTGCACACTTACGCTTGGGTTGCTCCTACTCTGACTCTGTTCCATTTTACTACACAGCCAAGGAGGAACTCACCTGGTGGCTGCAACATATGGAAGCGTGGAACGGCAGAGTGATCTTCGGGACCGCCCCAGATTTTATCATAGAATCCAACGTGAGTACGCACAGTTGGGGAGTGCGTTGTGGTCCTATCAGAAAAAGAGCTTCACATCAACAACCTGGAACTCATGGCGGGATCGTTCGCCCTAAAAAGCCTCAACGGTCTCACGACCAAATACTCCATTATTCTGCGAATGGACAATATATCTGCATTCGGCTACATCAACCATCTGGGCGGCACGAGATCCAAGATACTGACGGACCTAGCCACGGAATTCTGGCTCAGACATTGGTACACCTCAGCCGTTCACAGATATCTTTGGTTCTCATAGCCCCATTCTGGACTGCACACCATTGGTTCTCTTCTTTCATGGAAATGTCCATAGATCTTCCCAGACTGCTCCCCGAAGGGGAGGGAAACCTCAGATTGTTAGAGTGGCTCCTCTCCAGGGACCCTGGGTCATGCCAGACGTTCCACAATCAACTCTGAAATTACTGGTGGGAGCAAGACCACCTCAACCTCGATATAAGTCAGTATGGGATGTGAACCTGGCCACAGAATGCAGACCTCACGCTTAAACAGCTATCAGCAAAATTGACCTCTGTCTGATATCATGCAAACGGGTTTTCAGATGTCCGAGCATGGGACATTGACGCACGCTCCTTCACCCTTACGGGAGTTTCCTTCAGCATTTCCCGATGTACTAAATCATCGATTACTTCAGTTTTCTACTCATCGTTTCCTTACAACGTGAACCTCTGCCCAGTGACTTGTCTCCGGGTATACAAAAAACAAACTCAGGTGTTTCGAAACCCAGCACATCACGTGCTGTTACTAAACTACCTCATTACCCCGTATCTATGGTGACACTAGCCCGCTGGGTGAAATGGACAATAGCTTCGGCGCACATAGATACCTCCGTATATGGCGCACATTCTACTAGAGGTAAACTTGAAGACCTTCTGCGAACAGCAGATTGGTCTTGTGAATCTACTTTCACGGAGTATTATTTTCACCCTACAGAACATGTGTCGTCGATGGTTATTTCACAGCTTTAACCCAGCATAATATGAGCCTTTGTGTCCTTTAATAAAATTACCAGATTTTACTAATTACATGACGTAAAGTCATGATTTTATAAAGGACACGGAGGCGAATATTAGCCCTCCCGATATAGGTACGTTTTCAGTTATGTTCTAGATTTTTCTTCTCCCACCCTAGGTAAGTCCTAGGGATTGATATTTGATTTCAGGCTTGTTTTTAGTCAGTGGTTTAATTTATCTAAGTAGTATGTGAAGATTTTATTGCCTACTATATGCTTATTTTAGTCGAATATATTTCGCCTAGTCTGTACTGTGGTAACATGGACGATGGTCTCTGGGACATATTTTACTATTTCTTTTCTATATCCCTTCCAGCTTGACACTTTGCTGATTACTACCATCAAGATCGGTTTTCCTTCACAGTTTCCAGCAGATGTGTTACTAAAGATCCGTTCACTCAGAGGATATTGACGGTAAGGCAGTCTAATGTGTTGATCCAGTTACTTTAATTTCGTTTTTTTCGTTGAAGGTTGGCTTCGGCATCACCAAGAAAGAGGAGTGGCTGAGGGTCACATGGGATGATATTGCGGGAACGGGAGAGAAAATACTGTCCTGGCCTGTTCCAGACCTACAATTGTTCACTTAGCGTTTTCTGAATTGTAATGCCGCACCTGTGGAGGAGGAAAGTCGTATATGCTGACTGCCATTGCTCTGGTGTCACTGCCCTCCCAAGATCTTTTTTCCAGGCTTTTTGGAATGCCCATGTAGTGTCCTCACTTAGTGTGTTGATGTGCATGTAACATGTTAAGCATTAAAACAGAAAATTAAACAATCAAACTTTGCAGTGTAGCTAGGGTTTCCCCCGCATCTATAACTCGTGGCCTGTGTGCCACTAGCATGAGGCTAGTACTCAAGTGTCCGCTGGCGTGTAGCGCGGTGCGCCCTTCTTGCTGGTTGTCTTCTATTCCGGCTGAAGAGTATAGGGTCTCTTAGGAGGTTTCGGGTTTGAGTCCACGTGATATCCCCATTGTAGGAGCAGATGAAGACCCTCTTCAGCCAATGCTGCTGGAACTGCTTTGCCCTCTCTCATAATAAGGAGTTTAGTGGGGAATCCCCATCTATATGGGATTTGTTTTCTCCATGACTCCACTCCATAAATCCGTGTATAGCTGGATGTCTTTGAATTTGTCCGGAAGATTCTTGCATAGTCTGTGTGATTTCAGTATGTCTTCCTTTATATGGAAAAAAGGTATTTTCACAAACACATCCCTGGCAGTGCTGGGTGGCAGATGTTGCGGTCGCGCCACGTGGTGTGCTCTGTCCATCAGGAGCATTGCTACTGGCAGCTCAGGGAGCAATGTGTGGAATAAACCTGTTAGATAGGCAGCCAGGCCTTGGTGTGTCACATCCTCAGAGATCCCTCGTGAGCGTATATTGCACCGTTGGGACCTATCCTCCAGATCCATTAGCTTAGTTTCATAGCGTGCCAGTTGTTGCTGGAGTTGCTCTACATGGTTGGTGAGATCGTTGTGCACTGTTGTGAAGTCCTCCATCTTGTGCCCTATGTGTGATGTTCTAGAGCCCACATTGTGTAGGTCTTTTTTCATTTCGGCCATTGCCTCTGTCATTATGTTCTGTAGCTTATCAGCCATGGTGTCTAGTAATGTTTGGAAGACGTCTTTCATGAGTGGAGATGGTTCAGGCTGTGGTAGGCCTTGACCCTTGTCGTCGCTATCTTGGGGGATTTTGCAGTTTCCGCTCTCGATGCAAAGAATGCAATTTTGTCCCGGGATTCAGGGTTTTTCCGTGCTCAGTGTTGTTACATATCTTGTCTGATTGTTGCAAGGGTTAATATTTGTCTGCTTGCGTTGTACTTCACCACTTAAAAGTCTCGAAGTACGGAGCTTCGCCACTATCCATCAATCCGACTCGAGTTCCAGCCATGCGCCCCCCCCCCCACTCCCCCTCAGCTTTTATATTTTAACCTCCATCTTGCCATTTCAATTTTGTTTTGCTACCAATCAGTTTAAAAAGTGACGCTGAAAGTTAATTTCATATATTAGGCAAATAAACTTTATTTTTTTTTATTTTTTTTTAAAGTGCCTGTTTTCAGATTGCGTTTATTGGGCTCTAAGTTTGTTATTCACTTTGGATCAATTTTAATTCCTAACAATTCATTTGTTAATTGTGAGAAATGCAAAAGGTGCTGATTTGAAGAAAAAAAACAAAAAAACAATCAGCCTTCCAGCTTGCATTGCCAAGTAGCCTAAAGGGAAAAAGTTGTAGGTGACCAACTGAAAACCCTGTCACCATAATACAGATTTACATTTTTGCTTTTATTCATTGACTACATTGCAAATCCAAAAGCTACTTGTTTGAATTCTAAAATGAAGTTATATATTTTTTGCTGGATATTTACATAATGTAATTGATTGACTATCAAGGAAAATGCAAATATTACAAGTTTCAGAATGAAATGTTGTATTTCTTAAACTGTGTACTTGACAAGGTGTTAGAAATGGAACATATTGTTTTTCATAGATGTTTCTTTAATCCCTTAAGGACACATGACATGTCATGATTCCCTTTTATTCCAGAAGTTTGGTCCTTAAGAGGTTAAGAAATAACCTCAGTGCATATTATGTGTAGGCCATTTTGTCCCAGACGAATTACAATAACAACTAGAAAAGCTACAATTTATGGGGAAATTGTGTGACGTGTTCTTGCCTCCACCAGTAGTCTACAACTAGAGTGGGCGGAGTAACTATTATTTATTTATATAGCACATTTAATTGCAACGTTGTTGCCCAAAATGCTTCACAGTTACATTAAAACATACATTTATAAAAACATTCGCAGGTGTACAAAAGGCCCTGTCTATGACATCACTTGCTGCTCCAGCCTGGCACAGGTCAGAGTATTTTTGCGGTTGCCATCTTCAAACGGTCGTATTTTAAAAACAATACATCCTACAGCGAAGACCTTTATATTGTGAGAATCACAAGACCCAGACCTACATTTTGATGCATAGTATGTCTCTGAAGTATTAAAAATGAAGATACAGTCGCAGTTTAGAAATTGCCTTTCAAGTTTGAGCTGGCTAGAGTGAAGTCTCAATGAATGTCAATGGACGGCGTTAGTTGCAAACAAATGGTCATATTGTGACCAGTGGCGGATCCAGAGCCTGATCTCGGGAGGGGCACTTGTAGATTATTTAAAGAAATAATCCAGACACAATAACTACTACAGCTCAGTGTAGTGGTTATGGTGTCAATAGTGCCGGGACCCCCTCCTAGAGTAAGTAGTCAAACCGTTTAAGAACAGTTTGACAACTTACCTGAGGTCTGCTGGGAAATGGGGCGGTAGTAGGGCATAGGAGCAGTGGTGTGTGTGAGTGGTGCAATGTGTAAGGGGTGCAGTGTGTGTGTGTGTGAGGGGGACAGTGTGTGAGCAGTGTGTGTGTGTGTGTGTGTGTGTGAAGGTTGTAGTGTGTGAGTGGGGGGGCAGTGTATGTCAGGGATGCAGTGTATGTGTGGGACAGTATGTGTGTGTAACAGTTGCAGTGTGTGTGTGAATGTGGGCAAAGTGTGTGTATGGGGCGGCAGTGTATGGGGGCAGTGTGTGTGTATGGGGGGCAGTATGTGTGTATGAGGGCAGTATGTGTGCATGAGGGCAGTATGTGTGCATGGGGGGCAGTATGTATGCATGGGGGGCAGTATGAGTGTATGGGGGGCAGTATGTTTGTATGGGGAAGGGGGGGCAGTATGTGTATGGGGGGGCAGTATGTGGGCATGGGGCAGCATGTGTGTGCATGGGGGGGTGCATGTGTGTGTATGGGGGGCAGCATGGGGGTAGTATGTGTGTATGGGGCAGCATGGGGCAGCACATGTAAGGTGCATGTGTATGGGAGGGCAGTATGTGTGTATGGGGGGGGCAGCATGGGGGCAGTATGTATGGGGGCAGTATGTGGGTATGGGGGGGGCAGCATGTGTGTATGGGGGCAGCATGTGTGTGTATGGGGAGGCAGCATGTGTGTATGGGGGGGGGCTGTTAGCATGAAAGGTATGTGTGTGTATGGGGCAGCACATGGGGGGCAGCATGTGTATGGGGGGGCATGGGGCAAAGTATGTGGGCATGGGAAGCAGTATGTGTGTATGGGGGGCAGCATGGGGGGCAGTATGTGTGTGTATGGGGGGCAGTATGTGTGTATGGGGGGCAGCATGGGGGTAGTATGTGTGTATGGGGGTGGCTGTGTGTATGGGGGGGCAGCATGGGGGGCAATATGTGTGTATGGGGGGGCAGCATGGGGGGCAGTATGTGTGTATGGGGGGAGGCAGTATGGGGGCTGTGTGTGTGATCAGGGTAGGGTGGCTTTTTTTTTTTTATAGTATAATATTTTTTTATTTAATTAAAATAAATATTATTCTATGTCCCCCCTCCCTTCTTACCTTTACTGGGGAGGAGGGGGGACATATTTCGATCCCTGGTGGTCCCAGTGGGGATTCATTGGTGGTCAGGTGGTCAGAGTGAACTCTAGCCCGCGCTCCCGGCAACGCTTCAAATCTCGCGAGAGGAGGACCCGGAGGAGCTGCAGACTGAGCTCCGGGTCCTCCCTCTCCCTCCCCTGCCGGCTGCCAGCACAGTGCCTGCGGACCGGGGAGGGAGATCTCTGATCTCCCCCCCGGTCCGCAGGCACATTGCAGGGATAGCACCTGCATGTGCTGCTGGCAGGGGAGGGAGACCGGCGGATTTCTCGGGGGGGGCAATTGCCCCGTTGCCCCACCCCCTGGATCCGCCAGTGCATTGCAGGGATAGCACCTGCATGTGCTGCTGGCAGGGGAGGGAGACCGGCGGATTTCTCGGGGGGGCAATTGCCCCGTTGCCCCCCCCCTGAATCCGCCAGTGATTGTGACAACTATCAGGACTATGGCTTATTTTTAGTGGCAGCAGGGGTAGCTGAACGTTTTGATATAAGATTTGTGTAGGTGAGCCTGAAAATGAGGGAGTGGTTGCAGTTTAGAAATCATGTCCTGATTTTTCAGCTTTTGTCAGCTCCCACTCTAGTTTCAAACATTTTGCCATTCATTCCTATAGGAACAATTTGGCCACAAGAACGACGATATTCCGTGAACCATTCGGCGAAACGTTCCACAAAGTAATAGCAATCCAATCGGGAACAATCCGCACGTTTCAGTCTATTACTGTCTCTTTAGTGTAAAAACTGTGGGAGGAGTTAGGGTGGTAAATTTGGCTATAATAAGAATAATAATATATATGAGATATAACATTAAGTGGTCTTGCTATGCAAGAACACTTAATGCATAAACAAGCTTCAAGGCTATCCTATGACTCTTTCAGTACACAATATACTGTGGTAACCCTAAGTAGATAAGATGTTCAGACTTTAAGATGCCATCTTGAACTAAATCAGGAAAATTTCCATGATGTATACACCCTTTAGTTATGGATTTTTGCCAAGTTAAAGGAGGTCCTAAAATGAATAAAGTAAAATAAATGTTACTTTTTCATGTATGAACTACAGTAACCCTAAAATGAAGACACTTAAGGTATAAAAAGGTGTACTTTTAAATGTTAAGACACAGAGGAGAGACTTGGAGACAGACGCTGCTCCATCTTAACCCCTTCAGGACGGGTGACGGACGAGGTCCGTCACACAGGGGAGACCCTTAACGATGGGTGACGGACCTCGTCCGTCACGCGGTAAAATTAACCCCGGATCGCCGCTATCGCGGCGATCGCGGGGTTAATGGTGCTCCCGGTATGCCTCTGCATTGGAGGCATACCGGGAGCACCCGGTCAAGCTGCCCAGCACATGTGCTCGCTCTGACCACAAGTCTGAGCGAGCACATGTGCTCTCTATACTCACCTACCGGCTCCCTGCACTTCCGGGTTCTGTGTGAAGTGCAGGGAGCCGGATCAGTGCTGATCCTGCCCCCTGCTGTAAAAAAAAATAAAGTTTATTTAAAGTCCCCCCCCCTTACCCATTTTAATAAAAAATTAACCCCTTCCCTGCCAATTGATCACTGACTACAGTGATCAATTGGCAGGGATTACATTTTACTATGATCTGATTTTTTTTTTAACCCCTGAGGGTTAATTCTTTTTTTTTTTAACCCTCAGGGGTTAAATTAATTAAATTAATTAATTAAGTTATTTTTTAATTATATATTTAGATAGCTGGGGTGGGTGGAAGTTAGTGGGGAATTGGGGGATTTGGCGTTAGGCTAACTAGGGGTTAACGTTAAAATTTTTTTTAAAAGAAACTGTTTTAATAACATTTAAGTAAAAAAAACAAAAAAAACACACTTTACCTAGTCCAAATAAAAATTAACCCCTTCCCTGCCAGTCGATCACTGCCTACAGCGATCAAATAGAGATCACAGTATTATATACTGTGATCTAATTTTTTTTAACCCCTGAGGATTAACTTTTATTTATTTTTTTAACCCTCAGGGGTTCAATTTATTTAATTAATTAATTTAAATATTTTATAACTATATATTTTGCTAGCTGGGGTGGGTGGGAGTTATGGGAAAATGGGGAATTTACTGTTACTGCTGCGTACTGCTAGTTAGGGGTTAACGGTAAAAAAAAAAAGCTTAGAAAAATGTTAAATCTGTAAAAAAGTTTTAAGAAAGTTTAGGAAAGTTTAAAAAAAATTTATAAGCAAAACAAAAGTTTAAAAACTAGTTTTTAAAAGTAAAAAAGTTATAAAAAGTAAAAAAATACATTTTAAAAACGCTCATTACCACTACACCTGGAGCAAACTAGAGAAAAAATTATCCCACGCCAAGGTTCAAAATATGCCTTTTGAATTACCCCAGGGTGTATTCTTTAATAAATAGTATGTGTTTGTGGGGAAGTTTCAATAACCAACCGTCTAAACTACTCCAAATTGGAACATGGACACAGCGTAAAACTTCAAAGTTAGAAAAAAACTGAATGGCTGCGTCTCAAATGCGCCCCTTCAACATCCACATATACCTGGCAAAGGTACATACGGGGGTATTGCTGTACTCAGCCGACATAGCTGAGCAACATATGAAGTATTATACAGTCATAGCACACATAAGGTTTGCAAAATATGCTGCGCAAACTCACTTTGTATGTCAAAAAGGCAGAAAAAATGCTTATTACCACTACACTTGGTACAAGCTAGCGGAAAAATGATCCCACGCTAAGGTTCAAAATATGCCTTTTGAAATACCCTGGGATGTCTTCTTTAAGAAATGGTATGGCTTTATGGGGAATTTGGATTATATAGCCTAGTAAAATACTCTAAAATGGGACATAGGCACAGCATAAAAATTCAAAGTTTGAAAAAAACTGGAATGGCTGTGTCCCAAATGTGCCCCTCCGATGTCCACACATACCTGGCAAAGGTACATACGGGGGTATTGCTGTACTCAGCCGACATAGCTGAGCAACATATGAAGTATTATACAGTCGTAGCACACATAAGGTTTTGCAAAATATACTGTGCAAACTCACTTTGTATGTCAAAAAGGCAGAAAAAACGCTTATTACCACTACATCTGGTACAAGCTAGCGGAAAAATGATCCCACGCTAAGGTTCAAACTATACCTTTTGAAACACCCTGGGGTGTCTACTTTAAGAAATGGTAGGCCTTTGTGGGGTAGTTTGAATTTAAAACCTGCGAAGATGCTTGGAAATTGCACATAGGCCCAGCGTCAAAATTCAAAGTTTGGTAAAAACGGATATGGCTTGGTCTCCTATATGGCACTGTAGCTTCACGAAATAGTGCCAAAGACATTCATATGGGGTGTCATTTTACTCAGAAGACTTAGCTGAGCATAATTTGGGGGTTTGAACTTAGTGGCACATATGAAATATACAAAACGCCCAGCAAAAATGCAATCCGTATGTAAAAAATGCACAAAATTATTTTTTACCACATACTTTGGCATATATTGGTGAAAAAATGGGGGCATGTTAAGGCACAATATGCACCTTATAAGATACCCTGGAGTGTCTACTTTTACAAATGGTAGGCCTTTGTGGGGGTTTTTTGAACAGCCAAACTGTTATAATACCCCAAAATGGAAGCTAAGGCTCATTAAATCCATCTCTCAAAATTCTACTGTGAATACTGAAAAGGACAGGTATCCTGTATGGCACTGTAACTTCACGAAATAGTGCAAAAGACATACAATGGGGGTGTCATTTTACTCAGCAGATGTAACTGAACACAAAATAAAACTTTGTACAGGAATAGCACACACCAACTTTACAAAATATACACGAGAATTTCTCTGTTATAAGTTTGTGTGCCAAAAACCAAAAAGAACACAATTTTACTCCAATATTTAGCAGAGGTTGGCGGTGAAATGGCTACGTAGAAAGTGTCAAAACAACCTTAGGTAAATAGCCCGTGATGTCTACTTTATATAAATATATACTTTTGTGTGGCAATTTTGTTTTCTTTTATGGCTATTAAGCTTACAAGACAAACATACCAAATTCTAAAATCGCTCCACATTAAAAGTTTATTTTACTCCTTGTGCTTTGTGACCTGTAACTACCAAAAAAAACTTAAAATCCCAGACACATTATATATTCTGTAAATCAGAACAAATAAATAAATTTATTTTTAATTACTTTCCTTAACCTGCACTAATTATGCACATATTATTATTGCAAAAACTGTAAAAAAAAAACAATGTTTTTAATTTTTTTTGCATTTTTCTGTATTTTTTTTATAATAAGTAAGCATTTATATATATATATATATATGTTATATCAAATTAAAGTCCTTTCTGTCCTTTAAAAAACAGTATATAATATGTGTCGGTGCAATAAATGAGAGAGATGCAAATTGCAGTTGAACGCAAACAGCAAGAAAATGCAAAAATTTCTTGTGTCATTAAGCGTAAGTCAAGCTTCTGAAGCTGTGTCCTTAAGGGGTTAAAATGACAGAGAGGCTGGGGGCGGAGCTTGACCGCCGAGCCGTGCAGTCGCATTGCCAAGAGCTCCGATCCGGCGGGCAGAACCCGGGGTACAAGCGATGGCTAACAAGCCCACAAGCATCAGAAGGTGCACTACCCACATTGGGGGTGCCCCTCCGAGTACACCGACACCACCCCGGTGCCTGTTGACGCCGGGAAAGCGGAGTTCCACATGCGGCCTACTAGGGCTGAAGCAGGGGGAAGGCGGCCGCTCCCCTCAGCGCAAGAACCCACAAGCTACTACACCTCAGCATACCCTCCCCCCATGGACCGGTGGGAGACATCCCGGTCTCCGAAGCACATAGGGACCAGCATGGAACAAGACCACATCAACCACGAGAAATGGCGGGGCAACAGACCGAAAAGGTACAGCCAAATTGGCCGACCAACCTGAGCCGAGCAGGCAGAGCACCCACACAGGAACACATACGTCCCCATGACAATATTTGACCGGACCTGCGCTGGTCTCAGGGTAGCAATGCGAAACCAGGGAGCAACTCACCACCAAGCCGACCGTACGGTGGCCTCATGGTTGCGACCAACAGCGCGACGCAGGCACTACATACAGGTACCCCAAGCATCCAAGATGGCAGTCAGGCAAAATAGATACCGAAGGGCATCGAGACGGGACCCAGCGCCAGGCCTCTCGGACACACGCTCTCACCCGCCCACAAGCAAAGCCGAGATCTCCAATCCAACAACGACGCACACTACTAAAATACCTGACCTAAATCCCGGCTACCAGCACAGTACCAAGCGCCACTCCTCAACCAATACTGCAACACAAGTGAAGGGGAAACTTAACACCACGAAGAGACGTCCAGGAGCTCAACCCAGAAATAGAGACACCGTGCCCTGCGACCGCTATGACAAGAAGAATAGCAACAGCCTGCGGATCCTACCAGCGCTGGGCATAGGATGAAGTGCCTACCATGCTGCTTCACACGGGTGAATGATTCCTGGACTGTTTAGAGCTCACGATCCAGCTGAGTACCCGGATCCATAAGCATAACTAAAGCCACGAATGGACTATGCTCATACGTCCTCATGGACTGGTGGTAATAACACTAAAACTGATGAAAAACCGATCCGGATAGTCCTATGGACACTGAAAATTGATAAAGCAGTTAATACCCAAGCTTGGACTGCGTAAGAATGCTACTTTGAGTGCTAGGCTGGACATAGCAATGTGCCACACAGCAATCATGTCTAGAAAAAATAGCGATGTTAAGGTATAATATAGGCAAGATTTAGCAATGTTAATTATATTAGGATGCCTTATGACCTAAATACCCACAGCATAAAGTTTCTATGCACTATTTCATAACTAGATACTGCTCTGCTACAAAACATGCTCACACTATATTCTAGCATAGGCATCTGGCATCTTTATCTCACTTAAACCTCCTCTGACGTAACGACAGTTTAGTTAAGCATGCAAAACATATAAAAAGGTGCGAATTCTCATGCCACTGTTTATCTTTTATGAAGCTTGAAATACGCTGTTGTGGTGTCCGTTGAACTCTTGTAACCATCTGCACAACCCAAAATAAAGAATTTTAAAAAAATAAATACAAAAATGACAGAGGCTGACATGATGACATGTTCAGGAGGGTATATACCTATAATGACATTTGCAAGCATTTAGTTTAATCTTATAGACTCTTATAAACTCTGCTATAATGGATTTTATGTCTATATTTATATATAATAAAAATCTAAAAGACAAAACTTTATTGCTTCCAAGACAATCCTTATTTTATATAGTATTCTCAATTATTTATATATGTTAAATAGAGGATCTCTTACACTAACCATATAAAATTATGGCTAAGATATCTGTATGGTTAGCCCTGCTAAGTTCTATGCTTTAAGACGTTATAGTGGTAAATAAGGGAACCAGCCGCGGTTACACTTACACCAAAGGGGGGCAACCAGAGTAGTGGTTATGGTGCTTGGAGTGTTTCTAGAGTGAACCAATCCTAGTCAGACAGTCTTTGTGTCTTTTATACAGGTTTAGTTTGCTATATTACATGTGCCATATGTAAAGCAGGCACCCAGACGACTTAATCTCATTGAAGCAGGGTGTTTACATTGCAGGGTGACTATTGCCTCTGCCTGCTGTTTCTGGGAGTTTGTCTTCTCTGTGTGCATGATGTCATCAAGAGTCTTAAAATCCCTCATAGGAAAGCACTGATTCAATGCTTTCCAAAGAGGAAGGCCTGTGACGCACGTTAGGTTCCCCCTTGGACGTCAAAGATTGAGCCAGTGCTGGAATAAGATAATTTGTTTTAAACACATTGAGTGCTGCAAGGGATGGTGCAGAGTAACACTCTAGTGTTCGGAATACCGCTTTGTATTCTCAACACTATTGAGTTCCTTTAAATGGTAATCAGCAAACGGGAACCCACAAAGTGTTAGCAAACTCAAAGTTGGTGTATGTACAGCCATGAGCATGTGTATAGCCTTGCACTTCAGGTCACATTTCCTTTTTAGAAGGCGCAGGATAAAGCTAAAATCTAATTTTTTTATTTTTTTTTATTCAAAACTTATTTTATTATTTTGTTGTGCATTCAATAAAATACATTTTGACTTGTATTGCCACGACAGCAACGACAAGCCTGGTAATACAGACAGTTGACTCTGTACATGGCATGCGATAATTCTGCACATTTTTAGAGTATACAATGAACAGGCTAAACAAACATTTCTAGGTCAGGTTGCTAACAAGAGGTAGGTGCCTATTGTAAATCGACATGCAAGGATTAAACATACAATTAATGATCAAGCTTTTTATGATGTAAAGCAAGCTGGGTTATACAGGCTAGGTTTTAAAGGTGGCACGAAGGACTAACTCGATATGTTGGATTACAGCTGTGTACATTGAGCCATATATATGTGGAAAAGCGGGTACAGGGCTTAAGTAGCTTGTGTGATAGTTAAGTTCTGTGAGCCAGGTAAAATAATAATAATAAAAAAAAAAAAAAAAGGGGGTGGTGCCCCCAAGTATAAGGGGGCCTAAGGGATAGGGCCCTACGTGAAGATCCCTGACTGTGTCCTCTCATGGATTCCAGGGACCTTGGTCCATGCACGTGCGGCCGGGTTGTATGTGAAAAAAAAAAAAAAAAAACAAATTTTTTTAAAAATTTAAAAAAAATGGATAAATGAATAAAAATGTGAGTAAATAATGTTGGGAGGGAGTATAATTACGTGAGGATAACTGGCTGCTTGAGGTGGAAGCTATCGCTGCGTAGAAGTGTGTCTCGTGCCTCTCCTCATGCCTCTGTTCCCAGATAAGACTTAAAAGTAACGTAGAGCTTCTATATGGCTATGCTCAGTGCAACAGTAACGAGCACCCGGATGCGCCAACATATGCAGTGTCGCCCTAAGGTCATAAAAGCAATGTCGGTGCGGGCTGTATACATAGTTCTTTACATTCGCGAAGCTCAGGTAATAATTGCAGCATGTCTATGTAAAAATTTAAAAATTAAATCATATAAAGTGTGTAATTATTTCCATATGATGAGAGGCAGTCGTTATGCACATAGGGGCAAGAATTTAAAGTTTGCCCACACAGAGGCGCTTTACCTCGGTGTACAGCCACCGTTTAAATGTTTAGCTTTGCGTGTGTGCGCCAGTGTATGGAACTGGGTTGGGAACTGTGCTCGGATGGCTATCTATCTGTGGAACAGGCAGACTGTTAATGTTTTAATATACAAAAAAAAAAAAAAAGAGAAGAAAAAGCTTATGGTAGTAAGTTAAAAACACAATGTTAAGTCTTTGCTGCCTAGTCAGATGCTCCACAATCTATATTGCCTTGCATATTTATGACTGAAAAGAGCATATAAACAAACACATCGCCTTATGTACGTTGTGACCGCCTAGTCTATTATAATTCTAACTCATGGAATTAAAGAATGCTTATGATTTAAGGGCAACTAACAGTAGTGCATGAGCTTAATTGAGCGATCTAGCGTTCTCTAAATTCTTTAAGTACGTGAATATATATGCTAATAAAGTAGAAACAAACTTAAAAATGAAAAATGTGAGCTATAAACTGCAGGGTGGCCATGTTAGTCTACATGGCCGTCTCAGGGGAGTCTCTCATGGCACTGCTACCACACCGTCCCCGGGTAGCCAGGCCTCCTTCCGTCCTCCCCATGCCGATCTCAGCTCACCGGTCGGGTCCCTTGTGGCACCGTGGGCACTCAGGAGTGCAAACTGTCCGTTGGACCCCCCCACAAAGTCCGCTGGTTGTCAGCTCCCTGCACCTCCCCAGCTTCACTTGAGTCCCTGGAAGTGTGCGTTCCAATGTCTCACCCGGTGCTGGCCACACATTTGGAGTCGGTGCCCATCCCCCCCGACCACCGGTCCGTCGGGGGGGTAGCGCGGTCCCATCCCACAGGGCTCACGGCTTCGGGGACAGGTCTCTCCGGGGACCCCACAAACCCAGAGGTCTTGGCGCCCACTCCCCAGCGGTCAGTGACACAGCATGGAGGATCCGTCCAGTGCTCGGCCTTACCAGGGCCCGTGCGAGCCGTCCATGCCAGACCCCCCTGATGCCTAGAGTGAATCCTCGGGCGGGCTCTGTCTGACATCCTTTACCCGTTCAGGTGGTTGGCTCGGGCCCCGCGCGGTTTCCTCCGGCTTGGAGTGTGCCGCTTCCATGCGGCCGGGGGGGGGAGCGGAGCCGGGCCGTCATCCGCAACTGTGTGGCCTCCATGTGGGCCTTAAAGCTGGTATACCTTGATCTCTGGGCTGCTGGTCAGTTATCTGTGCCTCTTCAGGGGCTGCCATCATCCAGGCTTATGATGACGAGTAGGCCGCTTTGTTAATTTCGGTGTTCCCGGCCCAAAACCGGCCTCGGTTTGGTATCCCCATAAAGCTTAAATGTTTCTTGTTAAGTATATGTAGCTTATTTCTGCTTTGGGGTGGTCTGAGTGTGGATTTATTGCAGTTTTCCAGGGCTCAGGCCAGGAGCCATGGTGTTCTGCTGCCTTTCATCTCGGCGGCCCGGCCCCGCCCCCCCTAAAATCTAATTTAAAGTTTATTTCATGAGCCTTGTTCGCTACAGGGAACACAGGAAACCAGCACAGTTTTCTGGTACTGTATGTTCATTAACACCTATAGACAATTAGTGAGGGATTATGTGCAAACTGTGTATGTCCAAGTTCCTGCAAATCTCTACCTATATTTAAATAGCCTTAATTCTCATTTGTCTCCTACTACAAAAGCATGAATCTTCTACAATCTACCAATCTGGTGGGATTATCCCTTGAAGTTTCTCAGGCCAGGTGGGATGAGGGCATGACCAGCAGTTCATTAATTTATTTTGCATCTTTCTGCCCTATGGTGTAACCATAGGAGTGCAGGAAGGCAATAAGTGAAACAACTGAAAACTGCAGAAGATTGCCATCAGTGTCTTCAGTGCAAGTAGTCCTATATGATGTTATATATGATGTTATTTTGAGGTTTTAAGGTGTCTTGGACATGGGAAGGAGCAGGGACAATTTTTGGTTCGCCATAGTGGCCTGGCACTGGTCTAGCCCTGATGCAGCCACATTCTGGAACTTTTTCACCTTCATAGATGTGGGATCCTTGGTTCCTACTTTCTACCATTCCTTGATCTTCAACGGATAGTCATATTAAGCATGTGCCCTTGTTGGAAGAAGACCCGTGTTGTAGTTCTTTGAAACTTAACTGTCAGGGTTATTCACAGGTGAATAACCCTGTATGTGCTCATTCATTAGAGTACTCTATCACTGAACATTTTCAGTTTTTTGTTTAACCTTGTACCATTTTAAAATAAAAACATTTTTATTGACGTGCCTAGCCATACCTAACAAAATACGAGACAAACCAATAATGACCAAATTAATTTTATTACTCTAAACACATATTTTGCAGTCGCATGAGGAAACTTGGTTACTTAGCATTTAAAAATAAAAACAAAAAGTAGCTTTTCTACAGTAGTGAAAATGCAATTGAAAAGGTGGTACATTTTGACCGAGCCGGACATACATTGTTCTCTGAAACCTCCCTGGCTTTGGCTACGTAGACTAAAACATTAGGTCTTTAAATACAGGCACAATGTTGTATCACTTCTTTACTTCCCCAAGGTCATCAATGCTATCGTCATCAACCTGTAAGGGTAAGACAGATTTAGCTGTTAGCTTGTACAGTAGGCGGCTAACAAATTAGCTATACATCTCAGAACCCCCTGCTGTGTCTATAAAGTAATGATGTGCAGAAATGTATGTGATAAGTGTAATCCAGCAATAGCATGTTAAAAAAGCATCATGATTGATTGCTTGGAGGTTGAAACAGGATTACAAATTCAGGAAATTCAAAATGCATATATTTTTTTAAATTATATGTAAGATATTTGAATTGCTTAATTTTTCTAGATAATATAATGTAATTAGTTACAAAGTATTACACTCAGCATAGCAAGTAAATCACTACTTTTACAAATCTGCATTTTATGTTAAACATTTTCGTTTATCCATAATCTCTTACTTCTGGCCATTTTTCCTGTATAACATCAATAATATCATCTGTAAAGTCTCCCTGAATTATTATTTCATCCTCTCCTGTTACTGAGGCCCCACAGGAGAATTTCTGAGCAAAGAATCTTTGTGCTTCCTTGAGTTCAATTTCTGGAAAAAAAAAAAAAAAAGAGTGAAAAACATACCCACCAGAAATGCAACAAACTTATAACATGAGATAAATCAATGGATTTATTAGCTAACAGACATGGCACTGGGATGGAAAGGAGAACAGTGGCTAGGTCACAGCAGAGAATATTTTTCAGAATAGGAGAATGGCAATCCTACCACCTGTGAATTAATGCAGTTTTCTAGTCCCTAAGAGCTAACAAACATCAAACAATGAGGAGGATATTGTCCTGTACCAATGAATGAAGTTAGTTGCCACTTTTGGGTAGTTTATTTTTTTTGGGGGGGGGGAGAGAGAGAACGGACATTAGTGTTTGATGGTCATAATTTATATGAATGAGAACTGAGAATCTGTAGAGTTTCATATTGTCCAGCATTCAGGATTGATAGCAATAAACTACTACTTCTATTTTTATTTGGCATACATTGATTACATGGGACAGCAGGATAAGGTTCCTAAACCAGAGAGACCATGCCACAAAAATGATGTTTGAAAGACATGCAGTTTTAGTACACAACCCCATTAGAGATCTGAACAAAAAATAAATCAGATGAGCACAGCAAAAATGAAACTTACCAAATGTCGCAAGACCACAGACTCTAGTAACATATTTCTTTTTTGCTCTAGGTATTTTGGCTATTGTAACCTTTTGTGGTACAGTCTTCTTTTTCTGTTTAATTTGACCACGTCCACCTGCAGAAATGGAAAGGATTGAGGGGGAACTCTTAATATAAATAAAACAAGTCAACCTTATTTAAGTTTTATCAACCAACTCAGCAATAAAGGAATTGAGAATTACAAACATTTGTGTGTTTTTTTTTTTTTGCCGTTGATATTCCGGTTTCTGCCCAAGTGGCTTAGTCATTATTAACCCCTTCCCAATGTTAGGACATTCCATGCTGTTCTCCACAGAATGAGCTTTAACTCCATTTGGACAGCATGGAACGTTCTAACTTTTCAGTGAGAGCAGGGTTAAATTATTACCTGGGGCTCCCGTCTATCACCTGGGAGTGTTTAGCCAGCTTTGACTAGCGTACGCCGCAGATCCATTCTTATGAAAATTGAACCACAACTTACCAATATAGCCAATACAGAGCCTGGCCCAGCTGCAAAAGGTCTATTTGGAGAGACTTTCATTAAATACATAGGTAAATATGTGAAAAAGTGTAATCTTTAGATAAGGCAGAAACCTCTCTAAAGAAGGGTTTTAGCACAAAAGGTTTTCGGAAGGGCTGGAAGAGATCGTAACTGCTCAAATCAGTAGTAGCTGGGGAATGAGACCAAATTCTCCTCATTGTACTGCAGAGGGTAGATACTCTTGACATTCATTCTCAATGTACATTGAATCCACTAGCAAGTCATTGTTTCATCATAAACCACAAAAACAAATATTACAAAATAAAACCAAACTCGATTTTAACACTTTCACAAGAGAGAATTTCTCAGATTTATAGTGAATTCCAACTTGGCATATCTCAATGTGGAAACTAAAAACTATTTGGAAAAAGATCAGATCAGTTCTAAAACAAACAACTTGTTTTCATCACATCGCAGATTGTAGACCTGTTATTGTCCTTCATTTAAGCTATTATTCTGGCCCCTCGACATTACTGTGCCCGCCAAAGATTGAAAGTTGAACATTTATGCAATGTTCTTTATTATTCAGACTAAAATTTGCTATTACTCCGCATACAAGAGACAATCTCTTCTGGTGGCTAGGTCACGTACAAACATGGAACAGAAAGGCAATTTTCACCCCTTTTGCAGATCTACTAATAGAGTCCAACAAGTAGTTTTGGTTGGAGAGCCCTTGCGTAAAAAATTCCACGGGAGGCAGATTGTCTCCAGAAGAGACCTGTATATAAACTGCCTAGAACTCATGGCTGGATTTTTCTATCTACGCAGTTTTGCAAAAGAAGAGTCTTGTGTCTTCTACAAAATGGGCAATATGTGAACTGTTTATGAGGAACAAAATCCAAACAACTAGTGGACATTGCCAAAGAATTCTGGCCCTTTTGCTTTGATCAAGAGATTGATTTAGAATAGAGTAGAATCGGACATTGATTTAGAATTGAGAAGAATCTTTTTAAAACAATATGGTATATGAATTCCAGATTTTAAGTGGATTACACAATTGGATGTTGGATTGTACTATTTTTCTATGTTTATTTTCCCTTAGGAAATATTGAATTGGAAGAGGTATTTTTGTATTGAAAGTTTCACCTCAGTGTCAGAAATATTAATGGGGTGTTAAAGTGTTTCAATACCCATATTTCACACCTCCTCCTAATTTCCTCCCCCCTATATATTCTTTCTCCATCTGTAACACCCTTGTTTGTTTACATATTGAAAAGAGATAATCAAAGCAAATGGCAAGACCATGGTTTAATTGAATGTTCAGAGTTCCTATTCAAAGTAGCAAATATGAAACTGTGCCAACATTGGGGGACATAGGAGTTTGGAAACCTAGGGGGGTGCTGAAATATGCTGTACTGGAGATTTAACATATTCATTGTTTTCAGCCTTTAGCAGGCTCTCAATTCTTTTAGTCCTTTAATGTAAATCATGTACCGTATATACTCGTGTATAAGTCGATCTCATGTATAAGTCGAGTGCAGTTTTGTGACCAACAATTGTGAAAAATGCTATGCCTTGTGGATAAGTCGAGGGTAAATCTTGAGGCTATGAAATTCTGTGATTTTTATAATTATATACACACACACTCATACAAACACACACTCTGCATTATATACACACACACACTCATACAAACACACACTCTGCATTATATACGCACACACACTCATACAAACACACACTCTGCATTATATACACACACTGTGTATATAATGCAGAGTGTGTATATAATGCAGAGTGTGTATATAATGCAGAGTGTGTATATAATGCAGAGTGTGTGTTTGTGTAGTGTGTGAACTGGGTGGGGGGAGGGCATTTTTATTATTTTAATTTTTATTTATTTTAATATTATTATTTTTTTATTTTAATTTTTTTTTTGTCCCCCCTCCCTGCTTGTTAACTGGTCAGGGAGGGGGGCTATCTTAATCCCTGGTGGTCCAGTGGCATGGGCTGTGAAGTGGGGGGGCCAGCAGGAAGCATTTACTTACCTTTCCTGCAGCTCCTGTCAGCTCCTGTCAGCTCCTTTCTCCTCCGTTCTGGTCAGCTCCACTGTAAGTCTCGAGGTCTGGTTGCCGCGCGGATCGTTGCCATGGCTCTGACGGCCGCGGCTCTCTAAGTTGCCATAATACAGACAGTGACTCGAGTATAAGTCGAGTGGGGGTTTTTAAGCACAAAAAATGTGCTGAAAAACTAGACTTATACTCGAGTATATACTGTACTTGTTGAAACCATGCTGCAAAACCAGTATTATTAATCAAAATGTTCCAGATTTCACTCTGTCCATGCACACTCTGCTGTCTACACCGGTGTCTACATTTGCTTTATCATGGTGCTATACACGGCAAATCAAAGTTTATTGATTTAAAATAAATAAATAAAAATAAAATAAAACTTACAATAACTTGAGAGGTTATGACTTGACTAATACAATACATTTAAATATCCTACCCTTTTCATGTCAAACAGGCATTTACATATCAATTTAAAGGCGCTTCTATGAAAATTATAAATATATATAGGAAAAAAAAAAAAAAAAGCAGTCCAATCACTATAACCACTACACCTTGCTGTAGCAGCGATTATGCCAGGAGTGCCCTTGCTTGCCCTTTTATTCACACCTCTTCTACCTTTCAGTCTTACCCTTTTCATAGTTGTGCATGCTGATCCTATCATGTTTCTATGTGTTATGGACTGTGCACTCTGATCTTTTATCCGCTTTTATATCCCCTTTTTATTTTATTCCTTTTCCAATAAAAAGCAGTAGCTTTTTTTTTTTTTTTTTAAAGGCAAAATTAAATATTTAGCAAAAATGCATTTAATAAGAATTGAAATCCTCAAGTTTCAAGATGCATAATTAGCAATTTGGTGCACTTTGCAGTTTTTTTGATAGTATTTAAATGCAGATTATGAAACATGAAGTACAGATAGACACAGAAACAAAACAATAAAATAATACAAGCCTATATCAATAAAATATTAGCATAAGGAAAAGCTTTCAACAAAGCATTCAGAAACTAATGTGAATACGTGAAATGGTCACGTTGTAGGGGTTTGAATTAACACCCAGCAGACAGATAGGACAGATGAGCTAATTTTCTTCTGTGAAATATGGCCTTGGTAATGAAAACAGGCTTGTCATATATACTACCCAAAAGCTGGTAGTGGTACTGAGCATTCTAGACATAAAGCTATTTTTTTTCAGAATGTTTTCTAGAGCCATGTAGTGTTTTCATGTGAAAGAACAAAGACAACAAGGTTGATAGAACACACAAATTGAATCTACACGGATTTGTTTTCTGATGCACTACTACAGCCTTTCATCCTCAGGAATCTTGTTTTCTCACTGTCATCAACTGCACACTAGGCTAGTAATCATGTTCTAAAGTAATAGAGGTCCAGGCACTCCTTGGTTCAAGACAGGTACTTTATTAGGAACCACAACAGCAACGTTTCGACCCCAAAAGGTCTTTGTCAAGCTGAGTCAGCTTGACAAAGACCTTTTGGGGTCGAAACGTTGCTGTTGTGGTTCCTAATAAAGTACCTGTCTTGAACCAAGGAGTGCCTGGACCTCTATTACTTTATTAAATTTTTGGAAATGTGGTGTTTGATTCCTATTCAGCAAGCACCCTGGCTCAGATTTATGGGAGTGAGTGCAGTTCCACACACACTACTAAAAGTAATCGTGTTCTAGTCCTGAATGGTTTTATCACTGACCGCATATGTGTCACACATTCACATAACTCTTAAGACTGATATAGACTAAAAGCACATCTATATACCAAGATTTGAAAGTATTCACCTAATCTAGAACTATCCATAACTTTTCTCCAGGTCACTACTCGTCACCATTAATCCAAAAACAATTTAATTACTCATACAGAGCTCAAACCTACTAGCCATCGGGATTAACAGAGAGGATTACTCTGATTACTGAGAAACAGATGATCCCCACCCACGCACTATTACATATAACACCTACAGGGTGAACTGATTAGTAAGCTAATGGCACACACCTGCTAGGCAATGTAAATTATCACTTGCTAAGATTTTTAATATGTTTTCATATTCCCCATATGTTGGAAACATATGTTTATTAAGTCTGCAAATAAAAAATCCAATATAGAAATCTACGTGCCTGCATTTGCCTTGATCTTCAATATTTGCTCCCGGTAAGTCTATGTTGCAAGATCTGCCATCAAACATAGTATACGAAAGAAGTGAAATCAAAATATTGGGGGAGATTTATCTGTTCTAAAACGTGATCTAACTAAAAGTAGATCACTATAGAAAACAGTGAAACCTGAAGTTATATTACGTTGGTGACAACTCACATTTCAGCAGCACTTTTTAGAGCAAAACATTTTGACAAACCTCTCCCAATGGAATGTGCGCCTTTGCAGTACCTGGACTGCACTGGAAACAAATTTTAAAAGCATTGCATTCTCCCCGGGACCTCATAATTTGCTTCCAGCAACGGAGGGATAAAGCAGCAACATTGGCAGCAGTTAAAGACCGCACACCGTAGATGTTTGAATTGATGTCGCTCTCATTCTTTGCAGACCTATCAGGTGGCACATTAGCCTGGCGGAGGTCCCTCAAACCATTCACATCTCTCCTCATGAAACATGGCATACAGTATTGATGGAGACTAACCAGCTCCCTAACTGTCTTGAAAGGAGAAGACAAACACAAAGTATTCAGCCTGCAAGGAGCGCAGAGCCTACCATGGGACTCTATCAAGTAACTTTGCAAACCGCAGAAACTCAAAAAAAATCACCGGACCACCGCAGAGATGGAACCTGGAGAAGGTTACAGCCTTCGTACCACGATAGCCCAGACAAGGCTCCTATGCAACAGCCACCACCAGAAGCCTACACAGTGAACTACAACTGCGGCCCACCGCTGGTTCCCGTTGCTCACAAGCCTTCTTATTGTTTAGCGCCTTTCTTTCTTTCAGATATTGTTCCTCTACTGTTAACGCTTAAAGGCCTAACCTAGCTCCCACGATACAACCTGTATGGTTATCTACCCGTACCGACAAAAAACATCCCTACCTTTAGTATATCTAAGTAACCTTCAGCCATATACATACACATTGGGTCAGACAGTGTATGAAAACCAACAGTCTCTTAAGTCTCTTCCACTTCTGTGCAGGAAGTGAAAAATCACAGAGACTATTGGTTTTCAAACTCTGTAGAACCCAAGGTGTATGTATATAGCTGAAAGTTACTTTCATATAAGGGTAGGGATCTGTTTTCCATTTATTTATTTTTTTACATATACTTCACTACAAAAAAAAAAAAAAAAAGCATACATACAGTAAATTTCCTTTTCCTTAATATTAGAGGCAGACAGATCTGTATGAGAAAAACCTTAAGATTAACCCCTTAAGGACACATGACATGTGTGACATGTCATGATTCCATTTTATTCCAGAAGTTTGGTCCTTAAGGGGTTAAGTCTCTCCTCTTCCTCTCCTTCTAAAAACCCCTTCTGTCATTTACCTAGGCCCAGTGCTGATGTCCCTTGGCGCTGACTCGGGGTTGCCTTTGCTCCTCCCCTGCCAGAGACCTAATGCGCATGTGCGGCAATGGCCGCATTCGCTTTAGGATAATACAATGCTTTCTGAAGGGGGTTTTGGCTGATGCAGGACGCCCCCATGAATAGCGTCAAGAAGTCTAGCGTCAGTTAGGCAACCAAAAATCACCTGAAACAGCCCGTAAGTCCCTCTAGTGGCTGTCTGTTCAGAGAAGTCTCTACCCGTTAATGCATATTTCTAAAAGACAGTATTAAGTGCCATTCATGGGTTACAGGTAACTGAGCCACTTTCCTTATCGCAACAAAAGATTGTTGGAAACTTGAATGGAACCAAGACAGGAAAGAGGAAATCTCAGCTTTCTTATATTCTCCCACTGCCTCTTTCAAACAAATATAACAGGATGCACAGTTAAGGTGTCTGGACTTGTGCAGACATTTTGCTTTCTCTACAGGTTTCTCAGAGGGTTCAGGATTAGACATACTATAAAAGAAAAGAAAGAAAAATACCCAACTAAACATGGGACAAGAGGCTTATAACAAAAGTAAAAGATAGGTCTCTGAGTGTGCTGAAGGACTGGTGAGAGCAAATCTACAACACAGCTCAACTGGTCCTGACTGCCAGGTAGTTGTGTCTGGGTATATAAAGTCTCCAAGGGCTTCTTTTTTAAAATTGGTGCAAAACCGCCACAATCTCTTGGTTATATACATCGTGACCAGGACATGATTTCCATCTGAAGAGCCTCCCAGCTGTGTCCATGCCACCTGCCATGTCCCAATATGAACAGGCAGAAGTAATAAGAAAACAAAAAAAGTGAGTCCAGACTACCAATCCTGCCGAAGGCAGGCATAAAACTGGGGCATTTGGGGATCTTTATGGCAAAAAGGGGAGAAAGAAAAGGGGTTAAATCTTTAAGATCTTTATTTTTGTACAGTTCTGCCTGCCTATTATGCTGCAAGAGAAAGGATTTCCATAGTTTTGCTCTGTCTCCAATCAGAGGGAGAAAAAAAAAAAAATCTATTTCCTTTCAAAACCTGATGAAATGATATTAGAAAATAATTTTGAGGTGGCATTTGTCCTTGAAGTATAGTGACAGAACAATCTCACTAATAGGACACATTTCATATATTTGCTAATAAGACACCTATATGATCCAGGAGGGAAAATATAATGCATCTTCTGCGTAAAAACCCAATGGCAGAGCATAAAATATTTGATACAATTATAACTAATATCTGAAGAAAGAAATTTGAATGTAATTATTTCAGATGACTTAAAGGTAGGCAGACAATGTAATAGAGCAGCAGGAAATGTTAGCAGAATGCTCGGTTACATAGGGAGAGGTATTAGCAGTAGAAAGTGCTCATGCCATTATACAGAACACTGGTGAGACCTCACTTGGAGTAAGAGTACTGGAGACTTTGGATACTTTTGAGTAAATAGAAGGACTACTAAACTAGTTAATTGCTTGCAGGGGAAAAAAAACAAAAAACACTTACCAGGAAAGGTTAAAGGGTTTTAACATGTATAAGTTGGAAGAAAGACTAGACGGGGAGGAGGGGGGGAGGGATAGAAACATTTAACTACACAATGTGAATCAACACAGTAAAGGAGGAGACTATATTTAAAAGAAGAAAAACTACCACAACAAGAGGACATAGAATTATATTAGAGAGGCAAAGGTTTGAAAATAATATTAGGAAGTAATACTTTACTGAGAGGGTAGTGGATGCATGGAATAGACCTCCAGCTGAAGTGGTAGAGGTTAACACAGTGAAGGAGTTTAGGCATGGGATATGAATAAGGCTGTCCTAGATAGATCTGGCCAGGGACTAATGAAAGTATTAAAAAAATCAGGCAGACTAGATGGGTCGAATGGTACTTATAGGCCATCACAGTCAATGCTTCTATATTCCTCACCTCTTTTTTGTTTTTTCTTTTCCTCTTCTTCACCAGCTGTGCCAGGTCCCTCGCCACTACCAGCTTCTTGCTTAGGAGAATTTCCTTATTAAAAAAACAAACAAACAACATATGTAAACAGTGGGGGAAAAAACAAACATTCTATAATATAGAGGCTTTTTGCCACAATTATTTGAGAAGCAGCATTAAAGAGTTCCAGCTTTTGGCACAATCAATGTCTGCAGGACAAAAGAGTGTTTTTTGAAGTGCACTGTTACTCCCCCCACCCCTTTCTGAAATATGAGTTTCATAAAGATCAAATCTTTATGCAATACCCATTTTGACTGTGTTGGAATTTCACTGAAATTGCAACCCTGTCAAGAGATATACTCCAAGAAAGTAGAGACTTCTTTGTCTCTGTATATTTTGTCCTCCTGACACTTCTGGACACTGGGTGGAGCAACTGCTGTCTAGAATATGACGGCTGCAGGGAATTGGCTCTTTCTATAGAGGATTCCTCGATCTTGCAGGATCCTCTATAGACCTCAATGTGAGAGGGTGACGTCTGTTCCTGACGATTCTGAAGAGGATCCACCTAAAGAAGATGGCCGCGCCCTTGAGGGACAGATTCAGGAAAGTAGAATAAAAATGCATAAAGAGTGCAAAATAAAAAAACTCTGCCAAGTAAAAATGTGTATAAAAATAATGCAATCCAATAAACAATTATAAACCGAAAGAGTACAAATGTCATTCGCTAAATGGGGCTCAACACAATTTGGTAATACTTATGCAACAAAATTAATTTCTTAGACCTAAATCAGAAATAAAGATACTAATAGTGCAAATCAGTAAAATAAACAAATTCAAATGTTTATGTATGAATATAACTCACAAGATAGGAGTGGTATAACACCCAAAGTCAAAGGAGTGCTGCACACAAATAGATTTACAAAGGAGCTCTGTGGAAGGGGTCTGCAGCTCACCAGGAACTACTAATAATAGAGGTCCACAGACAATACAACATAGAGATCAAAAAGGACAAAAAAATAAAAATAAAAAAAAATTTCAGGCTAAAGGCCTTAGTTATTTATACATAGTCACAAGGCCTCAGTGCTAAAATGTGTTTTTTTTTTGTGTGTGTCCTTTTTGATCTTCAATATATATATTTTTTGCCTTCACCTTACACGGTGATGCCTGTGGACCTCTATGTTTGGTATAAGTACCACTTCACATTATCACCTTTACCTGCCTACCCCAGCAATCTTACTGTTTGGGGTCTTTGTGAATGCTGCATAGTCCCCAGGCAGGGACATTGTTGCTTTAATCTCTTACAAGGAGACCGTTAAAATATATATATATATATATATATATATATATATATATATATATATATATATATATATATATATATATATATATATATATATATATATATATATATATACACACACACACACTAATAAAATTGTCTTTTTTTTTTTTAAAAGAACAAAGAGATGAACATGTTTTTCAGTGTTTTGGCTACAATATTTTTTTAAGTTAAGACAGCTAATCCAAACATTCTTTTCAAGCAAAGTAGGAGGCGATTTTAACCATTGCAGATCTGTATACAAATACCAAAGTGCCTTAGGTACATAGTAACACGTACATTCTTCTCCAAGAATTCAGTGCAATATACTGCTGTATAATAGGGTTTAAGCACTTATGAGAGTACAAATATTAAAGGAAACCAATAGCGTTAGAAATACAAACATTACTAACGCCATAGTGTACTTCTACCGGTCTACATTTGTCTCCCCACATAAGGTATTGAAAGGTGAGCATTACTAACCGTTCAGCTCTTGCCTTGCTGCTCTCCACACTGCCGCTCTACCTCTTTGGCCGAGATCAATGTTGATGATCTCAGCCAATCAAACACATCCTCACAGGGAAGCATTGGGTAGATAGTGCACATGTGCAGCAAAACAAGTAACATTTAATATATAACAGAATTAAACTCGGTTACAGCAGAGGACATTCATCTAGTGTCTGTCAGGAAGACAGCACTAGAAGTGTTAAACCTGCAATGTAAACATTGCCATTCCCACAAAACAGCAATGTTTTACACTGCAGACTTTAAAAGACAAGGGCACTGCACTCAGACCATGTCATTGTGATTTAGTGGTTTGGATGCCTTTAACTCATTAAGGGAAGAAAGGACAGGTGCACTTTTACAGCAATCACTCACAATAGTATATATATAAAAAAATAAAAAATAAACATTTAGAGACTCACCCAATGTAAGTTTTGCAAATTCATTTGGAAAGTTCTTCTCTAACCACTGTCTGCACTTTGTGACATCAGGCATATATTCACAGTACTAGGGATATTAAAAACATAAATCAATCAATATACAGTATTTTGTATTGTGATTACAATTTTTAAATAAAAGACACAGCAAGAAACAAGAAAAATTAAAAGAACATTATAGGGTCAACAACACAAACATGCATTCCTGACCCTATAGGGTGAAAACCACCATCTAACCCCCCTTGCCTCTCTAAATATCGTTTAGATTACTTGTATTCAAGTCTGCAGCTGCTGCCACTGATCTGCCTACTTACAGCTGACATCATCAGAAGTGATTCACAATACTTTCCCATAGGATTGGCTGAGACTGTCAAGGAGGCAGATCAGGGGCAGAGCCAGCCCCGGTCAAATCCACTGAATCAATCTCTATGAGGAATGTTTAGTTTCTGCATGCAGAGGGTGGAGACACTGAATGGCAGTACTGCCCCAGGGAATAATTCTAGTAGCCATCTGAGGAGTGGCCAGTTGAGTTATCATTAGGCTGTAATGTAAAAACGGCGTTTTCTCTGAAAAAAGACAGTGTTTACTGCAAAACGCCTGAAGGGAAAGATTATACTCACCAGAACAAAACTGTAGTTGTTTTGGTTACTATAGTGTCCCTTTAAACTCTTGCATAGGTTATGGCTGAAGGGAAGACGAGTGTTTTGCTATTGCTGCTCACGGTTGCTTAAAATGGCAGACATATGTACAAATGAAAAGCCTGCCACTTGACTATGTACTCCCTCCACTGTTTGTCCAAACATTTGTACAGCATGCCCATACTGTACTAGTCCCTCTATCCATGGGAGAAGTCTAAGCCACATATTTGCATTTGACAGCTTATTTCACAAAATTATGAATGATGCCATCAGTAAAATATTAGGCTTGTGTATTAAATGTTTACTCAAGCCTTGATGACCACTTCTAATTTTAAAAATTGTCATAGAGGAAGGAATCTGTATGTGCAGCGCTTCAGCTTGAAAAGTTGTACATACAGAGTAATATGCACTTTTGTGCCAGGGCTAGTAACACCCTGGCACACGTGACATAGGCAGCCCGGAAAAGAGTTACATTTTTTGCAAACATTATGTCATCTTCTACCCTTGCAGTCAACACTCTTGCAAATCAATCAGAAAGACAGTGTAGACATTGTTAATGTTGTTAATGACTATTGTATCTGGAAAAGCCTAATTTTAATGGAATATCAACATAGGCGCACTGTGTCTCATTATCAGCAACTATCTGTCCTGTATTCCAATGTCACGCTCTGTTTGCTGATCCAAATATACCATTTAAAAAGGCTAATTGATCATTAGAAAACCATTTTACAATTAAGAAAAAACCCTTAAAACGGCTGTGGTTATTAAAGAAGCAATAAAACTGGCCTTTATTAGACTAGTTCAATATCTGGGGCATTAGCAATTCTAATGCAAAGGGAAAAGGAACCTTGGAGAGTGGTGATTTAAATAAATTAAATTGCATATGAGATTGGGAGGGTTTCCCATTGTGTGGGAGATAGTGGAGCCAAAAGCTTCTCTCTTGCAGGCAGAAGCAGTTATATCTGTACCCAGCAAGGAATGCGCCCTGATGAACAGATGTAATTTATGCACAGAATTTACATTAGGCAGCCTGGAACAGAGTTCTGGACGGTCTAAGCCACACGTGCTGGGTGTGCAACTCCCTCCCCAGCACACTATTACTATCTCTGAAACAATGCCCATCCAGACTACTACCACCATGACTACTTTAAAAAGAAGAAGTGGCTATAGTGGTTGGAGTAATCCCTTAAAGCAGGGGTCCTCAAACTCCGCCCCCCCCCCCCAGATGTTGCTGAACTACAACTCCCATGATTCTCTGGCTATCTATGTAATTCAAAGAATCATGGGAGTTGTAGTTCAGCAACACCTGGGTGGCCAGAGTTTGAGGACCCCTGCCTTAAAGGGAAACTATAGTCACCCAGACCACTACAGCACAATAAAGTGGTCTGGGTGCCAGGTCACTCAGGTTTTAACCCTTCAGATGTAAACATAGCAGGGTTAATCCAACCTCTAGTGGCTGTCTTTCTGACAGCCGCTAGAGGTGCTTTTGCGACCCTGGATGCTATTTTTGCATCCAGCGTGCAGAGCGTCCATAGGAAAGCATTGAGAAATAAGGGCATTTCTGAGTGACTTGAAAGTTTTGACCATCAGTCTAGTTAGAATTAAAGAGACCCATGATAACTGCATGCTTACCTAGCACACAGGTATAACACACTAAATAATCTGGGCCCAAAGATGTCAACTAAGGAATGTGAGTTTGATAGAGCAGGCCCTCTTAAATCTGCATTTTTATGTTATCAATTACTTGATATATAAACAAACTAAATAATTACAAGTATATATGGTACAGTATAAATTGTTAAAAATGTGTTACTGTATTGTGAAGACAGTCAAACAGTCTTCAAATGTTCTTACCTCAGTTGGCAATGAACACACTGTAGAGAAGGGGGGAAAAAAAGGTTTAAGATGTAATAAAACATTGCATTAACACTTTCAGGTAAATCACCCAGTGACTAAGCAATGGTACACAAACTATTACAATAACTACACAAGACTTTCTTTCAAAAATGGACCTCCAGCAACATTTCTGTAACATCTAAATAGACAGCTTTTATTTTGTGCTATACATATAGAATTCTACTACTGTGTAACAGTCCAAACCAAGATATGTTGACTTCTGTAAACTGGATTGTGAGATAACCTTGTATCTCAGAAACAGATTCTATTATCTCACTGTAACACATGCAGCATAATTAAGCAGTGACATAAACCCTTTAAATACACAAGGGAAATGTTTCTGCTTGCTGGCATTTTACTTCTAAAGCTGTGCCCCTTAAGGGACACTATAGTCACCAGAACCACCACAGCTTAATGTAGTTTTTCTGTTGGTTATAGCAAGTCACTGCATGTCTCCTATGAGAAAGCAAGGGGTTGGCTGAGATTAATGATCTCAGCCAAGGAGGCACAGTGGGAACAGTGATGCGATTCAGAATAAACATTTTCTGCGTTAAGCACAACAGTCATTTAAATCCATTGCAGGCACTATGCAAATGTAGTGAAGTAAAGCAAGGATGCAGACTTCAGACAGGTAATACATTCACTAATATTTTTTCCATCTGAGGGTATGTGAACAAACAATTTGTATGCTATGCTGGTAATACTTGCCTCCACAATATAAAACTTTTAGTGGATAATCACCGACATCCACTTTAGGAATTTTCAGGTCTCCTTTGAAATCTGATGGTGTTGCCTCTGAATTCTCAGTAGCTGTACTGGCCATATCTGAGCTGTAAGGAGGTAAAGTGACATGTACGGCATTAACAATACTTCCTCAGGAATAAAAAAATATATATTTAAAATACATTCCTTAATCTCCCTGCATTTACTGCAGAACATGAACGTTATAACATAATGCAATAAGGATGCTAGCGTTAACTACCCATTATTGAACAGGCAGTGTTATCTCCTTATTAAAAACATGTCTGCCAAACCTGAATACAAATGGATACCTTGCAGTCCTGGCAGCCAGGCATTATATTAAATAAAATTAAAAGAGATACAAGGTCTCGCTTACTTTATCTTACCAATACCCTGTACTGTCTTACACTGAGCTAGGATTTAGGGAGAGATAGTGGAACCATTGCCAGTTTAAGATTACTGTGTTACCACATGAAGAGCAGGCAATCATTGAGCAGGACAGACCCTGAATTAGGAACTACAGCCTTGTATGGTGTGCTTGGTTACTATGAGCCTGGCTTCCCATGGTACAATCTGTTTTCACGGTGTGATGGTGGTGCCATGATACTGCCAGACCTGGCCATATTGGTCTTCACACAGAGCTCTGGGTGCCATGATACTGCCAGGCCTGGCCATACTGGGCTTCACACAGAGCTCTGGGTGCCATGATACTGCCAGGCCTGGCCATACAGGGCTTCACACAGAGCTCTGGGTGCCATGACACTGCCAAGTCTGGCCATACTGGGCTTCACACAGAGCTCTGGGTGCCATGACACTGCCAGGCATGGCCGTACTGGGCTTCACACAGAGCTCTGGGTGCCATGACACTGCCAGGCCTGGCTATACTGGGCTTCACACAGAGCTCTGGGTGCCATGACACTGCCAGGCCTGGCTGTACTGTGCTTCGCACAGAGCTATGGGTGCCATGACACTGCCAGGCCTGGCCATATAGGGCTTCACACAGAGCTCTGGGTGCCATGGCACTGCCAGGCCTGACCGTACTGGGCTTCACACAGAGTTCTGGGTGCCATGACACTGCCAGGCCTGGCCATATAGGGCTTCACACAGAGCTCTGGGTGCCATGACACTGCCAGGCCTGACCGTACTGGGCTTCACACAGAGTTCTGGGTGCCATGACACTGCCAGGCCTGGCTATATTGGGCTTCACACAGAGCTCTGGGTGCCATGACACTGCCAGGCCTGGCCATAGTGGGCTTCGCACAGAGCTCTGGGTGCCATGACACTGCCAGGCCTGGCCATAGTGGGCTTCGCACAGAGCTCTGGGTGCCATGACACTGCCAGGCCTGGCCGTACTGGGCTTCACACAGAGCTCTGGGTGCCATGACACTGTCAGGCCTGGCCATAGTGGGCTTCGCACAGAGCTCTGGGTGCCATGACACTGCCAGGCCTGGCCGTACTGGGCTTCACACAGAGCTCTGGGTGCCATGACACTGCCAGGCCTGGCCATAAAGGGCTTCACACAGAGCTCTGGGTGCCATGACACTGCCAGGCCTGGCCATACTGGGCTATTGGGCTTCACACAGAGCTCTGGGTGCCATGACACTGCCAGGCCTGGCCATAAAGGGCTTCACACAGAGCTCTGGGTGCCATGACACTGCCAGGCCTGGCCATACTGGGCTATTGGGCTTCACACAGAGCTCTGGGTGCCCGGCTCCCTGTCCCGCCCACGCCCCTCCAGCCGTGGCTATTCCTTCCTGTAAGCGGTGCATTACCCAAGCAGCTAGAAGCCACCCTCACTCCGGAGCTCAGACGCCCTCTCTCATGCAGCGTTCAGCTCTCTCCCCACGCTGGGGAAGCCGTCAAAACGCTTCCACTGTCTGCGCTAGCGCTACTTCCGCCGCCGTAACCCACGCGGCCTCCGGATTAAAGCGTAACTTCCGGTTTATCCACCGCGCCATCTTGGTACACCCCGAGTGGCACGCCTCGCTGGTGGGTAGTGTGGCGTCATGGTGGCAAAGAAATGTTAAAATAAGAATTATTAAAGCCTCAACGGCAACAGGCTCACCAGCGAGTCTGTGTGGCTGAGCATAGTGGAGGTTGTGGTCTGCTCCAATTGTATTCTGAGATAATGCACCCCCTGGTGAAATATGTCTGGGTTATTGTAACAGATTTGTATGGGTGTTTTATTTTTTTGTGAGACGTAAAATTAAGAGATAATATGGGGGAAGACCTATGGCTTGTGTTCACTTTTCACGAGAGTCTCCGTTTCAGTTTTTTGCAAAAAAAAAGGGAACGTGGTAAATTAGGGATTTGCATTAATATTGTAATTCTCAAAATTCATAAATTGAAAAACACGATCCAAACACTGCGCCCACACAACAAATAGACTACGTAAAGGGACACTGCAGGCGCCCAGACCACTTCAGCTAATTAAAGTGGTCTGTGTACTGTGCCCCAGTTCCAGAGAACTGCAATGTTTACATTGCAGCTCTAAGTCTGCTATCTGTGGCTGTCTATCAGACAGTCACTAGAGTGTTTCTGGAATCCAAACCGACCTTTGGTCCACCATCAGATTTTCCCCATAGGAAAGCATTGAATAATGCTTTCCTATGGGTAGGTCTAATGCGCACATGCGGCCATTGCTACGCATGTGCATTAGGTCTCCGTTGGTGGGGGAAGAGCCTGACTCAGCACCAAGGGACATTGGTGCTGGATTCAGGTAAGTAGCTGAAGGGGTTTTAACCCCTTCAGAGACATGGGCGGGGGAGGCACTGCAGAATCCTGCAGTGCCAGGAAAACAGGTTTGTTTTCCTGGCACTGGAGAGTCCCTTTAATGCGAAGCATTCCTTGCTGTGCTTGTTTATTGAATAAAATATATTACATAAAATAACACAACCCAAAATTACAGCAAAGACAAAAATACATAAAAGGTCCTGATATCGGGTAGAAGGTGAGGAACAAAAGTAAAAACTTACATAAACACGGAATGTGTTTCTTGTCTGGGTGAGGACGCTTTATCAACGTTAAAAAAAAAAAAAAAACACCCACCATGCTTTAAAAGGCTAGGTGAGAGTGGATGCTCCATCCCTGGCAAATTGAAAGGGAAATATTTGACACTTTTTATTTCCTGTTCTTTTTTAGTAGCCACTTAGTCACAAACCCTGTCCAAAATTAGCGCTTATATATTTTTTACATTTTTCACACATAAACTGCCATTTCACCGATGATATCAGTATAATACATTTTACTGCTCTAAAATACTCATATTTGTGTAGAGTAATGTCTCCCGAGTAGAACAGTACCCCTCAAGTACAGATTTTATGGTGATTTAAAAAGTTACAGGGTCAAACTTAAGATTTGCCAATTTCTGTTTTGGTAAATTGCTATTGACCAGGTTGGCTATGTTGCCTTTGAGACAGTATGGCAGCCCAGAAATGAAAATTAACCCCACCATGACATACCATTTGAAAAAGTTGACAACCCAGGTTATTCAAAATTGGGTATGTCCAGTCTTTTGTAGTAGCCACTTAGGAACAAATGCTTGCCAAAGTTAGCGTTGATATTTGTTTTTTGCATTTTTTCACACAAAAACTACACTTTTACTGGTTATTTCATCGGCATGATAGGTTTTACTGGTTTAAAACACTCATATTTGTGTTCAACGAAGTCTCCCGATAATGACCATACTCCCCATGTACAGGTTTTATGGTGTTCTGGAAAGTTACAGGGTCAATATAGATCTAAACATGCACAAGATGGTGGACTTAGGGCTCAAATACAGAGGCTCCACGTTTTACGACTACCACAAGTCGGTGGTGCACACACAAGGCAGACGCTCATCTGGCCCAGTTTAATATCCGGATAGATTGGAGTCAGATGGACACAGAGCTGTTGTGCCAACATTTTGCTGGCTTGAGGCCCCTGTCTTGCGCAGTATGCAATTCCGCCTCACACTCCACCAACTTGTGCCCCTGGAATCTCTCCTCTCCCCATCCCACCTTAAGCTCAACCACTCGGCAAGACAGTTGTCAGAGGGATAACCTTGGCAGACCCATAGTGTTCCTCGGCAAGACTCAAGTGTGCAACAATTTTAATGCTGACGCATGCAGTTAGAGCGCATGGAGGCTGTTGCATGTTTGCTTTATTTGTTTTAGAGCCCACACAAAATCTATGTGTCCCCCGCCAAGCTTTTTCCAACAAAAATGACTAACAGAGGTTAATATTGACGTATTGGCATATCACCTACGCACTTACCCCTCCATTCACTTAGTGGGATTTCTGGTTTTAGGGCACTTTAGAATGCCCAAATCTTTTGTCCGCCTCCAATGATCCTTCCACGGTGGACGAACTGTTAGCTAAAGAAACCAGGCAGATTTCATGATGGGTCCATTCACCGAATCCTTTTTCTCTACCTGTGTACAAATCCCATTGGGGTGGCTGTTAACAAATGTTCCAATAAAAAATGTTTAATCATAGATCTCTCCACTCCTCATTCCTCGCACAATCCCAGCATAAATTCACTCATAACCGCTGAAGAGTTTTCCCTCCAATATGCCACTCTAGATAATGCCATGCAAGCCATTCTACTAGCAGGCAGTCACGCATGGATGAGTAAAACAGACATTTCACATGCATTCAAACTTCTACCTATCCATCCGTCACTATGGCATATCCATGGCATTAAGTGGAAAGAAAAATATTACTTTGCAAACGACTTACGTTCGGTTCAAGGAGCAGCCCAAAACTGTTCGACATCTTCGTAGAAACCCTCTGCTGGCTGCTCCTAAACGTCGTCAGGTGTCCATCAATTATACACTACTTGGACGACTTCTTATTGATTGAAACAGGCTCTCACACACCAAGAAGCATCCTTAGTACCACAGCCCTCTTTACATCGCTAGGTGTCCCTTTGTCCCCCGACAAAACACTAGGCCCCACTACCAAATTGGTTTTCCTGGGTATATCACTAGACACAGTATCCTTTCAAGCAAGCCTCCCCCACGAGAAATTGACCCGCATCGGAATGATACCTGCATGCGAAAAGGTCTCCAATCTTTATTGTGATCCCTCAATTTTGTCATGCGTATCATCCCACAGGGTATGTATTGGCATTTGAATGCAGGCATGCATTTTTCTGTAGTGTGGTTTTTGAATATGGTGGTGTCTTTAAGTAGTGTTGACATTTGGATGCAGGGTTGTAGTTGTGTGTAGTGTAGGAAAAATACTGAGATGTATGCACTACTCGTCAGTTGGTTTCAGCACCCCTCCCTGTCACAGATGCCTCATCCCAGGACACTATTTAGCCTTGTACTGCAAAGAGCCCCAGATGGAATTTTTTCACCAAGTAAGTGGGTTAATCTCATAAGAGCAGACATTATGCTGTTAGAGTAGGACATGCCTGTCATGGCACAGCCCCGCAGACAGCAAGGTGTGGCTGCCCCTTTAAGAGACCTGGCTGGGTTTGAACTCACTGCTCCAGCATCCCAGTCAGGTTCTCTGATGTGCTGTCCACCAAGGGGCTTCAGTAGCTGTCTTCATTATTCTGCTTCCCTGACTCCTTGCCTGGATTAAGCAGTGCTGATCCACCTGCAGCCCTTTTCCAATTAGGGTCTGCTGCATCTAGTTTGCAGGCTGTAAAAGCCAGCCCTGCCTGAAACTTAGCATCTGGTCATTTTGCCTGTTTGGTGTTTCCTGCCGGATCTTTGCTTCGCTACTGACTGATTTCCTGGACTCTGACCTCTGCCTGCTTTACCGACTTTGTTACTCCGCTTCCAGCCCTGACTTCTGCTTCTCGTCTGACCCTGCCTTTGGATTTCTCCTTAATCTGAACTGCGCTTCTGGTTTTTGCCTCCTCCCTGTGCTATCTCCTGCAACTGGGCTTCAACTCCTGTTAAACTGTTGCATAAGTCCCTAGGTGACTGTTACACCGCCAAAGATGGGGTACACTGACGTTGTGGCAGGCTTATGCAATGTATGATCATATAATGTAACTAACCCCCCATTATTTTGCCTAGATTCTGTGTTTTTAAAAAACTAATAAAATCTGTTAAGGGGTTAATTTGCTCCTTTAATCAAGCTTTTATTTTTAAAGCAATTATTCTTACACCTTTTATTACAATCTCCTTTTAGCCAGTTTGTTTCTAAGGATGGATCATTCTAAAACTTCAGCAAAGTCAGCAATAATAGGCCATAGGTGAGCATTAATTATATTTGTGATTTTTATCATTCTTAATAAAAAAGAGTGCACTAGAGGGTACAATCTCTTGACTTCTGTGTTTACCAACCTCAAAACCAGTCCGAACCTAGATCTCCATTTAGGTAGGAGAAGGGATAAACTGGTGACCTGCGCAGGATGTGGTTCCAGGCCATTGGACAACTGCAGGCTTTGCAAAAGGTGCTTAACACGGATTGCTGAAGAATCTGAGTTTCAACAATCTCCACAAGCTTCTACCTCTGCTCGGGATATAGCTTCATGGATTAAGAAAGCAGTGCCTGAGGGAATAGCAGAATCACACAGAGGCAAGCACCTCAGATGTGAATCAACACAATTAGATTGTGAATCATCAGAAGAAGAATTCAGGAAGATTAATATTCTTGCCCTCTAGATTCTAAGGTTATAAAGCGTCTAATTACTCCGGTCAGAAGAATGCTGGAATTACCAGATGAGGTTCCAGAAACCTCAGCTGCGGAAAGACATTTTGGAGATCTCAGCAGAAAGAAACCTTAATTTCTGGTGCATAGATCTATTAAAGATCTTATACGTAACTAATGGAATACTCCTGAAAAAAGATTCACCCTTCGAAGCAGACTTCCTAAACTATACCCTATACAACAAGAAAATTCTAAGTTGTGGACTTCCAACCCAACGGTGCTACCATCAGCTCCACCACTCAGGCTCGCTGCTTAGGTGTTCTCTTTGACT